ATTTACTTATCTTTGTCACAATAAAATGTTTACTTAATTAACAAACAGTTATTTTGTCGCCCAAAATCAAGGATAAAAATTTAATATTCAACTCGGAAGTAACAACCAATTCTCCCCCTTAATAATACATTCTTGCAATAAAAAGCAACTACATTAACAATGTTAATAATTAAAACAAATAAAACGCGCAATCATTCATTATGATATTATTAAAACCGATTAATTAGTTACATAATTGTCTTGTAGAATCTCTCTTGTACGACGAGGAACGAAAAATTCCGGGCTTTCATTTTTTGCAGCGGTTTGAAAGTAATTAATTTATTAGACTATTTTTCGTACAAATTCAAACGAAATTCGCCGGTAAAAATGTTTACTGCGAACAACCGAAGGAAAATATACCGTATGCGATAAGAACTTTCTACGTTACAAAGCCGCGACTTCCCGTGTCGCTAAATAAGGTAAAGCCATCCGAGAGACAAACGGATAAGACACTATTTAGCAAAAATCCAAGATGCATTTTAGATTAAAGTTGCTGATATAGCATTATTCAGTCGAGGAAAAATGCAGGTATACCAGGAGAAAGTATCGTTTAAGATATTTTTCATTATCTATTATTTATTAAATATTAATCGGAGAGATAAGTTTCCAATGCAAATATGTACGAAAATAGATCAAAGCAATATATTTGAATCGTTCCGCAATTTCTTTAATAACATAACAATAAAATTGTATCAAACAATAGTGCCTGCCTACCGCTAACCTTCGCAATTGCAATAATTTCTCGTGAGCGGTATTGTTACAAATGAATCAATAATTACGGGAATTATTAGAAAGAAAAATCAGGCACGAACTATTTGCTCGTAGGCTATTTCGCATTGAATTGATTTAGTTTCTCGATGGACGTGTCGTGGAATTTCAAATCGACCGGAGCGGGATAATTAGCGCATAATCAGCTATGCGGTAAGCGATAACAAGGAGAATTCAACGATTGTATCTCGATTACAAACGGGATTTATGGATTTTGAAAAACTTGAATGACTTTTTACTTTTCTCACATATTATTGGTTTTTATTCACGAGGATGTAATTTACGACACTATAGTTACCTATATATATTATGCAGATTTAGAGATTATTACTCATTATTTATTGGAGGCACTTTAAAATTCAATTTGATCTCCCTCATTACATCTCACCTTTCGCAATTAAACAGTTACTTGCGCATATTCTACGTATTGTAAAATTTGAAATATAATAATTTATCATCGATTATAGAGAGCTATAATTAACCAGTAATGAGCTGTATGCGGTAACAAGGCGATTTTAACGATTGTATCTCGCTAATGAACGGGATTTAAGGATTTTCAAAAATGAAATGATTTTTTGTCTTTTTTACACACATGAGTTTTTAATCAAGTGAATGAAGTTTATGACTCTACAGACTCATGCATCAGAGAGGTGCAAATAGAGCTCCTTATGTATTCACAATGCATTTTAAAATTCAATTTAATATCTCCTACATTTCGCATTTGAATAGATTGTAAAATTGTATTCAAAAATGGTAAAATTGTAATTAAATATAATGTATGACAACTTAGGTACAAAGCGGGATAATTAGCGAATAATCAACTATAAGCGGTAACAAATCAAATTTAATTATTGTATCTCGTTAAGGAATTGACTTTATGGATTTTGGATAAAAATATTTACGAGTATGAAGTTGCGGTACGAGGAATACTCTAGCGTTCTTTAAATCTCATATTTCACATCAAAACAGATTCTTGTGCAAATTGTATTATAAAAAATTGAAATTAAACGAATTAACGACCAATTAACGAAGGAACGAAATGTCTCAATTCGGCGTTTCTAGCGCCGTTTACTTTCGAAATAGAACCGATCGGAATTCGATTGGCCGCGCGGTCAACAAATCTCTGAAACTGCAACCCGACGTTAGTTTAATAAATGCATAAAAGTTGCAGGCCTTGATAAAATCGCAGTTTAACTTATGGGTCTAACAAACCGTTACGCAATTGGAGAACTAACGATCGCCGTTCGGTCTTTAACTTTTCGCGGACCGCCGACGTTTCAGCGGGTTTCAGCTCGCAAGACGTATGAAATGCATACATCGGTTTATAACGGTCGATCGGCTGCAACTTTGTTGCATTCATATTCATATAGCATATATAGGACGGTTTGTTTATTATCGAATCTAGTTGCGGATAGTATCGAACGAATTTACTAGGTCAATTGAGTCAATTGGCGGTTGATTGGAGACGCGAAAACAATCCGACATCCTCCGAAATTGCTCAAAAGTAAACACTTGTGGCTTTTGCGGTCGTTCAAGGATCGCCCGCGTATTAAAAAAAGCATTTATCGATATACTCGTTTCCAATGCGAAAATTGCTGTGTCATAAACGAAAAAAAAAAATACATCCACAATAAAAAACTAAAGTTTTGCAATGGGCAGAGACGGAATTATGTCGGAGATTAAAAGTTTATTATATCGCCCTCCATCTACCTATTATAATATGAAACCTGTTTATATGTGTTTTGCCGGCTCGTTTCGACAGTTCAACGTAAATGTAATAGAAAGGAAATGTGCATTACATAATTTCAATTAATGGTTTTGTTGGTTACTTTAATGGTATCGCTTACCCGTGTAGGTAACGCCCTAAAATGTGTTAACGTTGTCTTAACACTTTTATCGAACGTTATGGAACAGAATTAATTACTTTCAGGTGTTTTGTACCTAATTAATTTTTCACAATTTTTGTATTTAATGAACCATCCTGTTTTCCTATCTTATAAAATTGCGATAATTAACCTCCCTATCGAGCGAACGGACCCGTTGGGATTATTTCGACACATATGCATGCATAGAAAGGAGCAATAAATGACAAAATTAATTACGAAATAACGACTAAACTACCAGGCATGACAATCTTGAAATCTAATCGTATTTGAAAGTACCAACACTTTTGCATTTTATTTTAGATTTTTTTTCATCAACGGTAATACCGGCAAGGTGAACTTCTATTGATTTTAATTTTGTATTATTATTGTTTTTTAAGTTTTTAAGCGTTACAAACGGCCTTGCTTTGTACTGTATTGTTGTTTTTCAGGAACTAAAATAGGCACATTTGCATACATAAATCGAACTTATTGCATTCTAACAAAGCTCCTTGCATTCTTTAAAAGGCATTAAAAGATTATTATTTGTTTGTTATACCTAAATATGATTTAATTAACACATGTGGAATATTGAAATAATCGTAACTATGATTTACACACAAAGTATGCTAAGTGTCACAATTTTATTAGTACCATTGTTAGTACATTTTAGTACATGAAAAATTTTGATTGATACTTTAGAAACAGTTTTATTACCTAAAATCCAAGTACCTACATACCTACCAATTATCAATTTTGTGCCCAATAAAAACTTACTGAAAATACAAGTCCTCTGTAATGCAAAGCGTTTATTGAAAGTTCATCTTAATAGATCCGTTCACACGCGACAAAGTGCTAATCATCAATCATTACCTATTATTTCTAGAACTTTTACTTTTATCTACAAAGGCATATGCTTCGTTTAAATAAAAAAATACCGACGTTTCCAATAATAAATCCATCAGTATTCCTCTAACAAATGTTCAAAAGGTACCGACAAACCTCAAGATGTCGTGTAAATCCTTTCTAAGGAGCGAAACTCGGAGCATCGAAAACCAATCGGTGATTTTATCCGAGATATAAAAGCGCTTTTCTACACTTCGCGAAATTTATTCATCTAATGGTTTAATTAAGTAAAAATCTGTTGTTCTATGCGAAATTTGCAAGAAACTTGTACTTTTAAAAATTTATAAAAATCTTGTGTTCCCTCAAAATTCTGCCAAATCCATAATAAAATTATCATTGGAGAAGAATAATAAGAAACCAATTTTTCATCTTTTGGGAATGAATTGCATTACCAGTAACGATAGGAAATTAAAACGTTGTTTATAAATAATTGGTTGATAGCTTTCGCTTGCGATATTAATAAACGTCTTAATTAGTAATTGAATGGAATTCGACGCGTATCTCGATCGATCTTAACCTAGCCTGAGAATCGTGAAGATCGTTTTGCATTTCGAATTCCTTCGAATCACAACGGATTTCATTATCATCTGAACCGTGATGATAAACTGTTGTTTATATTTTATTGGATTTTTATTTTAACTTGCATTTTTGTTATGCAGATCGTGTGTCGTATTGGGGGACACGTGAGAGAGTTAACGAATTATCGGAAATATTGCAATTTAATCGGCTAAATTGAGAACGTTTATCTCGTGTATTATGCTAAATGGGGTTAATTTTTATATTCATGGAATTGTGTACTAGAAGAATGGAGGAGAATTTTGAGAAAGGTAATTTCTAAATTTTAAACGGTATAGGGTTTATCTTTATTGAAAATCTGGTTTAAAAAATAGTAGGTTACTAGGTTTGCCCCCTAATATTAGATCCCTTATATTAATTTTCTACCCCTTTTCCCTTAAATTAAATAAAATATCTCATAAAGCAACATTGTTTTATTGCATTAAAATTCGCATTTCCATAATAATAATCCAATGGTGATAAATCTGGGCCTTTTTGTAGCTCTTTACTTACCTTTAACTACTAAAATAATAATAATAATTGCATATTAAAATTAGCAGAATCAGAAAAATAAATAGTATATGTGTTTGAAATGTATCCTCCTGATTTGTATCACTTTGATTAATTCTGAAATATAATTTTATAATATTGTTCCTAATTTCAGAAATTTATACTTTAAAAGAGGGTATTTTTTATTCTTGTATAATTTAAGTTTTTACTATAGCACCTTAGGGGTAGTCAAAGTATAACGTAGATGCGAACGGTAAAAAGGAAAATTACAATTAAAACTGAACCACATTCCGATAGAGCCCCTTCTCCTGTCGCTTCAATTAGAAAACCGTGGATATCGGCATAACATGAACAGCTATCATGATATTTATCGCGTCGTTTTTTTGCCATTTGCAATTGTAATGGTCCGATTTTTGGAGAAGCGGCAGCACATAGTTGGATATTTTCATTCGGTGCTAAAAAAACTATGACAATCACGAAATTTTACCTGACCGCAGTGTTCGATTCGAAGGATGTGCCTCAAATTTGCGCTATCGTGCTCGGTAAGTTCCATTTTTTTTATTATTTTGTTAGATTTATTCGAGAAAAATAGGTTGAATTTATTCCTACACGATGCGATAACGACATTTTTGTATGTAAATTTCTTATTTCTCGGTTTTGGAATATTTCCGATATTTTTTACAAAAACAACAAATAAAATCGTTTTTTTTTCTGTAATAATTGCGATTATCTGAGTGTTGCACATTAATTGAAAATGTCTTTTCATTGAATAATATCTGCCTTTGAGTCAACATAAATTATTTTACGAATTTCGAAAAAGAAATGTTAATTATTTTTTTAGCGATACGTCAATAAAATGAAAATTTCTCTAATACATGAGTCAATTTCTGTTTCTATTTTATATTCAATTCCAACATTACATCTTTCGAAGGATTATTAACATCCTGAATGATACACTTAATGCACTTCTCTCCAAATAGAAGTAATTCTAAAATAAATCATAAATTTGTTAAAACCCATCAAAAAATATTATTCATTTATTCGAACCAATTTCGAACTTATCTATTTTCGTAATTTAAAAAAGCAGTTCATAACCAAATTTAAGCAGTAACTAAACGAAATTCAATGTAAATAAAATCAATTAGCTTCGGTAATGGTCCTCCAATTATCAAAATTAATATGTTTTTCTATTATTCGAAAATTTCATAACACGCATTTTTTTAATCGACCGAATATTTTCGTGAGATATTATCGGTCGACTTATTTTGAACAGTAAAAAAGCAGTATCTATAGATTAATTTGCCCATGTAAACTATTTAATATCCAAACTATTAGTATATAGTTGGCCCAATGTAATGTAGCTAATAGGTTTTAATTTTAAATAAATTGTTGCTTCATAGCAGGGACCTATAAAGTACAGTACGTAACACATTTTTCTGGAATTTCTCACTCGATTATATCTGCAAAAAATTCGCCATCATTTCCAACGGATAGCTCAGTAGAATCCGGTGCATCACTTCCCGCGCCACTCACACCGCAGGAATTCTAACGCTGCGATATTTTTCTAGGCTGCATACCAAGCTTCATCACAGGCCTGATAATAGCCTGGCCATCGCCGTCGGTCGTACAGATACTCAAATCCCCGGAGATATACGACATAACCGCGCACGAAGCGTCCTACTTCAGCATCCTGAACGCCATAGGCCCCGTCCTCTTCTCCGTGCTGGTCTCCAGGCTCTGCGACCGCTTGGGCAGAAAGCGAACGCTGATGATATCGGCGCCGCCCCATCTGATCTGCTGGTTCCTGAAGGCCTTCTGCGCGGACGTGAAGTGGCTGTACGCGGCCCGGATCGTCGGCGGCATCGGCGATAGCTTCATGTACAACTCCCTGCCGATGTATATAGGCGAAATATCGACGCCGAGAGTGCGAGGCGTGTGGGGCAACGGGTTGATATGCAGCTTGTACTTCGGATTGTTCAGCATCAGTTTGATCGGATCCTATTGCAGCGTGAGGACTACAGCGTTGATTTGCGCTGTGTTCCCCGCCCTGTTCCTCGTCTCTTTCGCATTCATGCCGGAATCGCCGTACTTCTACGCCATGCACGAACGAGACGAAGACACCATTGATTCGTTGAAGAGGCTCCGAGGTACTGAGGACGTTACCGAGGAGTTCAAGCGATTGAAGTTCGACGTGAAGAGGCAGATGTCCGAGCCGGGCACGTGGCGGGACGTTTTCACCATAGAAAGCAACAAGAAGGCTATAGTGGCGGGCGTGTTTCTGAGGGTGTCTCAGAACTTTTGCGGGCTGTTGGCTTTTCCCGTGTACGCTCAGTACATATTCGAGCGGGCCGGCGACAGTTTCGTGGATCCGAAGATATCGTCGATAATTTACACGGGGTTGTCGGTGGTGTGCTACGTAACGGCGGCCAATTTCTCGGATAAGTTGGGCAGGCGAAACTCGTACATCATCTCGATGTGCCTCACGTGCATCCCGCTGTCGATGGAGGGGCTGTATTTTCTAGTCAAAGAACAGTTTCCGCAGATCGATCTGGCGAGCGTGCAGTTCCTGCCGCTGGCGGCGATGATCATACTGATCGTGATAGCGTCGTTGGGCGTCGGGCTCGTGCCGACGCTGATGCTGGGCGAATTGTTCTCGGCCAGCGTCAAAGTCAAATGCCTCAGCATCGTCACGACGTTTTTCTCGCTGTCGTATTTCATGGCGAACAATCTGTTCTACTACGCCAGCCATTTCGTCGGCCTGTACGCGCCGTTTTTTATTTTCGCGGTGTCCAACATATTCTCGGCGATAATGGCGGCGCGGATCATACCGGAAACCAAAGGGAAGACGCTGGAGGAGATCCAGCAGCAGCTCAAAACGCAGAAAAACATGAATTGTAACGCATAAAATTGTTATTTTAAATTACGCGGACCGTAGAATTGAATATTGCGGTTTGTTCCCTACGAGTTGCCGGAACAAAAGTTAATAAATTTCGCATTAAACACGTTGATTGCCATTGCATTAGCTTACTCATCGTATTACGTAATTTTGTAACACTTGTATCGATTCTTGAACACCTAAGGCACATCTTCCAATAACTACATGGACTTTTCACACCTATCTACCTAATCTTACACATCTCCAGCCAGATTCTGGAGAAAATATTGTGGAAAGAATGGAGTTCGGTTTGTTGAACTGCTTTATCTGAGTGAAAAAAATCTCATTCAACAGCAGACCATTTTTTGCATAGGAAAAGTTCATATAAACCATGTTTAACAATTCATTCATATCTCTAGTCAACAACGAAATTTAACTCTATTTGCTAGAGTACAAATACTCTCTTTTAGAACTAAAGGAACAAACGTATTCATATTTTTTAAGTAATACACTTATAGTTCACCTTGGTTAATTTAGGAAAAAACAAACAATTATTGTTTTTTTAACCATCTAATTAGATACTACGACCTAAAAATACGAATTTAATTACTACAGAGTTCCATTGACGAGCAGATAACGAAACTTCTAAATGGCATGATGAGTAGGTAATAATGTTAGGAAATCAAAAAATATCAATGTTTAAAACCAGTGAAGGTAAAATTGTAAATAAAATTCTGCCTCAATTCTGGACCATAAAAGATCTGTAATCTAAAATTATTAATAAACTTTATTAACATTGTATGACATAAAAATGTACGATTCTTTGAAATGTTGCTACTTACAATAAATGTTTATTTCGTAATATTAATAAAAGAGTATTTTTTTTATTTTTTATAGTCGTTTCTTAATCAACCTGAATTATTTACAATCCTCAAAAATTTGGTAATTAATTATACTTTAAAGGCCATATCAAGGATTTATGTATATCATATTAAAATCATAATGGGCGTTATTCTGCTATAACATTCCGGATCTTTCAAAGAGGTGAAAACATCGAGATATGCAACAAGAGAGTGCAATTTTTTGTACCTTAAGTAAAATTTTACGCACTATTTACTGTTTTCTTTAGTACCTTCATCAGTATGTATTTCAAAGATAAGTGTATTTTTGCACATATTTATTTACAGCTATCTATAAATTCAAGTTTAAAGATCGTTCACACATAAACAAAAACATATCAGCACAGCTGTGCTAACTAGAGCGTAACTCAAATAATGCAACAGCATCTAAACATATCCTCTTTTTCGCTTTCCATCCTTGTGAAGTTCAAGATTTCTCCTTAGCCGCGAAAATGTTTAAATAATTACGCATGTAGGAAATTTGTATTTAATATTAATTAGTGTAAATTTGAATGTGGGAAAATGAGCGGCTTCATTACCACGGCCGCTCGAATAATGGAAAATTATTGTGTTTAAAAATTTGTTAAACAACAAATGGGCTATTTTATTTTGAATTTATGATAATTTATTTGTATAATGATCCAATAAATTAATGAATTATGCCATTACATTAAAATGCTTTAGTGCTCCGATAAGTAAAAGTGCTCTATTTTGATAAGTAAAAATTATATTAAATAATAATAAATTTGCATTTTGGGAATATTTAGTTAATAGTAGAAGCAAAAATATTGTTATTAACATTATCAATACACGATGAGACATAATTGGTAGAACTTTAATATTTATGTCCTTATTGTTAGTGTTTTTTGACATTGACTTTCACATCAACCTTGGGAATTACAATATATCCTTATTATAGCGATAGAAAATGCTCCTGCAATTCGGAAGAAATACATCAACTTTCGAATATCCTGACAGATAATGGAATTTCTAAAATGCACGTTACAAAATCCAATCGAAAACGGCGGGGGCTCGTGTGGGTTGTGAACAATATAATTTCGCCGATAATTTCACTATTAGATCGAATAACTGCCGTTTAACTTTGTTTTTTTACTAATAGACCTCGTAGACCAATTGCGGTCAAGCAAATTAAAAACTTACAAAAAAGGAACTATAACTATGCGAGCGGAAACCTGAAACATATAATTAGGTACGTGCAGATTGCGACAACGGACGGGTTCGCTTTTTCTACTTAAACAATTTCAACGTTTATGTAAGAAGTAGATAATAACTTACAATAAAAATAATAATCATCATAAACTAAACATTGGAGGTCGCACCCAAGCAAAGAAAGATTCTCGCAAGATTCAATAGTTGTCAAATAAAAAAAAAACCCATGTTTCACTTACATAATATGGCCAATATGTAATATTTTAAAACGACTATCCTTTGTGAATGCTATTTTATAACCGAGAAATATTTTATTTTTTCAGAGAGCAATACCTCTACAACGTCTTCGAAGCCATAATATCCACCTTAGAATCGAAGCTGCAGCGAATAGAAAACCTGGACAAGGCGGTCGAGCACCTAATGCGTCGAGTAGAAGGCTTAGACGACAGAGTAAACAACAACATCGACAAAACCGAATCGGTGATATCCAAATTACGCACGATAGATTCGAAATTGTTCGCCCCGAACCGCCTGCACTTGGAGAAGAAATTCGATACGACCTACGTGGACCCGGAAAACGGGAACCTGGGCAAGCGATTGCTGGCGTTGGACCAGAAAGTGACCGACATAGACGACAAACTGAGCGTTCTGAAGAATCAACTAGACAACAATTCGTTGCAAGGAGAAGACATCAACGCCGAAGCCAGCGAGAAACGTTCGGTCAGCATGAACGTGGTGGAAATCACCAAAGCCCTCAACACCGAGGTGATCAATCACATAACCAAGGAGCTGGGGCAGCTTAGGGAAAGCACGTCCGGCGTAGACAGGAAGCTGCAATTCCACATTAATCTGGTGCAGGAGAACTTGGGGAAAATATTGAATCTAATGTCCGACGTGCACCACGCCATAATCGACGATCGCAAGAGCTACACCTACTTCTACAACCGGTCCAGTTCCGGCGCGCCGCTGCCCCAAAGGCAGAACAAAATCGACAGCTTGGTCGAGAAAATGAAACCTATTATAACGGTTTCGGAGAAGATGGACGAAGTTTGGAACGTCGTCGTCGGCACGAAGAGCTCCGTGGACGGTCTGGTGCCGAAATCCGATGAACTACTGACGCAAACCCAACGGCAAGAGAGGGCCATCGGCGAGATCCACAACGACTTGCGCATGAAAACCAACAAGATCATCGCGAATTTGGACAAAGTCGAGAAGAAGCTCAAAAAGCAAGAGGACGACGTGGCGACGCTGGCCCAGAAACCCGTGCCCGCCGAGCTGCTGCTCAATCCCTCTTTGGACAATTTGGAGGAGTACGAATCCACCAGGTTCGTGGAGGAGTATTCGACGGATACGACGCTTCCCGCCACTATGGCACCCCCGGTTACCCAAACCTCGGTCCAAAACAGCGTGTCCTCGCACGTGGGAACGTCCTCCACCACCGTGGAAAAACGAAACGAGAAGAGAAAAGGGGGAGTTATATTTCCCAGCGTTAAAAATAAACCAACGCACGTGAACTCCACTTTTGTCACTTCTGATGTTTCCTCAACTTTGAAGGATGTTAAGGTAAGGATTTACGGTTGTGTGAAGGCTACAGGGTGATTCCACTTATAAATATGTAGTAGAAATAATTTTATGAGAATCCTCTAAAAACCATAAAAGCTTCTCTTTGGTAGAGCTTTAATTTTGAATTAAAGATAAGATTACACTAAATAAAATACATTTCTCTCATTAAACAATTTACATTCAGATTTTCCCTGGAAAATTGAAAGAATCCTTTTTCTTCTAAATGATGCAAAAATCTTATTAAAGAAGAAAACATAATTGTATTAATGATTAGTCTATGGGATGGTTTTAAGTTTAAACACCGTTAATAATAGTCATTATTTACAGTGAGTTGGCAGATGCGTATAATGAGCATAATGTAATCGCGAATAAACGGTTTTGGTCATGAATGAAATCTGTCGTAATAAAATTTTATGCGATAATAGCAAGAAGTGAAAATGCTGTTACACATAACTCATATCACAGGATATCAACTGGCTATCAATAAGATCGCTTGATTTGAAAAAAAATGGGATAGGCGTGGTGGAAATTTCTAAGCCAGTTCGTTGTGAGCATTTAGATGTATTTTTAACGATTAATCCTTCTTATTTATCATAATATAATTTCCTACATGACAATGTAATCGCACAATAAATCAATTACTAATGTGGACTTTCTAATGCGAAATTATGTTATCATTATACTCGACCATTGTCAGTTCTCTTGATAACTGCACTCGACATTATTTACATCAATAATTTTCGCAGTACGTTCGAATCCAATCCAATCCAAGAAACTCGATCGAAATTGCTAGCAGATAGGAAGGCATACATTTCAATCTTATAATAGCCTTTTATATACCCATAACGGTTTATGATCATTGTAGCTCACTCCAAAAGGAAATCGCGAATTCCTTTTTAGTTTTCCAGTTCAACGTATTTTTAAACAATACCCTAATAACTCCAAATTCTAATTGAAAAATTAATAATTAATCGTTTAAAAAAATTGGTTAATATTTCAACAAACTTAATTAGTAATTGAGCTGTTTTAACCAAACCTTTCTTTTCGCAATCCCGTTTAAAATTCTTCGACTTTAATAAATAATGGGTGTCGATAGTGCATTAATTCGTTAAATTATTCTTGTAATTGCTTTACGGTTTTGCATCAATTATGGTTATCTGTAAGAAATATTCTAAGAAAATAAACAAAGTCGATCGGGGACTTTAATTTGCAATGGCCTTTTTTTCGCGCAATTTATGTGCACGGCTCCTACAGACGTTTGAAATTGAGCGCTCCTCGCTCTTAACCGATAGCAAATTTATTATGCAATTCGACTACCCACATTCATCATTTCTTCCAGTCGATTATCAATTAATAAACGGTACAATTCCGTAAGAAAGCGCGCCAAAAAAATAGAGGCGTAGGCATTTTCACCTTGCAACACGTGTAATTACAAATTATCATTAATTTTGTACGTGCGGATTTTATATCGAAAAGAAGTAGGATCTTATACGTCCTTGTCCAAAAAGTACCTGTGGTTTTATACTCGTATGGAAGATATTAAATATGTATAATTTACTCAAGTACAAGGCAAAATTACTCACCTGACTCTAGAATAAATCTAAGCACATATCAATGCTTTACGACACGGCCCAGTGCACAGATTTTTTTAAGTCGATAAAGTGAGAAATAAATTAATTTAACATTATTTATTCAAAGTTTCATTTTTACTGTTCGTGAGAAAATTCGATACCGAAACTTGATAAATTTCCGCATTATTCTTACGTTCTGGTAAGGCTAAAAAGAGTAATCTGTGAAATTTAAATGCCTAAATTGCCACTCATCGTGTTTTTGTTTTAAGATTAAATTAAAAATGGACCAAAGGCAAAAAATACCGGAACAACGTTCCGGTTTTGTAATTACAAATAAAATACTCTAATGGTAATTGACGCATGTAATTCAAATTTAGTTTACTTCGATTCGATTGAATTCTTGCTAGTTTCTGTATTATTTTTGTAAAATTCCGATTTCCTTTTTTTAGCAAATTATCCACAAATAGAAGAAAATACAAGCAAAACCGCCGCGAACAAGTCGATAAATAGAAATGCAGAGGTTGTGTAATAAGTCAGGTTTCCGCGGGAACACCCAGTAGGTATTTCCGCTGGTTATCGGATCCATCGGTGACTCTAGAAGTATTAATGAATGGTTTAGAGATAAGTAAAAACGATACTCGGTGTCCGATAGACGAGAACACTGCTTTTAACCTGTAATAAATTACTTTCTTTTAAAATGTTCGCTTGACCTAGTCTTCGATTATGCAATTCTCGTTTTCTGTTTGTTTCATTCCGAAATTCCGATTTTTTTTATTAATTATTTATTACGGTTCAGTTAGCGCTATATTGTACGATTTTTGAATGCCGAAACTTATATCGAATTAAAAAAAAGAAACTGCTCGAGCGGGTTAAATTATTTATTATACACAATTCGCGAAATTCCGAATGAAACTTTAGAAAATCCGGCTACCACATTAACGCGATTTTTATGGCTCTTCGTTTCGTCTGTGCCAGTAAAATTTATCGTAAATGTTAATAGATTCAAAAAATAGAAATCTAATCGGAAAACAAATTAACTTTTACCGGTGATACCGCGGATGCAAACGTTGTTCAACAACACATTTATGCACCGCGAGCATTCTTTCTTCAATTTATTAACTTGTGTAATTTATTTTACTCTTATTAATCAATGGAATTTTTTATTTCCTGGTGGTCGCCCACAGCAGGATAATCAAGTTGAATGAACGTATTTTATTATGTTTATAATGAATTATATACGGTTTAAAAATTCGCTACCTTGACGATATTGTAGCCAACTAAAAGTTTCTGGATAGCCTGCGAGCTATTACAAAAGATAATTTTGATTTTAGTTGGATTTCATTTCCTTGAAACAGAAATATTTTTCGCGCATAAAACAACTTTTACTCGAACAATTCGGTGCGGTATTCTAATTTAAATTGAACTGGACGCACACATATGTACATGTGTAATTACATACTTTGTCAATATAAATTATTATGCCTTACCGTATGACCCAAATTTATCTAAAATTGATATCATTAGGTATTAGGTAAGATATTATCTAGAACTTGCAGTACTACTGTGAGCTATAGAGCGACGTACGCCTATAATTAATCACAGATCATGTTAATAGCGAAGTTGTAAATAATGCAAGTATGCATGCATTTACGAAAACAGTTTTACCCCGGAGGTCCTAGGCGAATAATTAGGTATCGATTTCAATGTGTATTTCTTAATTTGCTTAGCATAAGTACTTTAATGTTATTACTCTACAGAGTGGATCATAACAGTAAAAAATGATATCTTCTCGTTTCAGGGATACTCCTGCGTGGATTTCTTGAGCGCTGGTATGAGGAATTCTGGTATTTATTACCTGCAAATCCGGGGTACCACGTATTGGTTTTTGAAAGTGTACTGCGAACAGGAAATAGCCGATGGAGGTTGGACCGTAAGTACCTAATATCTATGTAATTTATGCAAAAGTTTTATGCCTGTGACGAATGCGAAATTTCTCGCTAACGTTTGAGTATACCTGCAAAATTAGCGCTTCAACACGTCCGATTCCGTGTTAGTTTTGCGTAATATCATCGAGGATAGTAAAATTTTGCAGGCACCTTTTGACTTATGCATTTTTTTACTGAATGCAACTTATATTTAACGTGGAAATAGCCACGCTCTGTTTTACCTGTACGCTGAGATATTATCAAAATGCACTTTTTCATTGACTCGTTCCAGTTATTTTGCACAACCCGTTTAGAAGTCGTGATTATATTCTAGCTGTGATATATTTTTTCCTCGAAACTACGTATTTCTGAAATGCAATCTAACATTAAAACAACGGGTATTACCTTCATAACAACGTGTGTTTTCATCGACTGAAACTAATAGTTAATTACAAATACCCTCGAATAATAAAGTTAGGTAATTTTATTTGCTTTTGGAAACGTGTCAATGTACTTTCACTTTCATTAACGGTGCGCTCATGTCGAAGTCAATAATTAATTCTTTAAGTTAGGTTTAATAACGATAATCCAATATATATTTAAGTAGTTTAATAGCAGGTTTTTTGCATACATGTACATAGATGTGTGGATATCTATTTGATGGTAATCTAATCCGAGGGCATTGTAATACATTGTGTTTTTTGCATTTATAATTTTGTAACAAATCTCTTTTATGAACTTGTACCAAAAGGGATTTTTTTTTAATTAATGAAAACTTATAAGATCTACAACATTTTCATCTATATTTTAGGTTTGCTGTAGATAAAAAAATTCAAATAAATTGCCACAAAATTGGCAATTATTAGCAACAAATTCACTAAATTTTCGGTTAAGCAAGTCATCTTGTCGCAATAGAAAAAATGTGGAAATGGGTAGGCAATGGAGTTTCCAATTGTCCATTGATATATTTGTTACACTTATTTAAAATTCTTTATTATATAATACGAGCAACTCTCTATATCAAGAAAAGCAAGTGTTTTATGCTACCGTCAAAATAATTTATAGACAAATCTTATTTAATAGTTGGATATTACGAAATTTTCGCATTACAATCGCAGTCGATAGATATAGAAAATTGTAACAAACTTGGTCGAACCCGTTATTGCTAAATACGGCTCGACGGACCGGTAATGAATTAAAATCGCCGAGGCCGAGATACTTAAGTTTATTGGAACACTGGGAAGTGTCGGGAATGCTTTTATCGCTTATTTCCGTCATATCATTATCGATCTAACGTTATTAACTGACTTTCGGTTCGTTATTTTCGTCATTTTCGATGTTTGCTACTGCGACTTTGTTGCTATTTTATCTCTTTTAAGAAACTTGAATTTACCAGATGTTTCTAACTGTTAGATCGTTAACACTTTCGCTGCCGTTTGACATCCCGAGGCTACTTCTGTACAGATATATACCTACATGAAATAAATTGTATTTGAAATTTTTAGGTCATCCAAAGGCGAGACGATTTCGGTTATCCGAGGGAGAACTTCAACAGGGACTGGAACGATTACAAAAACGGATTTGGGGATCCATCGAAGGAATTCTGGCTGGGTAACGAAAACATTTACATGTTGACCAACAACGAGGAATACTCTCTTAGGGTAGAACTGGAGGATTTCGAAGGAAACAAAAAGTAATCTAATACTTATTGCCTAATTACTTCTTCATAGTAACTTCTAACTGGACCCTTGGAGCCTATTCGCAGATAGAAATTTCCCAATAACCTTTTATGCAGGGAAGTTGTTACATATAACCGTGTATCGAAATTTTCGGTTAGAGAGAAAGCTGTGCAAGGCCAGCTCTGTGTCAAACAAAACATTATATATGCATGTTTCGAAATTTTAAATAGTAGTACAGTACATTGATCTTTTAAATACCAAATTAGCATTTCGTGAGCCGGCATTTGCGGAGACGCGAGACGCTCCGGCGTTTCGGATATGGTAATAATATTCCGTAACGCGATTAGTATTGACAAATTCGCCGATAATTCCACAGTTCTGGATACTTCGCACGAGATACATATCTAATTTGGCTAATTTCAAATTATGTGGAAATTAAGCTCTTGTTGCCCAAATACAATTTTTTTATTTTTTCACATAAACTGCTCCGTTTATTATATTTTTGTATAACAATTTGGCAACATTTTAAAATATTCATCTTACTAGTACAACCCACAGTACTTAATCTCCATCTGGCTTAATCATTCGCAAATTTATTCCTACTATCATTGTTCATTATGTAGGATTTTTTACCTTCTTGTCGAGCGGTTTGATGGATGCGCATTGTGATCTATTAAAATGCCAATATTAATAGCATCATGTTTAAACAATTTGCCTTCATAACGTTCAGTTAGGAAATGTGAACTTTGTTAAGTAACAGAATGTAGGGAAAAATCGATAGGTTGATTGAACATCCGAACGAAATTGAATGGGAATTGATGCTGGGGCAATTAAATTTTTTGGCTGGGGCTTTGTATGTAAATTTCATCAAATGGTATAATGCTGAATACTTTATGTAGTTACAACAAACAGTATTCTTTGTGAGTAATTATGATTTTTCTAGATACGCACAGTATTCTCATTTCAAAATATATTCCGAAGCTGAGTATTACAAATTAGAAATTGATGGGTATGAAGGGAACGCCGGGGATTCACTCAACGATCCTTGGTATGGAAGCAACAATAGTCCATTTTCCACCTACAATAGGTATGCACTTAATAAATTTAATAGGAAAAACTATTTTTTATTATCTACTAAATTTTTAGGGACAACGACCGCTCTAGTTTGAATTGTGCATCCATGCTGAAGGGTGGCTGGTGGTGGAAGTCATGCGGAAGAGGCCTCAATGGCCTCTACCTCAACGATCCACAAGATCTAACAGCTAGACAAGGTAACGAACAATCCGAGCGGAACACCCAGGAATTCGGAACTTTCACCGAAATTAATTGCTTAACTAAAACTATATAAAAATTTGATCTAATCAATTGGTCAATTAGTAAACGTGAAATTCGAATTTTGCTTAGATGAATGACTTTAAATCGAATCTTTCCGCAGGTATCGTGTGGTTCAGATGGAAAGGATGGGATTACACGTTGAAGAAATCGGTGATGATGATAAAGCCGAAGAGTTTCGTCAACGGTTCTTAGTTTTAAATGAACGAGTAGTCAATTTATAATCACCGGCGATTCTATTCGATTTTTCGATACAAACATAAGTTATCATTTCCTTCGTACTCGAAATTTGTAGTAATTTATTGGACAAATATTACTTTAATTAGCGCGTATTCCTATGTATATTGATAAGTGTGGTGAGTAATTTCGAAACGATTACGGTACTTGATAAAATTCACTCGTGTTGGACTTATAATATTTACCGATTTACCTACATTTTTACCTCATAGAAGTAAGACGGATTATAAAACTTTAACTTTAGCACCGAGGCTTTAATTTACGCTATTAAAAAGAACAAAGTCGTCTCTAACTTTCGCGAACCTATCATCTTTCTTCTTTAAACTTTTAATTGTCTTATTTAGTGTCCACTTTTTACGCAAGAGTATTTAGGTATATAATCTAACGTTCACCGTGAGATGCTTCCTTATTAATAAAGGGTGATTAATAGATTTCTATTCAAATTAAATGTGCTCGATTTATTCTTTTGATAGGTAAAATAACAGAGGTTTATTAAAGTTTGTCGCTCTGTACATATTTAAAATTTTAGTTATAAGAAGTTGATTACAAAAGAAATATTGAATAGTACCTAATTTTCAGTGTATTGTTTGTATTCAGAAATGTTTTACGATAAGAAATAACCAAATTGTACGAAAAATTCATGAAATAATTTAATTTACACTGAATCTACATACCGTGTTGGAAAATTTTTCGCGCATAATAGGGAAATCAATGTTAAATTCTTAGCCGGCTGAAATCCAATCTACCAGTGTACATTTCAATAGAACGTCGCGATCAATTCTAATAAATTTAATTGTTCTACTGGACTTCACACCGCGCTTTGGCTTGGTTAGATTAAAAATCAAATAATTTCGACGGTTTGAACACTTCGACAGTATCAAAACGGGTTCGGATGGGTGAACGTCGAGTCGATTACAAAGAATTGAGAATTTTTAAACGATAATTTATTGAAAAAATATCACTAATAATAAAATAGAATTATGTAGATATGTCTTTTTGCCACAATGGCTTGAAAAAGAAAGTAAATTCTAAGAAAATAATAAAAAGAATACTCCAAAAATAAACTTAAAGATTATTTTAAAATAGAAAATAAAAGAACTCTAAAAAATAGTCCACCGCTTTCTGCTAAACAATAGCCAAACCTGTCATACAGATGTCATCTCATATTACTGAGCTGAGGTGTAATTTTAAGAAAATTGAATTATTTTTTCCTTATTTTTCCTTATTTTAACAAGATTTGTTGCTATTTCAAAACTGTACCTACCGATACACACATTTTTTTGAAATATCCCCAAAAAACCTATTAATTGTAGTTTCTAAATAATTTTGTACCTCATACCTAACACAAATAACTTTGTACCTCTACAAATCGCGGCGTGCGGTCCAGTAGAACAATTAAATTTATTAGAATTGATCGCGACGTTCTATTGAAATGTATACTGGTAGACTGGATTTTAGCCGGCTAAGAATTTAACATTGATTTCCCTATTATGCGAAATTTAATTTCCAACAGTGTATATTATTTTATTGCACCAGTTTTATTAGATATATTTAGTAATAGGATATAATTTTTAGGAGTGTTATAAATATTTGATTTAATGAACGTATATTAAATCGATTGCATTTAGAACGGACTGCGCAATGATTCAATATTTCCAACAGACCGATGATTATAAATTGCGTTATTTAAACTAACAGAAATTATCGAAAAGGTAAAAAGACTGTAAAGCTTATCGGAAAATATCCGCGAGTTATTTCATCGATAAGTTTGATTTAATTGTAGATAAGTTATTTTTTAAGAAAATATAAACTCGTTTTCTTGCAAATTTTAATTATCTTTTGGAGTCGATTAGTCTTCATCTTGTTGTTTCTTTTCTATTTGCCAAAATATTGTATTTAAATTCACTCTAATTTTGACTAATTATGATATAAAAAGTGCCCTTATTATATATTTTCTTAAAAAAAGTTAATTAGTGAAGTACATTTTTGTTACGAGGCTAACGGGACACGATAGGCAATGTTCAAATTAGACAAAAAAACCTGTATTAAATACATGTTTAAGTACCTTCTTAATGTTTATATGGTTGTTTGTAAATAATTTTCCAGAGTTGTATAAATTTATTTTAATAAATTAATTAAATTAAGTTTTTATTTATTCCCTTAATACTTACAAAGTAGAATTAACAATATTCAGTATCTTTTGTACCTATTTTAATACACCTACGAGTATACTTAAGTATATACATAAAATTTATTAGAAATGGAATATTTTACAATTAATTCAACATGGTATGACGATCGTATATATTTTTTCTTTGCTCTTTCACCTGCCTCTTCCATTTATCTTGTTGATGACCAACCCTGTTTAACACGTTACCTCTTACGCTCATATTATGAGACATGGGACCAGCTGATATTTCATCCTAAAATAACAATTATAATATTACAAAATTGACAAAATTAAACGAGAGGGAATACCTACATCTTCGTTTGTATGTTCCTGATAATTCCCTTTTATTTTCTTGTTCAGTAGTGGATCCAGGATAATTAAAAATGCCATATAAATAACTAGTATGGAAATAACCCATATGACAATGATAACAACGACTTTAATGATGGTCGTGTTACGATTCTCGTATTTACAAACGCACCTCGGGCAGAACTCTTGCTCTCTGCTTCCAATATCTGCACCAATTCTAGGTAGGATTACACCATCGCAATTGCTAGAAAAGTAATTCGTAAAGAAAAATAAAGAAAAATTAAAGTCGGTTAAAGTGAAAATAGTACCATTGATTTGGAGGGACGTTAGTAACGTACATAATCCTAGAAGTGTGATTTTTAAATTCCGTATTGTTTAATACGGAAGATATACTAGGGCAAATGCATTTGCACCTCTTGTCTTCATACGATTGTGCCTAAAATAAACATATTTATCAAATATGCCAACAAATAAAACAATAAAGTACTTACGTTGATTAAAACAAATGTGCTTGCTAAAAACAAGCAGGAATACAATGTGTAAGATTTCATTTTGGAAATTCTTAAAAACTAAAAGTTACAACACATTTAAAGGGTAGTAAAAATCATCCAATTTCTAGATTTTATAATAAAAATAATGTACATTTGTCAATTAGACTTGTCACTGTCATAAGTCATAACAGAAGATGACAGCTGACCGAGCTGACAATTACAAGTGTCACAAAAAAGAAGATTTTTGAACTGTATAAGTGGCTGGAGAGTCTCAAAGTAAGTAACCTAACAAACCTAAATCATACATAGAAGAATCAAAATAAAAACGTGGTTTCTGTTTGTGTTTAGTTCTTTTGCTATTTTTGAATTAATATTTGGTATTGAAACATGGGAAAAACGAGTGAAGTAGAAGCAGAAACTACCATAAAGGAAGAACCTATAGATGAACTATCACACGAGGAGAAAGTAGCTAATTGCAATCAAATTAGTAAACCAATGGCTTCAAAGAAGCTAGCTAAGAAGTGCTACAAATTAATCAAAAAAGGTAGTAGCTTTAGTTTATCACATACATTTTGTTTTAATTGAATTCTTTATTTGCAGCTGTTAAACAAAAATCGTACACGAGATGCGGTTTAAAGGATGTTCAAAAACGTCTACGAAAGGGCGAAACCGGCATTGTTGTATTCGCTGGTGATATTTGGCCAATAGACATTATGTGCCACTTACCTGTGGTATGTGAAGATAGAGATATTCCTTACGTATATGTTCCAAGCCGCAAGGATTTGGGCGGTGCTCTGGGCGTTAAACGAGGATGCTTGACCGTCTTGATAAGACCTCACAACGAGTACAAAGAATACTACGATGATCTTCACGAAGAAATCAAACATTTAGCTGTTCCGTTGTAGATATAAGTTTATGTTATAGTTTTTTTTTTAAATAAGGATACATGATTGAGTTACATAAAGTTTTTTAGCTATTCTAATTTTTTTGTATCTTGTGTTTTGTGTTCAAACTAAAATGAATCAACCTGTATTTTTAATTATACAGCAGTTAATTGAATGCAATGTGCAGATCTATGGGTGCAACAAAGACGATTTCCATTTGTCTCACATGAAGAAAAAAGAAAGTGATATTGTGGGATTACAACTTTCTCATTCTAGCCACTGATATTTTAATAATCTTTCTTTGTTCAAGTCATAAAATTGACCATATTACAAACGAATTGGCCCTTATACATATACAGGGTGCCCCGTGACTCGATGTACTTAGCTTAGGAGAGTACTTTTTGGTCAAATTTAAGTCGAAAATGCCTTATACACTTTCGCCAATAAGTCAATACTTACATAATTATGAGCAATAAATATTTATTGGCCTAACTAGAAATTATTGCAGTAGTGGAAGAGGAGGTCCTGTTCCCTGGCCTCCGAGATCGCCAGATTTAACGTCTCTGGACAATTATCTTTGATACATATAAAGAGTTAACAGTGTCATCATAGTTTATATCTCACCACAACATGGAGATAAAACATCCTCTATCGCTTATAAATCCTTAAAATAAGGATCTATGGTTCTATATGAACCTATAAGGCCCACAAGATACACCTCTATTATACTTTATTAAAAAGAAATACAAATAAAACGTTCATTGTAAATTGCATCAAAAAAATCATCATCATACACCTACAAAAAAAGGCTATAAGACAGTCTCTATTAGGAGGCTGCGATATGGTATAGTTTACGTATTAGGCATTAGTATTGATTTCATAAAAGTGTTGTTTCGTCAGTGAATGGGACGGGACGGGTAGACGGTTAGAGCGTCGCGGCAACGACGCCGCTCCGTCGTTATTTTGCAACGCGTCGCGTAGCGTCGAGCATTCGTGTTGGCATTACTGCTGGAAACCGGAGAGCCAGTGTAGTGCGATCGTCGCTAGCAGGAGGCCGGTGCTGGTGGATTTATCGGCTATTTTCATGTTTGTTGTGACGTCCAAGGTGCACGCATATTATGTTCTTGTATTAAATTGATGAATGTAAGTATGCGAGTTAGACGAACGGCGTTTTATTCAACCCGGATGCGCTCGTTTAAACGACTGTATTTGTTGTTCGGGTTGAATACGCCCTGTTTTTATTAGTTTGTGTACTGCCAGAAACAATTGGACAAAACGTCTAATTACAATTACAATCGTTTACTACGTATTGTGCGACTGAATTGTTCAAATATTGCGAAAACGCTTACAATAGGAGCGTTATTTATTAATCGCAGGATATACAAAATTACGCTCGCGTTTGATGTACCATCAAATGTACCGGGCAGCTGCATGATATTAATATTTTCGAATTAATTAATAAATATCTTTAAATAAATACGCGTAGATGACCCCTAAATTGTTGCTAAACTCGGTAAAGTACCGAGTGTTTGTCTAATGGACGTACGTCAAGAACCGCTTATTAAGGGTTCAGTAACCCTTAGAAAGGGCTTTATCGGAATTCAGTAGATTTTTTAGTGATAACTTGTAATTAATCGCTTATTTCATTTCATTTGATGTATTTTATTTAAAATGAAATAAGAAAATTAAACATTCTATCTTCCTAAATTGTACTCCTGCAAGTCCGGTAAATTGTGATAGTCCCACAAAAAGTGCAATTTTTTAACTCTATTATTACTAGAAATTAACTTATTGTATATGACATTAAGTGATTTTAACACGTGTAGTTTATTTGTTAAATTCTCTTGGTCTTTGTCAATTCCGATGCTAAAATAGTTCAGGGAATAGAAGTTTCTGGTAATTTTCCCAACGACAATTGTATTATTTAAACGTGTACATGTCATTTACTTTTTTTCATGATAGTCTTTTAGGAATTCCGAGTAATATCCCCAGTTATTCGCTCACGCGATTTATGAAAATAACACCGTAAAAATTCCGAATGGGCTGCTTTAATGCAAAATTTACTGCTTAAATCATTCCAAACTCTGACCGGTATAAAACTTTCGCGATTTTTTTATCCCTAAATCTTTATCTCTTTATGGATTAAATAAGTTTAACGAATTTTATAAAGACTTTTTTTTGGTCTAAAAACTCTTTTCACCTCTCCAATTTACACGCTGATTTTTTAAATATCTATTCCTATAAGAACATTTTGTAACGGTAATACAATTCATTACAGTCTCTATATTGCTCCTTATAAAAACTCACTCGAAGATTTTTTCGATTAATCACCGTGTTATGTTAAACTATTAGTATGGAACTTCTTTAAATAAACAGTTTCTTGGTGTCAATAACAATAAATGCGCCTCGTCATACCGCTGGTGCAACGGGGGGTAAAAATAACAAGTCAATACCTACTAAGTAGCCAATTTAATAAAAATAAACTGGATAATTGCTCCTAATTTACAAATCGGTATAAAACGTGAGTATTAAGTGAGCATTAAGTGAGTACCTATAGAGCCGCAAACTGTAATCGTATATTGAAATTTTTCAAGGAATCATATTTTAGAGGACTCGGTGGGATGGATGTCGGCGCCGTCGTGGTCTTGGGGAATGGATAATGAACAACCCCACCAGGAATTAGTAAAGTGTGTCGTGGTTGGTGACACAGCCGTCGGCAAAACTCGACTGATCTGCGCTCGAGCATGCAACAAACAGGTCTCCCTGTCCCAGCTGCTGGCCACCCACGTGCCGACGGTATGGGCCATAGATCAGTACAGGATTTACAAGGACGTCTTGGAACGGTCCTGGGAGGTGGTCGACAGCGTCAACGTCAGCCTCAGATTGTGGGATACGTTCGGGGATCACGAAAAAGACAGAAGGTTCGCTTATGGTCGATCAGACGTCGTAAGTATACATTTAAACATGTTCTTTAATCTGGAAAGTACCATCGCGTGTTCGTTTAGGTGCTGTTGTGCTTCAGCATCAACAGTCCCGTGTCTCTACGCAACTGCCGTTTAATGTGGTATCCAGAAATCCGCCGTTTCTGTCCGAATACTCCAGTGATATTGGTTGGATGCAAGAACGATCTGCGGTACGTAAAAACGCACAATTTCCCCCATCGAAATCTCCACCTTTTAATAACAGTTACATGTACCGAGACGAGGCTTATTTGAGCTACTTCCGGGACCGCAGCCCGTTCGTCCGGGCGACCAGGAAGAGCGACTTGGTCATGCCGGACGAGGCTCGAGACGTCGCCAGGGAGCTCGGGCTCTACTACTACGAAACGTCGGTACTTACGTATTACGGAGTTAACGAAGTGTTCGAGAACGCCATCAGAGCGGCGCTCATCGCCAGAAGATCGCAACGGTTTTGGATGACGAATTTGAAGAGAGTCCAACGACCACTATTGCAAGTAAGCAGCAAAGTTTATCTTTTCTTTTAGATTAGATCCAGAGGTGTTTGTCGTGTGTTTCAGGCACCGTTTAAACCACCTCCTCCTTTGAAATCGGACGTTCATATTACAGTCGGATCCTACATGGAAAACATGAAGTACCTCTGTTTGAGCCGAGCTCACACGGACATCGTTTTGATCGTAGGATCCATGGGATTTGCAGCACATCGTTTTATTTTAGCAGCATGCAGTAGAGCCTTTTACAGGTACATAAAACCATTTGCATCTAAACTTTGTAGTACATCAAATTCTTCAACATTTCTGCTTCAATCCAGCAACTATATCTAAATCCTTGACGTTCGTTCCAAGAATCGTCTAGTATTAATTGCTTCATCTGCAGTTCCTTCAAACCGTATAGATTTCTAGAATCGTCTAAACTTCTAGCAACTATCTAAATCCTTTATGTTCCTCCAAGTATGCTCGTAAATTATTTCCAGACTTCTCACCGTCGATCTAATAGCACGGAGCACGAGCGACTCCAGCATGGTGAGTTCCTTGGGTGACTTCGCCGAAGAAACGGAGTGCCTGGTGAAGGCCGAGCAAATGACGTGCAAAAGGCGAGCGAGCTGCCAGGCCTTGCCCACTGCCAGAGAGCTGGATCATCCGGCGTTTCATTGCATCAGAAACGTCCAATCCGAAGGACAAACGGTGGTGACTTTGAGTAACATAGTCACGCCGCGTGCTATGCAACAGTGTTTGCAGTTCGCCTACACCGGTACAGTCGATCGAAGTGCTTTAAATTTACAGGTAAAATTTAGGTAGTTAAATAAAGAGTATATAATGTAATGGGTTTTGTTGCAGGAAACTCAAGAAGCGGCTGAAGTATTAGAACTGCCTCACTTGATAGTATTGCTTACAAAACATCCTCTCGTAGATCCGAATCCCCCTGACGCTATATACGAGGGTTTTATTAAAAGGAGAATGCAAGATGTGTGCTTGGAACAGAGCCTTTTTACTGATGTTATATTCGAATTGGACGATGGAGTTTGCACTGCCCACAAAGCAATGTTGGCAGCGCGGTGCGATGTTATGAAGGCGATGTTTCGAGGAGACTTCAGGGAAAGTCAGGCTAAAGTGGTACGGTCAGTTTTCTTATAATTTTTTCTCTTTTGAAACGGTTTATTTACAGATCGAATTTCCCGGCGTAAGAGAGTACACGTTCCTGAAGCTGTTGTGCTTTCTCTACACCGACGATGTACCGGAGGTATCCGCTGCTCAGTGCGTTAATCTATTGGAACTGGCGAACAGGTTTTGCCTACCAAGATTGGTCAATTTAATCGAAAAGAGAGTAATAGAAGACTTGGAAACTTTACAATCGTCCGAATCTATTGAACAATGTTTGAAGCTTTTAGAACCAGTTAAGGTAACACATTTTCTTTACGAGTTGTTAATCATTAATTTAACGCATGGATCGATGATTTTATTACTAGTTGCACAACGGTCATCAACTGGCTGACTGGTGCATGAATCACTTGTGTATCAATTATAACAAGCTCTGCAGGATGTCGCCCCGTAGATTGAAACTTTTGCATCCAGAGAACCAGGCATATCTCGAGGAACACCGTTGGCCGCCCGTGTGGTACCTCAAAGATTTCGATTACTATCAGAAATGTCTGATGGAGCGCGACAAAGAACCCAAACCGACGAGCACCACGAGCCCTGGCTGTTTATGTTTCTCTCGCAAATCGGAGTCCGATCCTGCATTATGCTCAAACCAACTTTAAAACTCGACTATAAATTATTTATTTACTATAAAACAAAGACTTTTTTTGGTAAACATAAGAATACGTAGATGTAGCGAACCGATTTGTATTACAATAATAAGTGGTAACAACACGAAGTATTTATAAATTAGTCATTTTATTTTGAACACGTTTTGACATTATACCTCACACCTTTTATTAATTGAATATACCTATACTCTATTTAAAAGCTACGAGGAGCGATTTGAATTTGAAGTTGGCAACACACGCGTTTGTTTATTTCACGCTCAAGTTCACGCTGTAAAACTTTGTTATTCTTGTTTACCACAATTACCACCTTTTTCAGGTTTTGTTTTAGAAATGCGAAGTGTTTAATATGTTGTATTTAGGTGATTTGGGTGTATCTCAGGCTTCTCAAAGTCAAAATGCTCCTAGTTTTTAAATAGAGTACATTGTTCTCCATTTTGTGTTGAATTTTTACCCGAATAACTGACGATAGCGTTTGATTTTATTCAATTATTTAAAAGCAAATAAATAGAGAACTCCACAGCAAATTGAAAGACGCAAAATTTTCATATTGTATAATTTAATAATTCAATACATATAAATAACATTTGAGAATATATACCAGTTTACTTGCATTTACATTACCTTATTTCAATAAAAAAAATCGAACACTTTTGACTAGCTTTTCATTGATTGTTTTCTCAACATATCCGTTTCTTTTTGTATTTGCTTCAAATCCGACGTGATTCTATCGAGTTTAATGTTAATGTCTTTAGCCTTTTCCATTTCGATCTGCTCTTCTAAATTTCTGCATTCCCTCTCGAGCACGCCTAAATCTTCCAAAGTTTTCAGTATCAAATTGAATTCATCCCGAAGGAATGCCAGCAATTTGTAGGACCGACGAGCCGTTTCTTCGCTTTTAGCATCCTAAAATAATACAATTATTAATGTTTATTGAAGAAATATTTCAGTGACTTACATAAAATATTAATTCATCTGCTAAGGTGAACGATCTGTCGACTTGACCGGTTAAATTCTTTATTTCTTTCTGAATCTCTCTGGTGTCTTTCAGGACCTTTTCAATGTCGTTATTTTGCTTGTTTATGTTACCGATGATTTCTAAGATTCGTCTAGTATACATGGCTCTGCAATTAAAAGGAACATTACGTATTTATACTGAGAATATGAAAGTATACTAACCTAGTGTTTGTTTTATTTAATTGCTGACATTGCTGTCGCAAATTCTGATTTAATTCCTTCTTTATTTTTAGATCGTCTTGTAGGTTCGCTTCAATTCTTTTTAAATTTTCTACCTTCATTTTTTGCTCTTGATGTTTAGTCTCTTCACTGGTTAGAGTACTTTTCAATGACATGTATTGTTGTAGCAATGGTTGCTGTATCTCCGGCCATTGCCTCGCTAACTCTTCGAGTCGATCAGTAGCTTTCGCTATCATGTTGTTTAGCTTAGCCAAATTCTCTTCTTTCTCCAGCACAGTTTGGATTTTCGTTTTTAATTTCACGTTGGCGAGAATTTCCTGTAGATTGTCCTGCTCCAGGTTTTTTGTTCTAACCAACTAGAATATAAGAATACTGTATTTTACAGAAATTGTACAAGAATTCCCTGGGCTTTACCTCTTTAAGTAAATCTTCTTGCGTTTTAATCTTCTCTTGCATTACAATATATTTCTGTTTCTTCTCTTCTAATTCAGCCGTCAATTTCGTTATTTTGTTTTCTTCAGTTTCGATTTCATCTACGTTTGCATTGTGGTTGTTGTCTTTATTAACTTCTATTGGTCTGGTAATGTTTATGTCGCTTTCGATGGTTTGAAGAGACAGTACGTCGGCTTTTTTTATTACATGTTTCAGATTAAAGTTCTGCGGAAACCGATTATCATTGTACAGCAATGATGGTATCAATTTCGAGGCAGGGCATTGTTTTGTAACATCAGGTACCACGTAAATCCAATAGTCTTTTAGATCTAAAACAAATAGCTAAATGTGTTGTTGGCTAGTTGTATTTACTAAAATAATTACCTTCATTTTGTACCTGTGAATTAGGAATTTCTATTTGTCTTGTTCTTAGAGAGCAACTGCCTCCTAAACTATTTACAATGTATCCGTTACTCGTTTTTCTAACTCCTTGTTTCAAAACACAACTAGGAACCCATGTTTTTGATAAACTATCCTTGATGTTTTCTTCTAAAGATTTAACGATTCTAGGAACGTAACCGAGCTGCTCGACAGTATTAGTTTTAATAGGTTCTCTAGGCAATCTTTCAATTAGAAACATCAACGTCCTTCTCACTTCTTCTACATTACAGTATAAAATAGTTTGATAGCCCATATCACCTCGAAAACCTAAATCTTTTATCTGCTCGGCTAGAGTAGTTGCTAGGTTTAATTTAGCGCTCATAGAAGGTGGCAGTTTTTTGGGAAAGGAAGTGTGTAAAATAGCTTCCAAGCATGAAGATACCGCAGATGTTACCATATCGGCATCGAATTGCTTCAAATTTTCAATCTCATCGTCAATATTACTGAAAATTTAGGAGTATCGAAGTAGCGTTATAAATAATTTGCTTCATACTTTACCATTCTAAATTTCTTAACGAATCTAATATGATTTTATCGACTTCTTCCATATTTAAATAGGCCGTTTAATATGTTATTTTTCTAGTTTTGTCCTGTCAAGTTTTGAAGTGTGAGGTTATATATCTTAAATCTTCTGTTAATTTTAAAATCCATGGAAAAAAGAAGAAGAAAAAAATTTATTGTATTTGTTAAAGTAAGAGATCGGCAAAAAAGAAGAATTCTTGACATTTTATGTTGTCATTTGTCATGATTTTTGCGTTTCTTGTCGTTCGTTGTTCCTTCCTGTTGTGTTCTGTGCTTGCTTGCCGGCATGTTGGCGTTGGGCAATCAATTCGTAAAATCGTGTGTTTTTTATATTTTTATCGTTATGAAAATGCATTAAAGTGAAATCTTAACCGTTCGTTCTTACTAGTCGGTAGTTTAATAAGTAAAAACTAATAAGTGATATGTTTTAAAAGCACGCAAAGCATTGATAGTTGCAAAAATGGAGGACTCATTTATATTTTCCAGTATTTTAACGGCCCAAGAGTGGCGAACCGTTCCCCAAAAAATCGCCAAAAAGCTCGAGCAATTCGCTTCCAACAAGTTCGAGGAGCTAATTACTTCCAAGGCGTTGCTGGAGACAAAATGCTTCAATTTAGGTAATTAATGTGTATTCTGGTACTTCTTCCTTTATTCAACATACTCTGCCAAACACAAGCTTTTATTCGGAAGCGTGTTGTATAGGAAATACTTACGCTGCAATTTTTTATTAGTTTAAGAAAGTATTATTTATATCAATTCTGTATCTTAGCACACCTGTAGGTCTTTGTTTCTTAGTTCATAGTCATTGTCGATTTTTAAATTAAAGTAGGCTTTGTTAATTTAGAGAATCTGTGGTAATTTATTAAGGAATTCTTGTAGTAACTTACCATATGTTTAGATTTTTCAAAAAGTTACCGATACCATTAAAAAACTCGAGAAACATAATAGGCCATGAAAATAACCTGTTCCTTTAGATGTACATGAATAAAATCACTTGATTCATCTAAACCAAGTTTAAGTTAAAATATCGCTTCACACGGAATGATAATTCAAAATATATTTTGCAGAGAAATCAGAAAAAGAGTTGGAAAGGGCAGTCGAGAAGTTCGAGCTCGAATGTAAATCCTTGCAATCGAAATTGGAAATTAACGTTAACGCGATCAACGAATACGAATCGCAAATGACGAATTTAACTAGCGAAATCAACAAGCTGCATACCCAATGCAGCGCGTTGGAAGCGGAGGCTGCGAACAGCAGACGGGAGAGGAACGCAATAGCCGATGAGAGAGATGAATTGTCGAAGATGATGAACAGGCGTAACACGAAAATCGAAATGTTGCAATCCGATCTCGAGAATGTCACCAAACAACTGGAGGCGGCCCTGCAAGCCAAATTCGAAGCGATGGCCTCGTCCGAGGAGGTCGCTTCGATGAAATTGAACATAGAATATCGCGAGAAGCGATTAGAGCAAGAGAAGAAATTGATGAACAGGCAAGTGGAAGATTTGACCCAAGCGCTCAACGAACGAGTGGAGGAATTGCTTAACATGAAAAGAGACACTACATCTAATTGCATACAACTCGAAATCAAGCTGTGCCAGAAAAACCAAGAATTAGTCGTAGCCACTGAGCAAATTAAATCTCTCACCGATTTAAATAACAACCTTACTGATAAAATCGAAGAGCTCTCGCAAGAAGTCGCTACCCAATCCCAAAATCACGCCAAAATATGTGATTCTTACATGTACGAAATGGAAGCCAAGACTAAAATGAACGACACCTACAAGTCCATGATTGAGGAACAGGAACATCATTGTAAAGAACTAAAAGAAGGTCTCTCTGAAGTAAGTTTAATCTATTAGATTAAAGAGCTTTAGTTTAACAACTCCATTTCAGGTCCAATCGTTACTGCAAACGGCAACCGAACGTTACGGTGAATTAGAAACCAAATACAAAGAAAGTCAATTAGAGCACGAGGAAATGATACTTAAGAAGAACGAATGCATCGAGTTGCTGAAAAGAGAATTAGAAACTGCTAATGAATTGTTCGAAAACTCTCGAGCCGACGTCACATTAGAAGGTACATATTTAAAAAACGAATTTATATATAACGTAATGTTGCAATATTAAAATTTTCAGCTGGTTCGACTGCCGGCTCTAGCACAAAATTATCGAAATCCGGAATGTCCTACACCGAATTGTACTCGCGTTACGTTAACATGTCCGATAAATTGGCAGACAAAGAAGTGGAGTGCGCTCGATTAAACAACTACATAGAAACCATAATACGCGAACTGGACTCGAACTTCCCTAAAATCAAGCAACTGCACGAATCGTACAGCGACAGCATTTCGGCCGTGGACTCCCTCAAAGAGCAGAACGAGCAATTGGTGAGCGAAATCCAGTCGTTGCGCGACATGAACGCCGAATGCAAGAAGGCGGAAGGTTTGAAATCCAGAGAAAACGAAAGGCTCAAAAAGGAGGTCTACGACTTGTCCAGGCAAGTCGTGGTTCTGTTGCAAGAAGTCGAGAATTCTCGAATAAGCTCATCTTCCACTTCCACGGACAACGATTTGAGCGATAGCGTCAATTCCGCCGATATTATTAGCAAAAAATTGGTCACTTTCAACGACGTTACGGAATTGCAATCTAACAATATCAAACTATTGGCTCTCGTTAGGGAGTTATCGGAACGCCAAGAAGAAATTGAGAGCTTGGATCCGGCCGCCATCGCTCAATTAAAACAGAAACTGGACGAATTGTCTCGATCCCAAGACGAGTTGTTGGAGGAGCGCGATCGACAGACCAAAATGATGGCGACGCTGAGGAACCAGAAGGAAATGTACAAAAACTTGCTCGCGCAGGCCGTCAAAGGTTCCGGCGAAGACATCAAAGACGCCTCTTTAACCTTCGAAAGCGGAGAGCCCAAGACTCGAACGGACAACGAAGCGCAACTAGAAGAGAAAATCCAACAGTTAGAAGGCCAAGTCGACAAATTGACCAAGCAGGTGGAGCATCTGCGCGAAGAGAACGACACGTACCGCAAAGAAAAATCCGCCAACGAAAAAATATTACTGGAACAACTGGAGAACATGCGCGGGGAAGTTCGAGAATTGACCCGTCTGAATTCGAAGTTGTCCGCGCAAGCCGACCTCAGCGAATCCAAATTCAAAATATTCAACAACAACGCAGAGATCTACAAGAAGCAAATCAGCGCTTTGGAAAAGCAGAACAAGATATACAGCGAGGCCATCGTGAAGCACGAACAAGCAGCTACCTATTTGAAAAACGAGACCCTCCAATCCCAGAAGAAGCTCTCGAAAGCCGAGGTGGCTTTGGGGAACCTCGAAAAGGAAAACGCCCTGCTGAAAGACTCCGAGAGCAGGTTGCTCAAGGAGCGGGAATCGCTGAAGCAAGATTCCCACCAGCAGAATCTCATCAGAACGAACATAGAATTGATCAAGGCGAATCTGGAGCGAACTGACGCCGAAAGCAAACTGAGACTGGAAGCAAAATTGGACGAGGCGCACAGAGAATGCGCGGCCCTGAGACGGCGACTCCAAGAAGAACAAGACCGCTTCAGGGAGTTGTCCGAGAAGCTCAGTCGAGAAGCCAAAACCGCCCAAGCTCGTGCTGAAGAAGCCAACGAAATCGCCGAGAAATACCGCAAGGAAATCTCCGAGCTTAGAGAGGATTTGATCGCGAAAACCAGCCAAGTGGAGGAGTTGAGCAAGAAGTTAAAGACCGGCTTGTTCGCCGCTCCGGATTCCAACGCCGAAGCGCAGAAAATCAGGGAATTAGACCAGCAAATTTCCGATGCTCGCGCCGAAATCGAGGCGTTGAATAAGAAATTGAAAGTGGCGAAAGACGCGTCCGATGAATACTTCAAAGTCGCCGAATCGTCCGAAAAGCAAGTGCAAGAATTGACCGAAATAAAGCAAAATCTAGAACAAGAAATCGACAAACACAAGTCGAGAATTAAGGAATTGGAAGAAAAATGCGCCGAACTCGAAGGCGAATTGTCCATTCAACTCGACGATCAAGACATCATGAACGCCACCACCAAGACCAAATCCGCTCAACTACAAGAAGAATTAAACATACGTAACCTAGATTTGAGAACCGCCAAAGAGCAATTAGAAAACGCCAGATTGGAAAACAAACAGCTCGTCGAGCAACTGAAAGCAGTCGAAAATAAATACGCGAGAGAAGTGACTTTGCACTCGGTAGACTTGCAATCGCTTACCAAGCTCAAGGAAGACCTGAATACCACCGTGAACGAATTGAATTCGTTGCAAGCCGACCGACAAAACGCCATCAGCAACTTGGAGCAATTCAAGTCCGACTGGCTCAAGCAAGAGGAGCTCTTCAAAAAGGAAAAGGTCGAATTGGAGCAACGATTCAACGACATGGACGCCCAGAACAGCCTCCTACACGAGCAAATCCAAGTACTCAACACGCAAATCGGATTGTTGCAATCCCAATCCATACATGACACGTCTACGGGCGAATCGTCCTTCAACAGATCCTTCGTCGAAGAGGAAGTCAAATCGTCCGAGCAATTGTTGAAGATAATCAAATACCTCAGACAAGAGAAAGACTTGGCCCTGAACAAAGCCGACGTGATGGAAAACGAATACACGCGTTTGAAATCCGAATTCGACATGATGAGTAAACAATTCGAAGAAAACAAAGCGGCTTTGGAAGCCATCAGACAGGGATCCGAAATATCAGTGATATCGGCTGTCAAGCACGAAGAAGTTTTACGTAAGCTCGAAACTCTCAACGCCATCACAGACAGCAACAGAGCGTTGAGGCAAGAACGCGACGTGCTGTTGGAGCAAATCACCGAGCTCCGATCCCGATCGGAGACCTTCGAAGTCGAAATCGAGCCGCTCCAAGAGAAAATCAAGGAAATCGAAACGAAAGCCGACCAACTGCAATGCGAAAACATATCTCTGCGGGCCGAATGCACCAGATGGAGGCAACGCGCCAACATGCTCATCGAGAAATCGAACCGCACCAGCCCCGAGGACTGGAAGAAGCTCCAAACCGAGCGCGAAACCCTCGCCAAACAACTAACCATCGAACGGTCCAACGTCACCCGGCTCAACGACGAAGTCAACAACCTGAAGCAGGACAAGGCGAAGCTCGACGAGCAGCTGAAGTGCTGCAAGAATCTCAACAACGCGCGCGCCGACGAGCTGGCTAGATTGCGCGACGACGTGGCCGCTTTGCAGGCGCAAGTCGCGCAGTTCACCAGCACCGTCGACCAGCAGAGCGTCGAGCTGTTCAAGGTGAAGGAGGAGAACCGCGTGCTGAGCGAGGACGCCGGCGCCAAGGAGGCGTCGCTCGGCGAGCTGCGCAACAACCTGTTGCAGGTGAGGAAGCTGGCCAGGCGGTACAAGATCCAATGCGAGGACCAAACGAAGGAGATCGAGACGTTCAAGCAGCAACGGCAGCAGCACGAGACCGATCAGGTGTCGAACAACGAGAAGCGCGAACAGATGGAGAGCCAACGCGTCGAATTGGAGGAGCGAATCGGCCAGTTGGAGAATTCACATAAAGAATCGTTGACTCAATTGAACCAGGACATATCGTCGTTGAACGAACAAATCGAGAATTACAAGAAGGAAATCGAGAATTTGAAGCATACGAGCCAAGAGAAGGAGGAGAGGTTCAAAACATTGTTTATCAACGCTAAAGAGAGGATAGTGAGTTTGACCGAGCAAAACAACGTTTTGAAAGAGGAAATCCGAAGGCTAGACGGTCCGGGTAGATCCGAAGGCGGCGATCAATCGGGCAAAGATTCCACCAGGAACGCCGAATTACTCGAGAAAATCGCGTCGTTGGAACGGGAACGCGACGAAATGCTGGAAGAGCGACAACAGGAACAGGACCGACACGCCGCCGAACTGGAAAACCTAAATCAAAGGATCGTCCAGTTGCAAAGGCAAACCGGCCACCCGCAGGGTTCCAAACCCAGCACCAGTTCCAGCTCGTCGGAGAAATGCTCCACCGAACGGCCCACCGCCGATATTAAACCGATGGCAGGTCAGTCTGACGCGATTTGTACTTGCGAACGTTAATAACGAGCGAAACGCGTTTTTCAGGTCACTCGACTAATACTCAAACCCAGTCTGTTCCCATTCAACCGTGGAGGAGCGGTGGAGAGCCGCCGCTGGCCAGCATCAGACCGATGTCGGCCCAATTGAGAACCGTCGCCGTTTTACCTACTAGTCAAAGTCCCAGTGCTGTAATGGTACCGCCGCAACAACAAGTAAATACCTATTTTTTCATTATATTTCTAGCGAGAGTGTGAATTAAAAACCCAATTATAGTTCTGATTTAGTTTTCTGCTGGTGATGCTAACTTCATGTTTAAGTGGGAGATTAAGTACTTTTGAGAAGCTTGTTTTGTTGTTTGTATTTATTACTACACCATTTCCAGCTGTATTTCAGAATGCCTCAATTAAATTTCAAAATAGTCACTTATATTTCGGAAAGTATCAATTGTATTTCAGAAAAGTCATCTCGATTTCAGAAAAATCAATTTGATTTCAGAAACCATCAGTTGTATTTCAGAATAGTCAGTTTAATTTCGGAAACGATCATTTGAATATCAAAATAGTCAAATTCATTTCAGAAATCATCATTTGTATTTCGGAAAGTGTCATTTATCTTTCTATAGCGTTTCAATCTCAATTTCAGAGAAAATTATAAAGGTATCACTTCCAGAAAGAGTAATTTCGATTTCAGAAAAAAATATTTCAATTCCGGAGAGAAGTTGTTTCAAGTCCGAAAAAATAATATAAATTGTGAAGAGGACTGTGAGTTTTTCTGTTTCTGCATTCCAAATGGGACTCTGAAATCCTTTTGACGGTTTCCATAATACGAATGACACTTTCCGAAACACAAATGTTAATTCCTTAAATACAATTGACTATTCTGAAATACAATTGATGCTTTCTGAAACACACTTGACTATGCTGAAATTCAATTGATGATTTCTGAAATCAAATTGACCATTCTGAAATACAATAGATACTTTCCGAAATATAAGCGACTATTTTTAAATTCAATTTACGCTTTCTGAAATACAACTGGAAAAGGTGTAGTGTTTCTGATAGATGGAATATATCTGAGTAGTTCTTTACTTTTGCAATGATAATCTTTCTTAGAACTTATGTATCTAGTGCAACATTGTTAATTCTGATTCAGGTGTTCGACTGATATTTATGCGTTTAAAGTACTGCGTTATTTTATTAGAGCACATTTTCCAGGACATTGGAAACGTATCTATTATAATATAGAACCATTTATGTACTTTATTTAACGTTATTCTTCTGTGTCGAGGTCCACACGACGGGTTCGAGTTCGATCGAAGCCCTATCGAGCAGCCCGACCAGCTCGCACACGGAGTACGTTCCGGCGACGAGTTCGGCCAGTCCGGCGATGCTGGGGCCGCGCCAAGTCGCCGTGCCGCCGACGCAATCGTCGCAGGACGCCGAAGACGACGAGGGCGACGGCGCGCAGGTGCAGGCGGCGCCGCAAACGCAGGCCGTCGCTTTGGTGTTGCCGCGCGTCGAGCCGCCGAGCGGCAGCGGCAGCAGCAGCAGCGGCCCCACGCAGGAGCAGGGGACGAGCAGCAGCAGCTCGAATACGGTGACGACGACGCAGGCGGGACACAAGAGGCAGCGCGAAGCCGATACGGATACGTCGCAGTCGGACGAGCAGAATAAGGCGCAGCCGCAGTCTAAAAGGACTCGAGTTCAGGTAGGTTGGATGACTCGTTTATTTTGCCACAAATAGGCACTGAATATTCATAAAATGAAGCATAACCTTTTGCTTCAAATAATGACGGAATTGTTTCACGGTATGTGCGTAAAAGGAAGAGAGGTTTTACTTCGAGGACCTTGCTGTTGCTTTAAAGCAAAAGGTTTTAAAACCTTTTTATCTCTTATCTTTTGCCTCTACCTTTTACTTCAAAGTAAATGCTTCATTTTTATAAATATAGACTATTATCACCTATTTCTTATTACAGATAGAACAGTAGTATTTTATGACATTTATTTTTTGTTTATAGCAGGCTGGTACGGTGAGCGACAGCGGTTTAGATGTCGAATACCAAGTACCTACTAGCAGTCAAAGGGATCACGATGACGACAACGTTATCGTAGTTGAAAGCGATGAAGAAGGCGGTGCTGATGAAGGTGAAGGCGCCGACGATGATCAAGACGATCCCGATGATACCGAAGGCTACGACATGGAGGGCATGGTAAGTTTTTTTTTTTATTATTCTAATTCTAATACGTTCAATCAGATTGAATTTATTTTGATAACGGTATTTTTTTGTAGGAACAAGACAATTATGAAGACGCCGATTGTCCGGATATAGCAAACGAAGTGGAGATAAACGAAGATTCCAGTGAGGTGCCAAATCAGAGCGAAAGATCAGTGCGCGACGAGGAAGAGGAGAACTCCGAACAAGCTCAGTCGGAGGCCATAAGTAGTGGCACAGACGGTAAGTTTATTTGAAACTTGACATACAATGTCTAATGTTTTTTGTAATACTGTGCAACAGAAATAACTGTAGACGTAAAGGTATTGTTATGTCTACAGTTATTTCTATCGCACCGTACATGTATAAATAAAAAAATCAAACTTACTTATTTACTTAATTTTATTTTCTTATCATTGATGATGGCATTAAAATATTATTCAGCGCTTAGACACCACCATACAAGCAATAGAATAATGTTCTTTTTCCTAACAAAATCCAGTTTATAGTGTATTGTTTATTAAATATCAGGAGCGAGTATTAGTAGCGGTGTAGCGATATCGCAAGTTTCGACGTCCGTTTCGATGACTGTAGCGTCGTTTTCTCGTTCGAGATCCGTCGCACCTTTGCCGTCTAGACAACAGTCTCATCTAATATCGTACGGTCACGGTCTCGATGAAATTGGAGATGATGGTATCGTTCCGTCGACACCGACGCTTTACGTTCCACGGAGATCCGATGGTTTTGGTGAGGCGGTGAGTTGGAATGCATATAAACAACAAAATACCTGATTTTAATCGCTTCGATTTTCGTCGATACATTGAGATTATTAACGAGGCGTTCATTAGTAATTTGATTTCTCAACGGAAGCGATTAAAATTAGTTTTGTATCGGGGTATTCCGGCACCGTGTCTCATTTGTATATGCAATTCCATAGGTGAGTTCGCCGCACGTGCCGACCAGTGGCCGATTCACTTTTAACGAATCATCGACGGGTTCGAACGTCGCCGGTTCGAGCGGTATCGAGAACGTTCCGGAGCAGACGCTCGTCGAACCGCCGGGGCATTCGGACGATAACAGTATGAAAAATCACGTGCCGATCCGAAAATGTTTAATACAATCCGTTTCGTTGTTGCAGGTACGGGCAGGAGCGTGCCGACGACGCCGTTGCAGAGTTCCCCGCAGGAAGGGATCCCCGGGGGCGAGGACCAAGGGGTCAATCAGATGACGCAGTCCGATGGTGAGTAGCGAGGCGTTTTGCGTTTTGAGAAATGTTTCTAACGATCGTAATGTTTGCAGCGGAGATTCCTTCGATCGTGATCAGTAGGGAAGTGGACGATAATGAAACGGGCGCGGAAGGTAGTTCCGGCGATATGGGACCTCCCGGTGTAGCCGGAACGTCTTCGGAGAGTTCCAAGCAAATGGAGCAAAACGAAGAAATTCTTGAAGGAGACGATGGCGTAAGTTTTTACTTAGATTTAACTATTGAAATGAATATTTAACTTGTTTGTTTCTACAGGTAAGTTCTGAAGGAGAAAAAGCGCACGTAGCTGAAGAAGGGGAGGAGGAAGGTCGTGAGGCCGAGGCAAGCCCTAGTACGAATTCAAGACGATTGGTAAGAGGTATAAATTCTGCTCGAAGATCAATTAGGTCATTGCCTAGAGGCCATTTGCAACGGAGCGCCCCGACGCCTATAGTTTGGGACGACAGATTACCGTCTCAAAGAAACCAAGGTAATGAGACGTAAAACTTTTTAAAACTTACCTGTAACTTTGCATGCTCCATTTTAGACAGGGGTAGGGGATTATCCCCAGGAAATTCTCAAGGACGAACCGTGGCTAGAAGGACGAGAGGTCGTATACAAAGGCCATATGGGCGATTTTGATTTCATTCCAATTATCATTTTTTATGATGTTTTACGTTAGAACATTAGTAGTTGCAGTTGTCTACAGTTCCGACTGAAATTATTTATGTAAGAATTATCTTAATTTTAATGATAATAAATTTGTTATATCAATTATTTTATATGCATAAAATTATTTACAACTGCAAGTTTTGATTTGATAGGAAATTGCCATATTAATCCTATGGAATCTTCTAAAATATTAAAAGGTAAGAGTGTCCCCACAAATTTACTTTTTCTGCTACTAGTCTAGTAGCAGAAAGGAGACGTTAAGTATGCAAGCAAACTAATTTACTAGACAATTTATTAATAAAAATGTTATCTACTACATAGCGTTATCTTAAATAAACGCCTTTAGATGCATTTAAACATAATTATTATTAAATCAACTTCTCCCAAAATCTGTAACCTGTAATTAAAAGCAATGGTTATATTTTTGATTTAACATACGCATTTCGGCGTTCAACGTCTCTTTCCAGATACTTGGGACCAACCGTCTTCGACTTCGGGCTGAGCAGCTGTTAAAAAAAATTCAATTAGCATTTTCAATGATACATTCATGTAAAACACTTACGTTTTTCTCTGGTCATTTGAGGACGCCTTTCCTCCCTTTTCGAATCATCCTTACGATCGTTGTCCTTACTAGACCGCCATGCATTCTCCGATCCCCTAGCTGGTGTCGATCTACGATCATCATCGTTCCTCGGAGCAGATCTCATATTGCGCCACGAACTCTCCTCGCCTTTCTTGTCGTCTTTGCGATCCCTTTCGCCTCTACGCTCTCCCTCGTCTCTACGATCTCTATCATCTCTACGATCTCTATCATCTCTGCGTTCTCTATCGTCCCTGCGCTCTCTGTTATCCCTGGAAAATCCTTTGTTCTCCCTATCGCCGAATCTTTCGCGCGGCTCCCTGTCTCTGCCGAAGTCGCGACGCTCGAATTTCTTTTCGTCGGGTCTCTCTCCTCTTCCCTCTTCTCTTTTCTCCTCGTTCCTCCAGCTGTCTCCTTTCGAAGCTTCATCGGGAGGATTGTTGCTGCCGCGGAAACGTGAAGCTAAAAATATGTAAGGCGTTAAAAATCAAGTTAACGCGAGAATATTATTTATCGTGTACTTACGTTTCCAAGCTTCCGCTTTTTTAGGTGGTTCGTCGGTCCTCCACGAAGAATCTCGAGGTTCTCGTTTAGTTTCGCCCTTTCGCCACGACGAAGCTTCTTTGGACGGTCTCTCGAACGTCATTTCCTTTTCCTTCGCCAATTTCCGTTCGATCTCCTCCAATCTCTCCTTTTGTATCTTGCTGGTTCTATTTAGCATCTCCTGTTTTTCTTTTTCTATCTTTTCTTGCTCCTCTTTCTGCACGCGTTCCTTCTCTTCGCGTTCTCGACGCTCTTCTTCTTCCCTTCTCAGTTGTTCTTCTTCTTCGCGACGTATTCGCTCTTCCTCGCGCCGTTCCGCCTCCTCCTGCTTTTCTTTGAGGTACGTCATGCGCCTCTCCTCCTTCCTAGCTACTTTCCTTTCGTGCAATCTCTTAATTCTAGTCTCGGACAACAGGGCTTCGAACTCCTTGAGCTTATCTTCGTACACGATGTTCCTCTCGTTCTTCAATTTGTTGAGGAACTCGTCCTTATCGGCCTTCATGCGCAACAGCCTGTCCCTGGTGGCGACGGCCAGTTTGCGCTCTTCGATCGCCGCGGCGATCCTTTCCTTTTCCTGTTGCTCCCAGAAGTTCTGATCCTGCAATTGCCTTTCCTTCATGCTGGCTTGCAGCAGCGGGATCTCCTCCAAGCGTTTGGCGCGTTCAAAGTAATCCACTTTCTTCTCTTGCGATTTCAACTTGGCTTGGAGCTCGCGGCGCTCCTTTTGCAATTCCTCCGCTTCCTTGGCCGCTATTTGATCCGCATCCAATTTCTTTATATCCTAATGAATAATAAAAAAAATTAGTTAATAAGTGGTAACTCATGAATAGAAGAACGTACATCCTCGTCTAGCTTCTTAAGAATCTTCTGTCCGTGTCCAGTTTGGCTAATTTGCTGCAATTTCTCCTTCAGATGCCTGTCTTTGATTTGCTGGATTTCGTTTAGGGCTCGCTTTCTTTCGCGCTCTTCTCGCTCTTGCTCCAAACGCTTTTGTTCGGCGAGAATGTGCTGTCTTTGCATCTCTTCCAATCTGAAATTTGACGAGAAATATTTACACTTCGAACGAAGGCGCATTCGTGATAGCTTACTTCTTCTGTTCCTCTTCTTCGCGAACGGTATTCAATCGTTCGATGTACTCTTTTCTGTCCTCGATGATCTTGTGTCGCTGCAGTATCTTTTGGTGTTCTCTGACTTTCGTTTCGTGGTAATTCTGAACCATGGCCACACGAAGCTTCTCTCTCTCCAACTGAAAAATCAATAAATCAATAAATACATTCAATAAAACAGTTAAATCATTACCTTCTTTTTGTTGGGATTGATAATATGCGTAGCTTGATTGAGAACAGTAGACATGTTGACGAGTTGATTCCTGACTTGCTCGCTGGGCATGACTTGCAAAGTCGGCCCTTCAGGTTTGTCCTCTCTCTGGCTCTCGCTCAAATCCATACCGAAATGTATGCAACTTTTCCCGTGATCAATTCGTATTTGCATGTCGTTATGTCGCACGCAATCGACGAGGAGTCTTTCCAAATGAAACGGCGTAGTAAATTTCGCGATTTCCAATAATCTCGCGAACTCGATGGTCTGGTACACTTGGGCCGTTTGTCTAACCAAACGGACCAGCGTAACGTCCTGCAAGGCGGGAATATACTGTTGTAGAATCGAATTGTCATCGGCTTCTAAGGATTTGATGACTTCGTGTACACGTTGGCAGAGGAGAAGAGGATGGAATTCGACCTCCAGCCAATTGTAGAGCTCTTGCAATTGAGGGCTTGCCAAGTTGACGACGTTTATACGAACAAGATCTTTGAGTAGGCTTGCTCTAGTGGGTGGTTGGAACAAGCCCAGTAGAACGGCTAAACGCTGAGCTTTCTCCAGAGGCGACTTGTCCGTTTCGATGAATCTATCGAATTCCGGATGAGCCGAAGGCAAAGGAATAGCGAGCGTAGAAATTAGAAGTCTACAGGCCATTCTCTGCAATTCCTCGCTGGTGATGTTCTTCTTCATTTCTTTAGACAACTGGAAGAGCTTGAATAGAGCAGCGGCGTGGAACAAGTAATTGCCAGCTTTCCAAAATACCATGGCCAATTTTTGGTAATAATTCGCCATAGTTTTGGGTACAGGGCTTTTCTTCGACAAGTTCATCAAGTTGTGGATATCCTCAATCGCTTTGTAAGCTTCCTGAAGAACATAAAAAACTAATAAAGTAAGTAATTATAGAAGCGTTAGAGTAATATCACCTGCCACAATTCCATTTGTATGGCAAAGTCGAGCTGGTGCAGTCTCGTCTCGAGATTGAGTTGCTGCGTTTCAGGTTTGGACATCGAAACGTTCGCTGCTACTTGAGCGGGTAGCTTGCAAATGTCCTCGAGATGTTTCCTAAGTTTATCGCAAAGTTTTCTGAACTCGGTTTTTCTGTTGTATTTTAAACAGAATTGAAAAGCCATTCTAGCGATGTCGTGATAGAGGTTCTCTACGTGAGCGTTGGTACGTAGAAGTTCCAAACATTGGCAATATGATTCCCATAAGAATTTAACCCACGGTGTTAATATGGTACGATCGGAACGATCTTGGGCATCTTCTCCTGACACAGCGCTAAAATAGATATTACAAGCTTATAAAACTGTTAATTTAAGTTTATTGTGATAAATTACCTCAATAAAATACTTTCAGGAGTGGCTAAGTTATCTAAATCGTCAATATCGATAACGGCCTGAGCCGACTGCTCCCTGGCATTTTCAGTCTTTTCTTCGGCCATTCGTAAATATCCTCTTATAACGTTTTCTAGAGAACCTACATTCACAGTTTGAAACATATTCCTGTATTGGAATAGACCTTCCTTGGCAATGTGGGATTTTTTCAGTTCCACGCAGAGGTCCAGATATTTGAACATTATCGGTTCCAATATCGACTCCGACCAATTGTAGGCCCATTTTTTATTCCGGAATACTTCTTGCAACGTATCGAGAGCTCTAGCCGGCTTTCCGACTTCAATGAATTCTAAAAATAAATAAAATAAACGTGAGAATTTTTGCGGTCCATATGCAAAGTGTTACGAACTCACCGTTGGCACGCTTTAAAGCGTTTTCGGGTCTTTGACTGTAACGAGCCATGTTTTAGGATTACTTATATATCCACTTTACATTTAAGTGTATATAATAGTGTTGAAAACTAACAATTATCAGAATTTTTCTCTAAACGTCAAATGACCGACGAGACAAAATTCTGGCAAAATGGCTGGCCGGAAACCGCCACCATACGTGTCACCGGCACCGGATGAGCAACAAATTCTTTTCTTCTTTTTAAACAATACTGTTAATTATCTAAAAAATGAATTCTAATATTAATAATATGGGAATTATAAACAGATAAGCAGCTTAAAATTAAAATATAAAATTGTATCCTTAGGAATACTAAAAAAATTAGGTAACTGCAAAATGAATTCGTAAAAGGCAAATAGTAAAGCATTTGAGATTGACATGTGACACGTGCCTCATTGTCAAGTGTCATGTCATTTCGGTCAAACTTCAAACGACATCAAATATCAAATTGAAATAAATATTAATTTAATTCCTATCAACTAGTATCAGTGGTCGAGTTTAGTTTGGACTTTGAAAGTGGAACTGAACTGCTCAAAAAATTTAGATAACATTACATAAAACAATGGCTTCCACTTCGTTAGATGTCCCAGTTGAGATTCCGGCTATTAGAGAAGATATGGTGAGCACTTTATTTTCGTTAGCTGGAAACACAACGAAAATTTGGCATGTAATGTTCTATTTCATTGAATGCGGTTAATTTTTTAAGGTTCAAACGGCCATAAAATTTCTAGAAAATCCTAATGTAATGAATACGCCTCTCGCTCAAAAACAAAAATTTCTCCAAAGGAAAGGCTTAACAGATCAAGAAATCCAAATGGCATGCGAAAAATCGGGAGCCTACGCTCTTCACGAGCAACAGATCCGTCTTCCGCCTCCTTTACCCAGTAATAAATTAATTCAATACCATTCACAAAGTCAAATGCACTTAAGTGTATTTGATAGAGTAAGGGAAATTCTACACAATATTGCAATATTCAGTATCGTCGCCTACGTTATTAATAAATTCTACGAGGTTAGTTTCTATTTTCTATATAAAATATTCAAATAGTATTATCGAATGCAATTATTATCGTCAAGGATATTTAATTATTCATAACTAATTGCGATTTTATTCGACTCGTTTCAGCGTTACATTGCTCCGTTCTTATTCGGCAAAAAGAAAAAGTCAGTTAACGAAACCATCGAAGAATTAGATAAAAATGTCAAATCGTCAGTAGGAGAATTAAAAGAAGATTTACATAATGTTAAAGTCGAAATCGATAGAATAACTCACGAGTCCGAGAACCACACATCGAGGCAACTAATAGAATTAAAATCGGAAATTGCCAGCGTGAAAGGACTCCTTTTAGGAAGGTGAGAATAAAGAATTATCCCAAGAAAATAAGCTTGACATACAAGATATGTTCCCATGAAATTAGGTACAAACTCGAGACATCCTGTATACAAACCAAAAACAAATTCTATTATCAATTTAAAAGATTTACTGTGTTTATAAATCTGGAACTAAAAATTCGTTGAGAAATTGTAAAAAATCGGGGTCATGTGAACCCATTAATCTACATGTATTATCAAAATTGAATTAATTAAGTTTAAAATGTTATAGGAAACAATTTCCGTCTGTAGCTAGTAGCCCAGTGGTCCCACCATCGATCCCCGCATGGCAAATGTCCAGCGTTCCATCCAATGATGAGCAAGATGGAGACGTCGAAGAACGGAAAGAAGATCTATTAGAAGAATTAGGTTCCGGATCAGGCTCTTCGGAGCCCGAGCACGGCATGAAAACCAGTGAATCCAGTTTAGAAATAATGTAAGTTATTCAAAAAAGTGGTTAATTAAATTTGCTAGTAAAATTTATCAATTTCTCACAGTAAAAGATTCTGCATGGAGAGAATTATTGCAAAATTTGTTTCCGTTTTTTTTTATTTTCTTTTACAGAACACACGATGACCACTATTAAAAAATAATAATAATAAAAATTGGCGGTTTAAAGAAATAGGTAGATTGTTGAAATTCGTATGATTACATCCTAATTTTTATTTGTTCCAGTTATTCGTCTAGAGATTGTGATTCGGAATCTTGCCATAGCAGGAAGAGCTAGTTAGCGAATTTTTTATATTTTACATATATTATAGATTAGTTACCTTATATAATTTTTAATGATATATTTATTAAAAAAGGGATCGCTTTACGAACGACCAAATAATTTTTTAAAAGGTTTTTTGTTTTAAATAAAATTTGTTTTCTGTTTTAAATTCTAATTGTCAACCCTCCTCTACCTACTGTACTAGGAATAAAAACAACCTGAAAATTTTCTCAGTATAATTTTCCATAAAAGTGATTTACTTTAACACTTGATTGTTAAGGGAAAACATACATTATACATCATTATAAATTGATAGAAGCAAAATTTCTTAATTCCGTATATACATCAATTTAACATCGTTTTTAAACTATAACAAAAATATATAAAAAAAACAATTCAACAATTCCAAATAAATATTCGAAAATTATTCATAATGCAATTAAGAAATTGCACAAAAGAACTTATTGTTATAAATCGGCGCATAAACAAAAAATAATCGTGATCATAGACAATCAGGATCAATGGAGGAAAGAAGGAGACACAATAAGGAGTCAATAAAGTTAGAATGAGAAAATAGACCAAAAAGAAATAGTAATAGGGGGTTTATAAAGTTGAGGATACTTTACAGAGTTCAAAATCTTCAAGTACCTTCATCAATAACAACTAATAGAGACTAGTACTTCTCTAAGTATTTGAAGATTATTTGTACCGTTGTCATTAATTTGAATCATTTAAAACAGTAGCCAACCACTGGTTTAAAATTCTGTTATGGTAGGTTATTCACAACAACGGTACCGAACCGTTCAAAACTGTACTGCGTTTGCGCAAGGCAAAACTAACGACAAATCGGTACCTTCATTGGAACAAACATCTGCACAATTATTTTTGTTTACACCCCGAAACTATTCCAAATGAGCTTGTTAAGTACTACTTTCGTAAGGAATTACATAAATGACTTCTTTAATATTTATCACATATGTAGACACTCATTTGTTTATTTTAGGATATTAACTGTACAAAAACAAATCATTGATATACTCGTACATGCCTTTTTTAAGCTAAAAACTTGGAACTTTATTCGATTTTACGAATAGCGCGTACCAGCTGCCCCTATATGTAGTCAAAGTCAATAGTTAAATTTGTCGATTGTGACTGTAAATCGAACAAATTTAGTCTACGATACAAACTGGTCGTTCCAGCAAACAACTTTGAAACGATAAGTACTGCACAGCACAAGGTAGAACAAGAAGTGTGCAATGTAAACTTGAAAACACGATACAATTGAAGCCTTGGAAAACTCGGAATATATTAAATGAATACCGAAAGACACCCAACACAAAAGTGCTGATACTCCAGGAAATATTCAGGGAAATAAACGTATACAGTATGTCCTGTTACTAGTTTACAAACCTTTAGCTTGCAAGTAAAGAACTCTATGGTCTACCAGAAAATGAACATTACAGTCTCATAATTTTTAATAAGTGACTCATTTCTTTACCCTATCTTTAGGCAAAGGTTACGGGACACTCTGTATAGTTAATCAAGTTTTTTTTAGCAGACGTGTTTCATTAATCCGACCAAGGCTCATTGTGAATAGTGACACGTATTACAAAGATGTATTTTGATTATTACTTATGCATGAATTGGACTCGTTTGTAAATAAATTTGCTTCTAACGCGGATTAAATAACCAGCACTTCTGAAAACCAGCCGATGACGTTCAATTATTACACGAGAACTAATCAGTGTTTTAATTAAAGGTCGCTCGCTACTCGTTTAACATCACTGGAATATTTTACCAAAGGAAATGTAAATGAGAAATTAAATATATCAATACAAGTTTTTTCACAGTAACAATCTGACTATAATGCTACACAGTGTAGTACTTTTTTTGAAAAAGAAATTCAAAAACATTTCAGTCGTTAGGCCTGAAATATTATAATAAGTTTTAAGTCAATTCATGGAAGTGACTAAATAATTGTTAAAATTGCTACTACAAGTATGTATTATTCTACGCAAAAAAGCCCCAAGGGCTTCCCGTTTGCGAAGAGTACTACTAAAAACAGATGATTTTAAATACTAGGACAAAGAGTGAATATTTTTTAAATTTGTTAATATATTCATCAAATCGAGCGAAAAAGCTCCGGATATTTTTTCATAAAAGAGGCAACTCGTTGAATTGGAATTTCACAATTTTTTACCGCAAAGACCGTTTAACAATGCAATTTCTCTACACGGAACTTTACGATAAAAATCATTTGATTATCTCACTTATTCGTTCATAGGCATTTTATGAAAAAATATCACAAACGAAAAACGTAAAATTCAATTACGTACAAATACTTCAGTGAAAATTTCATTTATATGAAAGAGAGCTAGAAACCTATTTGTATATTTGTAATTCAAACAATCTCATGAAATTAAATGCCGGATAAAATGTAGCGAAAACAATCGAGCGTCTTAAAATCTCTACTTTTCTACATAAATAAAAACAATTCGAAATAATACTATTAAATCATGATCATAAAATTCAGTACGGATTCTTTTTTATTAAATTAATCTACGAGAGCTCGAAACGACATTCCTCTGTACTGTTTCTGCGTTAAATAACACCTTGAATACCGAACAACAAATAATAATTTACTCAGTATTCAAATTGTTAATTATTTTCATTCGTTTACGTTTACTTTTTTTCCATATTACCTAAATACAAAAAACTATATCGTCTATAAGAATGAGTTGTAGATTCTTAAAGTGGAAAAAGTTCAGTTTATCCAAATTACCCTTGCATTTGATTGAATATTAATTCATTGGTTATTGTATAGTTCACTATTTCTTTGCTAGGTTCAGGAAAAAAGCGATTCGAAATAAACTCTGCAGAGACATTGCGATTTTTGAATGTATCTTTTAAATAAATTTCCGCTTTTTTTAATCGAGAAATTTTTCGTACTATCTTTGGCAATTAAAATTATTCTATCTAAACGATTTGTTGTTTTTTAATATTATCTGAAACTTACCTAAAGTGTGAAAAGTTCATTTAGACTATAGTTTGATATATTATTAACAGCTTACATAATGTAATATATTATTTTTATAAGCAAAAAATGGTTATGTACAGATTCTCAAATTTAAATAAATTCTCCTTAACTATCATAATTACATTTATAATAAGAAATTAGAAATATGGCACAATAAATTAAGACCGGATAAAATCTCCTTCGCAATCTTATTTAATAAGAAACAAATCAACGAAATATACAGACTAGAATAAATTCAAATATCATTAATAATTTCCGTTCGTTTTATTCACCATGATGCTTACAACGCATCCGACCATAAAAGAGATTAGACTTACAAATTTATACAATTTTCTTTTAAATTTACCCTGTATTCTCGCGGGTCGTTTTATCAATTACATTTTTTAAAAAATCCGTCTACTACTTAGTTACAACATCAAAAATCTCTAATCTCTTTTAAATCGCGCAAAAACACTTAATGGAATCGACGGCTCACGCGTGTCATTCTTCACGAACGTTTCGTACACAATTGATCATCAATAAAATGCATCAGATGATTATAAAGAAGTAAATGAGGAGGCAATTAAAGAAGATATCAATGCAAGAAAGTCGGGAAGAAGTATATAAAAGAGGGAAGGAAATAAATATGTTGTAGCAGTATATTTTGTAAAAATATTATTTTGTTGTTTGGAACAAAACTGAGCAGTTTCAATAGGTGTTTTACCATTTATATCAATTAAATATATGTTAAAATAATATGATAAAATATTAAAAAATAGGTATAGGATCATTTGTACAGTGTGTCCCAAATTAAGAGGTCAGTATGCTCACTCCGAGCAAGTTTAAACGCTTTGTAAAAAATAAAAATATGGAGTTTTCCTAATTTAATCTTCCTAAGAATTTATGAAGAAATGTTGCATTAAAGTCGGGACTATATGAAGCAAATTTTTTGAACAATGCGGCAATAACTCGAAATAAACCCGCTATTTTTCATTAAAAAAAAGTGCGAAATACCTGTAATTGCGTTCCAAACAAAAACCCGTTTTGGCATCACAACAAATCCAAAATTGGCAAGGGACTAATTCGCATTGACGAACGACTTGTACGAACTTCGCATCGGTCCAAATGACAACGAATCGATAACGGGCCGCATTTTACAGTCGATTACCGTCTAATTTTTTCGCATTCACCTGTGGCAAATAAGTACTAGATTTAAGTACGCAAAATACGGAACAGAAAGGAAACATTCGAAACACATAGAGAGAAATCGTGAGACTCACACATCACCGTTCAGAGATCTCGACACTGACAAACAGAATCAGTCGGTAGATCTGCGTTAAATATTCATTTATGTCTCGTTCTTCACGTCGAACTATTTGTGTAAACTGAATCCGAAGGCGGCGCCCCCGTTCCCGCCGCTGCGATGGAAATGGACGTTCTGCCATTTGTTGTCCCGTTTGTGCCAAACGCGACTCTCCTCCGACTGGTGGGTGTGCGCCTGGCCGTGCCTGCGAGCCCAACAAAACGTAATTTAGCGAAAACAAATTTACCCCCCATTTAATTAGAATGCTCGAATATCATTCCATCCCTAATAAATTTCCCCTACTACAAATGTGAGCCCTACAAACATGCCTAAAACCGAAAGAATAATTTAGAATAAAAATACATTACTTGTCCATGTATTGCGTTAATCTAACGTAGGCGATGCAGGCGGCGTCTTCGCCCAAAAGATGCACGTGGGGATTCAAGATTGTTGTATTTACAGCTTTACAATTTTTACCAAGCACTGCAAATAACGCGGGAATTAATCGGGAACGAATCGAAGTCGGAAGTTTCTTACCGTTGTCGAAGTAGAATTTATGGAAATCCATGCCTTCTACCAGATTTCCCATGGCCTCCGGTTCGAATGCGGTCAAATGTGGATCGCATATTTTTCTTAACGGAAGAAAAACATAGAAATAATCAATCGGGTCAATTCGAAAGAGACTTTTTTTTTTCTCTTTCATCTATCGATGGGTGAGCAATTCCGTGTAGTGACCAAAGGCATGAATAAAAGATCGAAAATACTTACGTATACGCTTCAAAATCGCCCGTATTGATCGCTTCGATAAGCTGTTCCGTCATTTTGATGATTTCTTGTCGTCGAGCTGTGGAAAAAATCGATTGTCGTTAGTGAAAAGGCATCGCAAGTAAAAAACCACAACCAGTGAAACCATCAAAACAACCAGGCGATCTAAAATATGGAGTACCAATTACCACTGGTTTATAATAGGAAAGTCACTTAGATCATGCACAGTTCAGGATCAGGAAAGAGTTCGTACAAAATTGAATATCGATTGCAAAGAGAAGTAGACGAACATTTTGAAATGGATGTAGTGCACACAATTCAATCGTGTTATTCAAAATGCTTTTCTTGATGTTCTCTATAGTAAGCTAAGTAAGGGAAAAATTTAAATTTTTGAAGCATCAACGTGTGAAATTTGATTTGGCATTCAAATACAGCGTATGAATAAAGAAAAAAGATAAAGTAAGTTAAAAGCTCGGTACGAAACGAACGAAAATTAACGAGGAATTTCTTTGATTCCAATTACAATCAGTTGTTAAAAATTAGGCGAAAGATTTACAAAGATTAAAGAAGAAATGTTTAAAGGATAATAATTGATTCAAACGATAGATAATTGCATACACTATTACGTCTACAGCTGGATTATATCTATCTATATTTTTCTGGGGACTACCGAGTTGTACCACGACTACCTGAATTAATCCCTTACCGTTCTTTATCCGGATTACATTGACTACCGAGTTGTACCACGACGTAATTACCCCTAATGGCCTTAATATGCTCGGGATCGCCGAGTTGTACCACGGGATAGCATTTATGCCAAACGTGGTACCGTAAAATTTTAAATTTAGGACTATCTAATGAATACAAAGGAAAAAATTCGGAAATTGGTAAGTTTTTGAAATTATTCTTCGGCCTACACTTTCTGGAACCTACCGAAGTAGGTGATTTTTTCGCATTCCAAATATTAGATAAATTACCCAATGATGAGAAAGTAATACAATTTTGCGACTACATATTGGACAATTATGTGTCAGAAGAAGCTAGCTTTCCTCCGAAAATTTGGGCATGTACCACCAATAGCATGTACAGGTCTACAAACGCTTGTGAGTCGTTTCATTCGGTACTGAAAAACAGTTTTTATTCTCCTCACCCAAATATATTTCTTTTCACAGACATGCTAATAAATATACAAAGTGAGACGTTCACTAAAATTAAGATTGCCAGTGAATCAAAAAATAATAAAAAACTGAAGTCTGTTACAAGAAAGAAATTCGATTATATAACATTAAAAATTAATGAATTTAAAGAAAACAAAATTAATAAATTTGATTTTGTAAAGTCTTTAAGTTTTTACTATTTGCCGCAGTAGAGCATTTAAATGTGTATGTATAAGTAGATTATGTGTAGATATTTTATATTTGATATTTTATATTTTACTATAATTTTGTATCTAATTTATAATAAAATTGTTAATGGTTATTGTCGGGCTTTATTTTTTAAGTCGTTAAGCCTCATTAGAAAATTCGGTGGTACAACTCGGTAGTAGGATTAGACCTACCTGCTATCCCGTGGTACAACTCGGCGATCCCGATTTTTCTTAATAAAATAAGAATCCAGTTATAGGTCCTATTAAAGTTTTCATGCGAATTCGTACCGACCTCTAAAAATACACACAATAAATACCGAAAGTATCGCATTTGATTTTTCGATCCGAGAAGGAAATACTTAGGAAAAAGTCGCAGGATAGATTATAAACAAGTTTCAACTTACTTAAAATTATTCGATAATTGGAAAATATGTCATACCTGAGGTTTGAGAGTTTGTGGATAGTTGAGTGTACGGCTTATCGGGACAGACAATCCGAATCTCTATAAATAAAAATTGCAAACAAGCGTTCGTTAGTAGTTTCCATGGTTTATTTCGACAAGCATACAACATGCACAACCATCGGTATACAAGTAGGCGACAGACTGTTTTGTGGTTAGAAAATAAAACGCAAATACGTTAGCTAGAATTAATTAATTACCGGCTTTCGAGCAATTTATCTACGTACCTTTCGCTAGTTTTATTCAAGTTTCATTTATTTGGATGTTACTCTGTATATACTAAAACGTTTTTTTAATCGTTTCTTCTGAGAATATAGGTAGGTAATATACGAGTGCCTGAATTATATGGTAACCACAAGTGCTTTTTACCGAATTTCTGCGCAATTATATATAATTTCAATTTCGAATACTACTTCGTTATTGTTAATTAAATATCTATACGAAAACAACTTTACAAGAGGTCTAAACTCAGATCAAAATAGCAACAGAGCTGTAACTAAACAGATTCAACCTACGTTGAATATGATTTACAATTGGTCGTGCAACAGTAAAAGCTCTCGTCTCGAACAAAATAAGACTCTGAAATGGAAGCCTTAATGGAAGAATATTCGAACGAGTAAGAGACGGGATAATTTCAGATTTTTAACATGCATTTTGCGAAGAACGCAAATCATTCCGCAAAAATTCCTACTTCTTTGTCTTTTTGAATCAATCACTTGTTAATTATCAAGGATTACTATTAGTAAAGAAAATGATTAAAACCATACAATAATTAAAGACACTCGATATTATGGCACTCGATCAATATGTTTTCTACATTATAATCTACCGCTAAGAATAAAACGTTCCTTTCTAATTGAAAAAGATCTTATATTTTCCAAATTGAGTTAGTAATTAGACCATTTCTTGTTCAAGCAAACGGAGCTTACACAGAATTTAATTATCGAATGTTCAGAGTCCTTTTTATCGCCGACAATTTGTCGCCGATAGATTTTTTAACAGCTGAAACAAATCGTCCAATTAAATTAACTAGGTAAAACGTACAGCGACGGTCCAAAGTCTACAATTCGATGTTATTTTTAATAGACAATATGACAACAATTAATTCCGATCAACATCTGAGATAATTAAGAATCAACGGATCGCGTCAAGCTAATTTATGTTTCATTAATTGCCGAATAAACTCAGATTGCAGATGAGGCGGTTTAGAGTATAATTATCGGCCTGATTTAGTCTGTTTTAAAAGGGTTAATGGGTTTTTTAGATGGTTATTAATTTTATTCTAGACCAAATTAAACAAGAATTAAGCCAATATAAATTACTTCTCAAGGCAAACTAAATAGGGAGCCTACTTTTTATACCAAAAACAATCTGTCCTTTACAAAAATTCTTATAGATTTAAACTAATAAAATAGACGTATAAAAGAAACAAAAATTTTAATTACCTGCTTTTATTAATTGCCGATTTTTAATAAATGTTAAGAATGATTTTTAGAATACCTACCTAACTAAATTTTACCACAATTACAAATTATAAATGCAGACACTTACAACGTGTGCAACAAATTAATGCAATTCAACAGCATTCCTACACTTTCTCAACTGAACAGGTACTTCCCCTAATATTCTATTATTGAACTTATTACGAGAACATAAGAAGAGAAACCAATAAATCGGTTAAAGAAAAACGGAATAGCAAATACCTGTTTAATAAAAGAAGTCATCAAAATCACATAGTAAATTCATCTGTGCCCCTACAGGATTCACAACTTGATGAAACGCAGTGAGCATGCTTTAATTTAGTCGCATGGGCGATCGAACACTTCATTTGTGAGAGTGAATTTTCTTTGATTTCGGATTTTTGCAGGAGCAGATCAAATGTATCAAAAGAAGTAACGAGATAATGAAAGTAAATTTTTCACGTGCAAAAAATTCCTTCAATCAATTGTAATTGGCGAACAGAAGGGAATACTTTGAAGTTATTGTTTCCGATTTTTATCATGCGGATGACTCGTTTTATTAGAAAATTTACTAAATTCTAATTTGCCTGTGTTTTGCTTCTCTAGATCAATTCCGATCCATCATTAGATTTTCAATCCAAGAGGATATTATTACAATTTGTGAAATTCTGTAGAATTATTAAATCCAAATTTATGAGTAATGAAGCATCGGAAATGATACCTACTATTGATCGACTAAAACTGATTTTAATACTATAGCTGTAAATTACCAAAATTGTAGTACTAAATATCAATACAATAGATATTTTTCTTTAGCTATTCTTTCCTTACCATCATCTAAATCGCAAGATTCGAGACGTTGATACGCCACTGTATCGTCTAAATATCAAAATAAAATCAAATTCCTATGAGAAGTTAAATCAAGCGTTTCAGATAAAACTTCGGTTACTTTTTTTTGCTTAGTAAAGAATGCGAAATGTTAAGAAAACGAAAAAGATAAAGGCAAAACAAACCTGCTTCCTTATTCGATTCACAGTCTAAGGTAGCTTCTAGCCATTTTTCGATATCGTCGCGCCAAAAATCCACACCTAAAGTGCATTCGTTTTAAAGCGGACATGCAAGCAAACAAATCAATTTTCATTCAATATCGAAATATGCACCTTCATAAAATGATTTTCTTCTATAAGTCGTAAAACACATTAATCAATTCGACGAATATTGTCTATAAACAATTTCTCTTATTTCAAGTAACTCTCAAGTTATTATAATTTGTGGATGTAGAAGAATGTTATTTATCTTTCCCAACAAATCTTTTAGTTTTAAATTATCTTAGGATTAGGAAAATCAATGTAAAATTTAGTTAAAACCGACCAGAAAACGTTACTTTGTTAGTAGTAAAACATCAATTGTTAGCTTTCTCTCCAAGACAAACACAACAAATTTCATCCTAACCTTGGACGCCTTGCAACAAAGCCTGGCCCAAATTTAAGGCGTTCGGCCTCGCATTAGGCGCGTTTACAGAACTCGAAGGAGAGCCCGAAGACGTTGGACCTATTCTCGGCGATTGGGGAGGCGTTCCTGGACCTAGCAAGTTTCACCAAGTTCAATAAAACTTATTTCAGAATTGTTGCGAAAAAATTCCGGAACCAACTCCCTGATGAAAATTAAGAGGAGGGTTTGTATGTATCTTGAAATACCAAGCAACTTTGAACCATGAACTTTTTCGCATCAATTTGTAGCACTCTGTATATAAAAAAACAAATAAATTCGTGTAAAAGTATTCCGGTTCGTGTTAACACCGCAGAACTTAGAGATAGGTTTTCTATTCCAGAAAATCGCGAGAAATTAAAGTGAGCAATATTCGTAAAGGTTGCCTGCAGAATATTACGTGTTTGTATAAGAAACAATGAATTGACGGAAACTCAAGAACAAACATGACGCATTTTACATGAATGATTAGGTAAAAGCGAACACAAAAGGCAATTTCAATGTAGAAAGATTTGATGCACGTGGCGAAATGCCAGTCGTTGTTACGTATCAAAAATACTCTCTCCAATCGTACTGGAATGGATTCCAAAAACGGATTTGTCGATAATAATGGGGACACGTGACGTTATTTATTAAACGGTTTTAATCGCAACGTAACCCAGTAATTAAAACATTGTATTAACAGTAACGTAAACATCGAAACTTTGCTTTATTGTATCTACCATAAACACTTACCCAACCAACATAGGCAAGTATACAAACATAATTTTTCTAATTAAGTTTTTAGCACAAATTTATTAACGAATCAGGAGTTTATAACACGAGGGGGGTAGAACCGAGGATTAATATTTCTATTTACATTTAACTTACTTTCTCTTCTTTTCGCGGTGGCCCAAACCGCCGCCAGAGCGGACATTATGCCACTCCAGCAACCAATTTTTACCAATTTATCGAACCTTTTTTAACCGAAAAATGCAATGTCGATAAACAAATTCGAGCGCACGCGAAAATATCGCGAGCTTCGCCGGCCGTACGAAATTAAACTGATCGGTCAGAAGCGAAGCCGGTCATAAGAAAATAATGCTGAACCTATTTTTAGAGGTATGTGTGTTAAAGTTACAAAATGAACGGGAAAGAATTGCGTCCGGTTACGTTCCCTGGTAAACCCGGAAGGTTCTTTCGGAATCAATAACTCGAGTTTCTTATAACACCCTATATATCAATTGTTACTTCACATTACACACAAAATTAAGCAATCGGTAGTGTGTTATACGACATATTTAAGAATCAGAAATAACATAAATTGTGAATTGTGAATAATAAATGCAACATAACAACCTAATTCTATGTGCAAACGAGACAGCATTGCAAGCTCTATGTATAAAGCATGTATTGTACGGACTACACATAAAAATCAATCATGCTTCTAATTCGAGGCAAGAATTGAAATGTTACTAGCAAATCAACTTGAATATTCCATCTCCTTTCCTCGCGCAAAGCCGTATCAATTGGGATGGAAACGGAATATGAAAAGAGGAATTGAAAGCAGCATTTTCATTCTAAATTTATCTTTATACATCCTACTTATTCGGCTAGTTTTATCGAAATATGAAAAAGTTTATTGTCCATGAATTCGTATAAAATGTGGAAAAACAATCAAGCAATTAATATAAGCGGCTGGAAGTAATTTCCAATGGAAATGAGTCTAAAATTGCCAAAAACGAATTTTCCAATATTACATTCGATATCGTTTGGTAGATTTTGAAATCGATAAGTAATTAATGACCTGAATAACGTCGACTTTCGTGATCGGAATACTTAACGAATTACCTACCGGCTGACGATAATATTTTGGTATAACCTTTTTGGTTTACAAAGGGAAATTATCGGATTAAATTCACTGCATAAATTTATATTGGGATTACATCTTTGATGTTATTTAGCGATAAAAGTTGAGAAAAGGGAATATTTATTCGATGTTAGCAATTTTAGATAACCTCCTGTGGTTTTAAACAAAATCGCTTTTAAAGTACTGAATTAAACTGTTTTAGGATAATGAAGAAAATGGGTAACAGGTTTTTACTCGTTACTAAAATAGTTAGAAACTAATATAAATTTACTGAAAAAAAAATGGATGGAAGAAAATTAGTTATAACTACAGAATGAAATGGAAACCTAAGGAAGGAGGAAGGATATTTAGCAACACTGTAAAAAGGTAAAAATAATAGGGAAATATTTTAAGATTTGAATTATTAATACATACTAGTATGTTACAAATGTTGCCAAATAAAGTCAAGTGAAATAAGTTTTTCATCGAAAATTTTTATCAATAAAATGTTGAATTTTTACGTCAATACCAAGCATAAATACAACATTGATTTATTATTACCAAATAGCATTAGGAAATACATTTTCATTCTATATTCAGCGAGATTCAGCATTTATATACATAAACTCTATTTAGTTACCATACTATTGAAAATGCATTTATGTATGTACATAATTGAAAACTTGCATTTAATTTCAAAGTCAAAATAACAAATCTATAATTAAATAAACGGATAAACACAAATGTATGTTCAACTTCAGAAACTGCAAAAACTGTTTTGTTTAAAATTATAATAAAACAATTAATTTTGTAATGGAAAACTTTGCACCACAATAAAAAAGTTAAAAGGGAAATTTCTATTCAATTTTTAAATTCATAAATCCTCTAATTTTAAACCTACAAAGGTTTTGAAATAAAACGTTCCTAATAAAATAATGCATTGAATATATAAATTTCAATTTGGCCATATTTTACCGCCCACAGGTAGAAAATAATATCGACATTAATTTTATATGAAATATAAATTCGTAATACGTTTCGATGAAAAATTTTTCCAATTCGAAGGAAGATCGAGGATTCCAACGAAAATTAAAAGTAAAAGAAATGAACGAAACGAAAAAAAAAATTCAAGGAAATTAGGAAATCTTTACCTTCGGGTTCTTTCTGTATTACCGTCGAACTTCTGTCGACGCCGCCTTTCTTATCTTCTGAGCGTCGGGCCCAGAAAATAAACATGTTATCTCTTTTTTCGTCAGTTACACTTATGTATTAGGATTAGCAGTCGTCAAAGTGATTTTTTTTTAATAAATTTAGTTAAACGCGTCGAATAGCGACGAATAACTCCGGTTATGGAAGCGTCAAAGAGTTTATTTTGTTCAATTTTTAACGATACATCGCTATCCGACGATAAAATTTTAACTTTACACTAGTGTAGTTAAATGACTATCGAATGGAACACTAAATTTGGTGATTCTGTGACTAAAACTATTGGATTGTAGATAATTCAAATGGGTGATCAATTTTGGTGCAGGTGTTTTCCGTTGGTAATTTAATTTATTAAAAAATCCCCGTTTGGATGTTTTATTACAAACAAGAAATAATAAAATGTACTGAAATCGCTGAATAAATTACATTTTTCCTCAACCAACGAAATATCAGCGTTCACAAAGACAAAATAAATTTCCTTTATAAATAAATTGCCCTCGACATTTTCTATCAACGTTTATTGGAAAATTTGACAAAAGATATTTCACCTAAAAATTCTTTATGATCATAGTTAAAATTCGACTCTATTGATCTAATAAATAATGCAAAACTTCTATTCCAGACAATTTTTTTCATCGACGGCGATCATTAATTTTCCCATTTATTCTATACATATTAAACAAATAGAAATTGATATTAGAAAACCGTTCGTGACGAAATCGATAACCGAAAGCCCATAAATAAATTAACGCCCAAACGTGGAATTTTTAATAGCCCTTTATTCATTTGTCGAAACACATGGAACGTTTAAAAGCGCAAGTCGTAAAATTTATTAACGAATCAAAAAAAAATTAGATGACTTAAAAAAACACATCGCACTTTTTATTTAAATAAACCAGTGGTATGTGGGGGTGGCGTGACACAGCTAATATAATACACATGGGGGAAACACAGGGGTGATGAAATATTCATTGTGAAATGGATGAGTAAAAACGATATCAACAAACAAACACAACATTTAGGTATGCACGTAAATTATCTAATTTTTTCGCAATTTTTTTCGATTAGAACTTTAGGTAATCCTGTAAATTTTTACACACAAAAATATGCATTAGAATATGTTCGTTTTTTTTTTAATTTGAGAAATAGGATTACCGTATTTTCTCGATTAGCTCGATTCGCAATAAATATTTCGGCAAAGTGCTAGTTATCGAGGATAATACCTTTTAGGGTGAGTAAGTAGCGAATTCTAATTCGACAAATCGATAAACAATAATTCAAATTCGACTTACCTTTGATGTCGTCGTCTTCAAGCGTCGTGGAGCTGTCGGTGGATTCCTTCACTTGAGATCCCTCTCCCTTTTTGACGATTATACTTCTACCTAAAAGCCAAACGGCCGGTTAGAGTCGGAAGAGCAAAAGGACCAGAAACAAATCCGAGAAATTTCAAAACCAAAAAAAACAAGCCAATTCGATTTTTCCAATCCGAAAAAAAAACGTTCGCAAAACAATGAATTATTTAAGGTGCCTGTACAACTTTATCGAAACCAACGCTGCTTAAATACATTCATTATTTTACACGAAAAGAAAAACAACAACAGAACAACATTTCGGATGATTTATCCACCATCAACATCTGTGATGAGCTCGATATACTGTACAAAATGAAATGATTTTTTTGGCATATTCGAAACTGTTTCGAAAAAATAAAGCTTCGAATGAGACGAGTATGTGAGCAGGCCTGAAATGATGAAACCGTGATGATTTCAATCGATACAGGTGAACAGTAACGTCTTAAAATTCAACAAGACATTACCCATCGCACTGTTATAAAAATGGAATGAAGTCTTATTTTCTGTAATAATTAAATCGAAGAAAAACACATGCGTGTAAGCATCATTCACACCTAAGCGTAACTTCAGCGAAACGAACAGAAACTAGGATCTTACGGTAGTAAAGAAATACCAAAAAAATAAGAGAATGCATTATTGAAGATGCTTATTTTTTGGTATGATGAATTTTGGTATAAACTGGTAAAACCCAAATAAGTTTAGTGGGGTTTGCAGCTTAGGATTCTAAAGTATTCTCTTATATTTCTGGTAGTTCTACACCACATTATTTTAATGTGAATATTTAGTGGTATTCTAAAAATGGCATCTTTAATTATTGAACAACCATTGTAGAAATCGAATTAGAACGTAACGAAAAACTCCACTAATACAAAATTTACGATTACTTCGATAGCACGAAAATACTGTTTTACGATCATGCTCGAATTCGATGGACAGATCCGCATTCAGCGCGAATTCGCCGATGTTACGCCATATACAAACGTAAAAGCGGATAAAATTAAAACAAAACAAAAACACACACAAATGGATGTATCATGGTTTTCGGTATGTATTAGAAAAAAACAAAGAAAAACGGAAAAATGGTAATCGAAACATTATTTTCGTTTTGATGCAGGGATGCAGCGTTCTTACCACATTCTAGTTGCATCAAGGCGAAGAGTGAAGTGAGGTAGAGAAGTGACGCGAACGAGTCCGCCACAACCAATAAAACAAGAGTTACCAACTACCCAATGCTCTCTATTCACTAAATTATTACGCAAGGCTACTGTATCGTGGGGGTGTAAGAACGGCACGTTTCGATGTATATTCCAACAGCCCTTCCTTAACGAGCCGCAATGAGAATATTAACCATTCATAACTTCCATACGAAACGAACAAGATTCATTATGGTGAACTTTTAGGCAAAGCTTCCGCCGCGAATTAGACGAGAACAATATCAAATTACTAAGAAAGTTGTAATAAAGCTGCAGTTTTCGTTTGTTAATTCAAAGAGACTTGCTGTAATGAATTCTATTCTTTATAGTGTTAATAAAAATTTCATTATTTATCATCTGACTGTGCTTTATCCAAGATCATTTTAACCATCGTTAAGGAAGGAATGTTATTAGGTGGTTTCAAAATTAAAGTGCTAATTCTTTGTATTTGAAAACACCATTTTTATAAGAGGCGTGTAGGTGTTGAAAGTGTGTAGTGTTGAGCAAATAATAAATAAAATAATGAAACTAATATTTACAACGGTTCAGATAGTTTCTTTTGATTATCGCGCATTATTATCGTTTAATTAATCACTCAATAAACTAGAATAACAGGGTCTAACTTCTTAAAAAAATAAATCATCTAATATTAACCTCTAATTTCAAACATGCTTGAATGCATCATCTAATCAAACTGATGCAGCGTCGGATGTACTCGCTATTAACAAATTTAATATTTATGGAAATTTGTACTGAATAGTGTAAGGCGAAGTAAATCCGACCCTGCTTTAAATCTATAGGTAAACCAACTAGGAAATAATAATTGTTAATACTCATTCATGTCGGAAAATATTGAAAATTGAAAAACGGAACGAATCTAAAAATTAAATGGCATCAGGTGGTTCAGGAAGTATTTTCACACAATAAAAACAAATATAATATCGATAACAAATTCAATGTAATTAAATATGAAATGATTATGATAAGCGGAATTACAAACTACAAACATACGCAGAATCCAGTATAAGTTTATAGTTACACCACTGAAAATATTTATATTTATAGTGTGTTGAATGTTGAAATAAATTTATAAGAAAATATAATACTGAATTCCGCCGTTTTAAATGTGATGATACTCGTCGTTAAAATTACCAAATAAGCTTGAGCTGGAATAAACGATATTTCTCTCTACGGCTAAATACATTAAAAAAATACTTCTATGACATACTTAATGAATATTCAAAAAATACATCGACCAGCACAAGAACGGAATTCTGTTAATATTTACCTCTTACTATTTTTGGTAAAGTGGATTGGGGCAAACAGAAAGTCGATCGGTTAGATACGAGAAAAATTGATATTTCGCTTTTCGTATTTGTAATTCGATTACGGGAACGAAGCGAAAAATAGATTTTCCCGAAAATCGATACATTTGAGAAATGTGACAAGTAAGGAGTAGAAAAGTTTGTTAACAGTCAGTAAAATTATCGTTGTACAAAGCGAGTCTTCATACAGGCTGTTCTGACATGAACACTTACGTTTTTAGAGAAAAATAAATAGAATTCGAACTAAATATTGTAGAGAAAAGGGAGTTTATCAATAAGTTTTTTCACAAATATCTAAATCGTTCGAAGATCAGAACAATCTGTATACAGAAGTGTGTGTACCAATAAAATGTGTTACAATAAATTCCAATTGAGTATTGTAATAAACTTCATAAAAATAAACTATTTGCTGGTATAATTCAAATTTTGCTATTAGTACCTATAGTGTTTCAAATTATTTAAATTTTTTAATTAAAAAATTTTACGTAAAATATGTAATTAAAATATTAGTATTTCCCATTAGCTCCGGTGGCAGTAATATTTAATTTACCTACACATTTTCCTGTGAAACGAGAATTTGGAAAATTCAATTTAGCATTGTCACCGTAAATTTCTGGTATACATAGCATTAATTTGGTGTTTTTTACTAACTGTAGTATAATCGAAAAAAGCAAATTATGTACAAAAATATAGATGAAAATACGTATTTCTGTAAGTAATAAATAAAATTAACAGTAATATCAGAAATATTCCATTAAAAAAACAGAATACATATTTTCAAATTAATTGTAGTAAAACAAAAATTGGTAATCGTATCTTCACAAATAAATTTGTATATAAAAAACATTAAATAAATCCAAATTAATTATGAAAAAACCTCCTGACACAATAATGTAGAAAATAAATAAAACACTAACTTTTCCAGGTAAACAAACCGTTTAAAGGTAGAAATAAAGAAACCCAAAACAAAAATTAAGTCGTGTTATGTATGGCGTGTGGGGCAAAAATGTGGATCTAATTTGTGTTTCACCTAATCAATTAAAGTTTAATTTATTAAAAACAGTAGACAGTTTAATGATCTCAAAAATTTGTGAACTATGCCAATTTTATCCTACAAGAAATTAAACACGCCGAACTTACAAAAGTTCACAAATTTTTCGACCTCACTGTCGATTCGGTTCGATTAGTCGAAAGAAACAACCAAACAATATGAACTTACTTGAGAAATTACGAGTAGCCAGCATAGTGGTAAGGATGGCACCCTGTAATTCAACAACAGGATGAGCCTCATCGATTTTACTGGCACTTTTACCTCGAACTTACCTTGAGTTTACGCCGCGCATTGAATTTCTTGAGGCAGTCGACGGTCTCTTGTCTGTGCACCACCGAAGCCACGCGTTCTCGTTGCTGAAAACCCCCAATAAAAAACAGTTTAAAATTGTATTATATTAATGCACGATGCGGATAGTTCCAGGACGTGAAACGCGCAACCAAAGTCGCGCAGGTCACGTCTCCTGCCATATCTTCCGAACCGTACATTCGTGACAGTTAATAAGCATTTCACGTACGCATATCCAAGGATGCTTCAGGGCCTCCGATGCTGTGATTCGTTTCGACGGGTTGACGGTCAGCATTTGATTGATGAGATTCTTCGCTTCCGGAGTCACCGTATCCCATTCCGGACTCGGATACTAAACCATTTAAATTCTACAGTAATCTATTGCTATTCAGTCGAAAAAATAAACACTAATCGAAGGGAAAATGATTACCAAAAAATTGAGACTCCAGAGACTCCTCTAGAGACTCCAAATTAACCATTAAAATGCAAAAATACTGTAACTTTATATTGGGATATACTGTTCAATTAAAGCTCATTGTAAAAGTGTTGTAAGAGTACTTACATCGTATGCTCCAGCTTTGATTTGCGCGTACAAACGGTGCTGATCCTCGTCCCAAAAGGGCGGATAACCGACGAGCAAAATGTACAAAATGACGCCGCACGCCCAAATGTCCACGGGCTTCCCGTAGGGTTCCTTCTTGAGCACCTCCGGCGAAAGATAGCCCGGCGTACCGGCGAAGCCGAACCACGCCTGTTGCTCGCCTTGTACCTCTATCGCCAGACCGAAATCCGCCAATTTCACGGCGGCTCCCTTCTGTTTGCTAGCTAATAGTAAATTTTCCGGCTGGAAAAAGAAGGGAGAAGTCGCTTAGGTAAACGCAAACGGTCGTATGAAAAGCTCGCCGCCATTCGAATGTGGCATAATTAACGGTTAAAAAGCTTTTTAGACAGTCATCAATCGTGGTAATATTTTTTATCTAATTTGACGATCGAAACGCGGGAATGATGTCGAATTTGAAAAGGATGGCGCGCAAAAAGGAGTGGATACACTAATTTAAAGAAACGTATTCAAATGAGGTTACTCGAAAAAACCGCGAGAGCTCTCCGAAAAGGCGAAGAGGATGCGGCGAACAAAAGGGAATTTTAAAGATAAGTGACGTACAGAATTTCACAATGGGATTAAATCTAACAAAATTAACCCAAAAAAGAGAGCGAAACGGGGACGGAAGATAGCCATTAAAACCGGGCGTTGTCAAATAATGTTACCGAAACGTTAATTTTTTTCTCCTAAGTTCACTTCCAGTCGTTTCAGGATCCTCCCAAAGCCTTCATTCAATCTTATTAGATGGTTACCAAAATAATAATCACTAACTTGAAAGGATAATAATTGGAAGAAACCAATCAGTACTGAAATAGCAAAGCAATAAAATAATCGCTAATCAAAATGCAAAACTTATGTGGCATTAATAATTCATTCATTAAAAGGCTTATGCAACTAAATTCCTGTAGGTGATCATAAAAAACTGTTTATGCGTAGAAGTAAAAATTACATTTTATGACATAATTAAAAAATATTCACCTCTAAAAAACAAGTTTCGTTTTTAGAACTTTATTTGTCACAAAACCTAATTTTGCCCCAAAGTTGGAGCTTTCGAGTTACAGAGCAAAAGCTTCTGTACATTTTAATTGAAGTGTCTAGTGAATTATACCTTAAGGTCTCTATGCACTACGCCGTTTTGATGACAATGGTTGACAGATTCTAAAATTTGTTGTATACAATGCGATGCATCGGCCTCTGAATAGAATTCTCTCGCTACGATGTCTTCGAATAATTCGCCGCCGGTTACCCTGCAAAAGGAAATATCGAAGCAAATCTGGGCGAATTTTCCTGCATGTATGTACAAACATAAAAATTTACAAAACGAAAACTGCAAGTGAAGGGCTGAAGTATAATGCCCGGCGGAAAATACTTTCGTTTAATTTTACAATCTAACGATTTAGGAAAATTCCACGCGGATGCTCCAAACGAGTTTCCACTCGAAATAGAAAATTAGCGAATTATGTAAGGGTATTATCCGTATATTTTTCGAAAAAAGATTGGAGCACTCGGGGCCGAGTCGACGTAATAATTTGAAAATTTAATTATCTATCGGAAAATTCTCCGAATAAACGAGCCGGACGGAAAAGTCGTTAGGCCCGAGGGAAATGGCGTAAAACGAACCGTTTCAAATTAGACATTTTAAATCGGTTAACTCAATCCTTAGACAAGTAAATAAATTTTAATAATTTCGGAGAATTCTGCACAGAGAGAATTCTGCTGCGGAGAATTCTCTCGATTTCTGCACAGAAGAATCGAAAATGTTTGATTAAAATTTTACCCGACAGGGAGGCAATTTTCGCGAAAATAGCTAATTCAATTCACTTGCGTCACGTAGAGTGCCAATCACTATTTTCTTTTGGTTTTTCTGCGTCTGCTTCGATTTTCACTTCAAATTTTTTTGATGGAATTCTTATTATGTCTCCCTCAGAAACGTCGTATTGATGAAAATATTTACGAAAGATCTCATACATTGCAATGAAACTGGTATTTTTAAAATAACCACTGAATATTATAAGAAAAACAAATTAGTTATAATTTATATAATTAAAAGTTATTAATTATCAATTATTAAGTCAATAATTAAAAGTTAGTTAGCTGGGAAAGGACTCGTAAGGCAAAAAAAAATATTTCCAACAGACGAACATTAAGTTTTCTTTTATTACGAAGTTATAAATATGGGTAAGTATTATAATAGATAATTACCCGTTTTATTGTTACGGTTTTTACAAAGGTATATCCAACTATTATGATCTCTTTTTTATGAGAATTTAAGTACGACTACTATAGTCGAACAAAAAGGATCGGAAAATAGAAATTAGATAGTTTATCATTTATGAATTACCTACTAAAGAAATTACGAAAGTTACGAAATAATTTACAAATAATTTAACGATAACTGAAAATTAATTATTTATTAAGTATTACTCACATTAGAGCGACTATTTTTACCATCAAGAGATAGAAAGAAAAATCGCTTGTAGGAAGAATAAAAATAAAATATTATGTTACTTACAAATCGAATACTAAATAATGGAAATTTTCCTCTTGGATACTGTCATGTAATCTCACTGAAACATAAAAAATAACAGTAAGTACTGTAGAAATATATTTTGCAACGCAACATGCATAAAAATTGTCATAAAATCGGCGGAAAAAGCGAAAAGTTTCGACGTTACATCGAAATGTCGACCGAAATGGTGCTAGTAATACTTTTCTGTTGCAAGAAAATAAGTAAAATCGATGTCCAACATTTCGATGAAACTGCAAAGTAATTTAAATATTTTCTTATAAATACGTAGTATTTTAATTTAATTCTAATATAACTCTCTAAAAACGACGATAAATGAAACTAAAGCATATTAATATTAATAATGTGCAAGTTGAGATTTTAATTATGCATTTTGCATTTTCCGATAATCTCGGAAAAATTAACATTTTTTTCATTATGTTATGAATATATTTGCATATTTTGTTACAACTGCCTATTATTATAACAGCTACAGCTCCCATTTTTCATACTTTACCTCACAAAACTTAATGTATTAAATATACCTTCATCTACCTTTCTTCTATTTATACGCCATATAAATATTCAGCTAATTTTATTAAAAAAAAAAACAGAAAAACTGCAAGTTAATTTACCAATTCAATATTCCCTAATCATAATCAAATTACCACAACCACGTGAATGTTTGAAAAACGACCCCGAGTCCTCGCGATATACGAAATAAATTTCCCAGGAGGATCGAGATTGACACGTGCTCCTCGTTCCAGAAAAATATATTCATGAAAAGAGCGCATAAAAAAGAGTCAGGTAAGGTATTATCGAAGAACACGTGTTACAACGAGCAGAAGGATTCGTTTCGACGCTCCATCAAGCGTGCTATTTTCCTGTCGACGAAGGAAAATGTAGAAAAAGAAAAAGATTTCCATCAATCCTGAGAACGTTTCGTTTAATCGAATATTTTTGAAATCCCTATTATCGAATTTGTTTTAATTTTAAATTGTTATTTTATTATTGTATAAAATAAGATAGGTTGCAAAGGAGATGGAAATGTTTTATGCGAATGTAATTTCATTTGAATAGACAGATCAAATGAAAAATAGAATGATTACAAGACTGAAAGGGATATTTATATTACTATAGCGGAAAACGTATTAAACTCCAGAAAATTGTAAATTACAAATTACAATTATCGAGCACCTAATGACGGTGAATAAATGGTAGTCATAGCGTAATAACATGTTCTTTCATCCACAACTCGGTTGAATATTCAATGTTTTTTTATCGATTTTCCGCGAGTTTTCGTGTTTTCAATTTCACGAGCGCTGTAATCTGTTAGGTCGATTGTTTGAAGGGATAATTTTTATTTTTTTTTATTTACCTTATAATCAATCGATAAATTAATGTTTTAGTTTTGATTACACGTGTTTATACCAGTTGGTATGTAATATTGTACCTTAACTGCTAGATAAATAACGATAGAGTATCTAATTCTTCTATTCCCCTTTGTGACATTAAATCATATACATAAATAATCTTTTTGGGGGCTAGTATTAATATCGTCAGATCTGGCAATTAAGGGGCATAATAATTGTAAAAATGGCGAAAAAAATTAATGATTTTGCGAAAAAAAAATGTAAATCTACTTTATAAATACGAGTAAATAGTAAATTCGATAATCAAAATACGTGCCCAAGAACAGGAACAAACCGCATGCGTGATACTAACAATGAATAATGGTAAAATAACAAGAATAAAAATAATTGTAAATTTAATAAACAATCTAAATAAAAGATTACCTAAATGTTTGAGAACCTCGGGATTGCTAACTATATTTACAATGAAAGAAAGAAAGAAAATAACGTTACATTAAAATTTACTTTCATCACAGAATTCTTGTAAACCATACCTACCTATTATAAAGCAAACTGTACCTTATATTTTTTGCAAATATTTATTCTCCTATCTAAATATTAGAACGCCTTGTATATAGCGTTCGCTTACGGTCCGAGTACACTTGCATATTAATTCAGGTGTGGTTTACAGAAATCCACATTCATCGTTAGTTTAGTAGGTTTCAGTAAGTGTATGGAAAAGAACAACTATACAAAATAAATATAAAAAAATAAAAAGCCGCATGAGAATTCAGGAGAATGAAAATAACGATAATGACGTATAATATGCGTGTGATATGCAAATAATAATATGTTAAATAGAGTTTCGAACTCACCTATATTTGGATGTTGAAGTTTCCTACATATCCTTGCTTCTCGTTCCAATTTTTGAAAATCTGTAATAGAAAAAACGCGATACGTCAGTCAACGTATCCGATGCATAGAAGAACGAAAAAGTGGTATACATGAAATTTAAATTTTTTAACACTCTTCAGAGCTAATCGAAAATTCTAATTAACCGATGAATAAAACGCCATGCGAAGACAAATAGGACACATTGTATTGCGACAGCTATTAAAAAACTGCATTTTATTCGTTACTCGAACATTTTCAATGGCATTTCGAACGTTTACATTATCAGAGAATCAGGTCAATGATTAAAAAATAACGCTTCTGAATCTAATCGTAGAGCAGGCAGCTCGGCCGATGAATCGGTTTTGTAATTTTTAATTAAGAAAAAACCGCTTCGCCTTTAATTAATTTTTAAAACGAAATGTGAACCATGATTAAGTTACTAAAAATCCAATTGCCTCTAAAGCTAATACTCACCTCTAGCCGATAATTTTTTTGTATTTATTATTTTCGCTGCGAACTCCAAACCTGTAGATTTTTGAACGCATCTTCTCACTACTGAAAATGCTCCTCTGAAACAAGAAATAACTCGAATAATGAAAAATGTCAATTAATTCGATCACCCAAAATAATTTTATTATATTGCTCGGTGAAATGATCGAGGTTTGTATCAAGATCCATGCACGAACTACATCGGTATTTACATTGATACCGGTGGATAACGTCTCCGGGGTCCGGAGGTAGAAAGAGAATGGAGAACAACGTATTTAGAATATTGTATTTACAATGAAAGTTCGAATTCAAACTTCCCTGGAAACAATAACCCATTCTGGTCGCTTTGGCTTTCCACGGAAGGGTTCGACATTTAAAATGCTTCCCATTTTCTTCCCGCATTCGCAGAAAGCAGTAAATAATTTACGTAGCGAACTATATCTAGGACGGAAGTTTTACAATTTTGCACTAGTATCTCGCGGTTAGATCCGATCTGAAAATTATTTACATACTGAGATTCGAAGGGAATAATAAAAGATTTGTATTTTTATAATCGCGGAAAGATGGGTAATATTTTATCAACTCGTAGTGCTCGTTCGGCGATTAAAATTTTTATTTGAGACTTACGTAAAAAGATTTATGGAAAAGTTGTCAGAAACTTAATAGAGATTTAAAAATGCCGAATTTTAAATTTATTCAAGCTCTCAATTTTTACATGAAAAAATAAACTGAGTTTTGCCGAGAACACATTTTATTAAAAGGTCCAATTTATTGATATGTGTTAGTCTAAAATGTATACATATAAATCGCTCATTTCTTAAATGTATTTCCTATTTTAGTAGCAATTCAATTAAATTTTAAAGTACATATATTAAATTTATTGTGCACCGTAAAGTTCTTACGCCTAACGAGTGCAATTGCCCTGTGCCCATTTTCTCTGTAGTGTCTCTAGTTCATATCGATTTCTGTTCTGCGGCAAAAGCGACCCGGAATATTTTAGAATTGTCTCCGGGGACATAGGACAATTGCACTTTGGTCAAAGCGAGTCGCTTTAAATAGATTTAATTGAATTCAATTTAAAATCTCGCCTATTAAATAAGCAATAGGTAATCTGGCAAGCCGAAAAACAATTAAAGCATGGAAGAGTTAATTAGTTTAAAGTATATGTATACAAATTGTAGATTTTTTTTAGAATGAAGCAGGATTATTTGGTAATGTATTTTAAATTTCAGTGGATTAATTATGTAACATATTTATAAAATTAACAGTTTTTTAATACAGTGATATATTATGTTATTGATGAATTAAATTTAAATTTAAACTTTGAGTTCCCAAATGTAAATTTGGACTAATGTTTATTTATTCTTGTTTCGCAATGTTTTTTATACTAAAAAAATAATTACCGAATACGCATGTTTAAAATCTGAATTTTAAATAAAATATGTAACTTTTTTCATCCAGATTCCCTTTAGAAATACATATTATGTGTAGGTAATGCTTAGCTCATTTGATATAGAACCTTTTTTTGAGTGCATATTTAAGGTTTTTAACTTAACGCACATGAAATAACTATGTAAAATTTATTATTTTCCATTGTAATTGAAATGAACTTGGTCGTAACCGTGTAAACAATTCAATTCCACTTGACAATCGGTTCAATTATTCGCATCAATTTACTATATCGCGTATAGATTAAAATATTTTAAGTAACCACAATGCGATAACATTTTCATAATGTATAAAAATATTACGTTATTTGTGAAACAATACAAGAAACTAGTAATATATCTTCCTAGTAATAGTTCCTTCCTCTACTATAGATTTTCTGTATAGTAGAAAAATCCAATTAATCCTCATTTTATTAATAATTTATTAATTATATTATTATATTATTAATAATGTAGAAACAATGCTAATTAAATGAGAAAATTTGTACATTGGGATATTACAGAATTTTGGCATACGAAAATACATAGTCAAGTGGACCTAGGTAAATATTGTTTGTTTACATAAGTTGACAAATGTTAAACAAAGAAATATCGAGAATATGCGCTGCTCATACGAGGTTAAATCAATAATTAATCCAGTGAGGCAGCTGATTTTAATTAACAAAGTAAATCGTTGCATTATTTACATTTATTTTAAATTTTATTTAATACGCAGCGTTTTATCCAACGATCGATAGTTATTGAATTATTGTTATGTTTCCCGCCGATAGTTCATTTTCATCTATTTTTATTGGAGTTAAAAATTCGACCATCTCCCATTCTATTTTTAAAAAATACATTTCGTTTTTATTCGCATCGGTTTCGAGACGTAAATAAAAATCTGGGCCGATCTAATCTATTTTACAAGTTAATTCATTAATATAGATGGGTATATCACAATAATAAGGATTTATGTATTGTCTGTAAAAATCAATTCGACCTATTTTCTTAAACCAATTAAAGAAGATTATTCGTAGTATTGCGATTTTTTAATCAGGATTGTTCATTGATTTTGTATATCTACCTACTAAAAATGGATTTTAGACAAAATATTGTACAGCCTATAAATATTCGCAGCCATTAAAGGTATTTTGTATCAGTATAGGTAATATTAAAAATTACCTAAACTTAATTAAGCTTCAAATGACCTGTGTATTCTGTAACGCGAGAAGCAACGCAATCTGGCCTTAATAACGTCAATGATTAATGAAGTTGGTCTCGAATGTTGGGGGCACCATCCCAGCCTTTTGTAATATTAAATTTCAACATTATCGACATTCATCAGGGTTGCCACTTGCAACTCAAATGTGATTCTGCATATTTCATTAAATGGAATAATTTTAGCAAATTTGCATTTTTGTGATCCTGAAGTGTGATGAAAAATTTGGTAAAATTTTTAATCTAGCTCCGTTGTTTTAAAAAATGGTTTTGTTGTGCAAAAAAATATGTAATTTTGTCACTTAAATGAATGATTTTCTACGAATTTTCAAAGTGTGTAGTTTCTATACAAACTTATTTCAAGAATTTTTTATTATTAATAAAATAGGATTTTTAAAGAGATATTCGCCCGTGAGCACGAGTAAATTAAAATTGTGAAATTAGAGAATTAATTAAAATTTCTATATAAATGTTTTTCGTAATGCAATTTAGTCGAGTAGGTAGATAAATTCAGAATCAGAATGCTTCTTTTATTCTTCTTATCGCATTATTTCCAGCCTATATTGTATCGATTTTACAAAATGAACTCTTACTTAAAAATTATTATAATTAAATTTCGCCCCACTTTTTTCAGGCGCTTTTGTAAAACCTCATTCATTCGCGCTAAAATTCAATATATTTTCGCAATTTATCACCTGTCGCTTCGAAAATTTATTCTATTGTCATTTATATCTACAGGGCTAAATTGTCAAATGCAATCAGCGTAATTCTATAGGATTTTTCAAATTAATTTTCAATTCGCTATTACATTTTTTCGGCGATTCCGATTGTTCAATACTTATTCGATGTAAAGCACCACAGATGACAAAATTCTTCGCTTCATTGATCATGAACAATGTTTTTTTAAAGATGCCTGCCAAGAAATACTGTTTATTATTTTTGTATGGAACGTGTAGCGGAAAATCCGGTTAAAACCGAGAAGAATGTTTTACAAAAACACACTTGTAAAACATCCTACTCGGATCTACCACTATGCAAATAGCCACTTCATTACAACAAAATAACTAAGATAAAGGAAACAGTTCATAAAGTTTTTACATATTTATTTTCTAACTCTGACCAATACATTTCTGATGCTCAAATAGGCAGTTGAGTATTTGCACTGATAATATTTATTAATAAGCAACACTTTTGTGTATACTACAATTAACAAATTTTGTTTCTATAGTAGAATGCTAATATAAATTTTTGTAATTGACTTGATAGGCGGCTATAAAGTTAAATTAATTTAAAATTGTATTATTGAAATTAATTACTATCATAGGGAATTTGAAATTACATGATCCATCTCGCTCAGTTCACTTATACGTGGTCGGTAAAAAGAACGTAATTCTTTGAGAGCGATTCTGAAATTATTAAGACAGACTTATTTATAGACATCGAGTTCGAAATAGCATAGACTATTTCTATAGTAATGCGACCCGAAAGGATATTTTTAGTGGAATTCGCCCGATTATTCGTTTACGATTCGGTCGGATTTTGCCATTTCTAATTCGTTATTTTTATTTTGTTTAGCGTTTCCTTCTTCTACTAATCCAGATTATCAATTGACCAGTAATCAAGTTGGCTTTCCGAGTATTTACGAAAGAGAATTTAGTTGGGATATATCACGTCTATACGCTTGACGTCTTCACTTATTACTCGATTTATTTATTAGTTGCGAAAAGATATTTTAATAAACGCGAATATTTTAGCGAGAGTAGCAAAATAAATATGACAGGATTTCTTTGAAAAAAGGTGTATGAAGTTAGGAAGGTTTTTTTTCAATATTTTTTAAAATATTCTTCATTGTGATTAGAGGCTTCTATAGGATTTACCAAAAATTAACAACATATAATTACTTCTACATTAGATAATTTTAAATGCTGCAATGTTATTAAAAAAATTAATTGAAAATTATAATGATTCGTAAAAAAGTTGGCATCAGTAAATGGATTCTTGAATAGAAACAAATAATTATTCCAAATTTTCGTGTGTAAATATGGAAAAACGAATTATGTTAAAATAATACAATAGATTTGTGTAGGTATCCGGTTAATTGGTTTATTTTTAATTTTTAAGTATGCTTTGTAACAATTGTGGAAAACATTATTCAACGAGCGAATAATAATAGGTATTACAGGCGAGTAAAATAGTGTACTATACTCGTTTGGTCATTAATTATTTAAAAAAAATAGAAATTACTATTAAATCTGGCTACATTTTGAGTATCAAATAGGTGTCTTTTCAAAGCTTGAAAAGTGGGTGTAAAAACATCAGAGTATATTTTAGTTTTGTCTCGAGAAGAATTTGATTCAAATGTAGATCCCGTTTAGGTCCTGAATTTACCTACTAAATTTTGTAGAATCAAATCAAGTAGGGGTTCAAAAAAGGGATTCCAAAAAGGTCAAAAGGGACAATAAACATAAATTTTTCAATGATCTTTATATAGATTTATAAAATATTAACTATTGTTATTTATGACTTCAAATTTTTTTTAAATTAACCGAATTTTTAGTTAAAAAATTGGCTTTAAATTGAAATCCTGTATATGCCCAAAAATTCACAGTTGATATAGAAACAAGCATATTTACATAAAAAAAACATTTTAATTAATATTGGTAATTATGGAATTTATTATTATCATGGAATGTGTTAGTTATTATTTCAAAAAAATTCTTTGGTACAACTAAAATTAATTTTAATCGATTTGCATACAGTGTCATTAACTTTTTAGTGTATTAGTTTAATTAAGTTTAATTATAAACAAATTAACCTATCCATTAAATAAAATATGTAACGTATGTATACAGGGTGTGCCATTGCGGTCAGGTAATTTATACATTTAATTAATTAATTAATTAATTAATTAGAATTAAATGTTCATGTAGATGAGAATATATATTTTCCCGATAACTTTTCGCGTTACACAACAAAAACCGTGTTTCCTGTATTGGATCAATACCAGTTTAGACGCCGGTTTTTTGTAAGACGGTGTATTCGGGAAATTGAACAATCATCATGCGAGCTTAGCCAGAAAATTGTCCCGGTATTTACGGATTATTTTCCCCTAAATAAGCCCGATAAATTCTGTCTGTTTGGAAAAAGACAACCACCTGTCATACTGCACAGGGCTGAGCCTCAGGAATATTGATTTTCTCGACGGGCAATGCAGATATCCGTAAATTCAACACGAATCGCCCGTAAAACTGCGCTCCTCGCAGCGGACTATTTTTCCCCCCTTTTAACACAGCATTTTTTTCCCGAATCGCTCGATAATTTCTCGTTCTAATTTTTCCGAAACGTTTCGAAAACGAAGTAGGCGAGAAAAAATGGCTTCTACTCACTTTCCTAATTCTTCTTTGAGGTCGTAGTTGTCGCTGAAGCGCGTACAAGCCAGCGGGACTGCCATAATCACTCGCGTAAAATCTAAATTCTACTGTTCGATCAGTCGGTAGGTAAAGTGCGTACAGAGATGGTAGGAACAGCGTACGGAGAGAAACTGGGTTGGGGAACCTTCTCTCGCGCAGCGCTCGCTGTCAAGTCAATTCTTGCACTGACTTATGCTACCCGTTATGCACGCCAGGTTATCGATAACGCGCAGGACATCGCTGCTTCCAAGGATGCCCGCTGTCAAGCATTGATCAACTTTCATTTACACCGTGTAAACCCACTAAATATATGTGATATAAACCAAAGCGTTCTTGTTCTTAAAAATTAAAAACGCCTATTATTTTTTACACATGAATCTTATGGGAATCTTATGTAATCTTAGGTCAAAACAATGTTACAAAAACAGTACGCCCATGGAGTGACATTCATGTACAGAAAACCTGAAAAGTAAGAGTCCACAAAAAAAAACTACAAGTTAAAGAAAGAAGGAGTGTACTAGAGTAAGTAAGTAAATGTCATTACAAAAATGGCGGATCCTCAAAAAAGTGAGTGTAAATTGTTATTAATTTTTGTTTGTTCGTTATTTCTTTATTACACTCGTTTACCGGTTTTTGTTTCTCTTTGTTAATAATATTATTCATGTTTTAGATTCAAGTGATAGCCCTGTTAAGCCAACAATCATTCAACCATCAATAACATTGAATACAGAAGGTCCAGACGAGAATATTCCAAATGGTGAGTTTATTTTAAACCGATAAAGTACACATGTAAAGAGCGGATTTATTTTCCGAGTTCGACAAGTTGGCCGTTGAATTATTCAAATTTGATAACTAGATATACCTATATCGTGTAATAATTTTTTCATCGTAGAATCCGAAAATAAAGTAAAAACTGATGAAGAACTCACCGAAAGTAACGGTTTTAAAATATGCACGCCGGAACTTCGAGCTTCGACAATCCAACTTCGCAAATCCACCATCATCAAACCGCCTCACTTGAACAAGAACGGTACGACCGCCTTCACCTTAAAACCAAGTCAGCTCGATCGTTTTTCGAATTCATCGAAAGGCAGTGATAAACCGAATAGTGAACAAACTGAAAACAGTGATTCGAGCATTAACTGTGAAACGCCCAAGTTTGTGCCTTTGGTCGTACCTGAAAAGACAATCCCAGTGGCGAATGAGACTCAGAAGAAACTCAATGACTCCGAAACTATAGTTAGTAGTTCATTCGTATTCGGAGAGAACTTGAAGGAACGAGTGGCTGACGGGACTAGTATTAGCTCAGATAGCTCAGATGCTTCAACTAGTTTGGGTCAGTATCCATATCTAAATAGTACAGAACATTCTATAACTTTTCGTTTTTAGGTTCAAACGGTACAGCACAAATGTTGTTCAGTAACGTCATAAAGGACACGTTAAAAACTAAAGATGGTAATTTAAAGGACAAGGATTCGAAATCGTTGAGTGAATCGGCTAGGGAGTACGAGGAGTCCAGGGCTAACAAGAGGAAGTACGAAGAAGTAGAAGTCGTTACAGGAGAGGAGAACGAGACAAACATACTGAATGTGTGTTGCAAGTTATTTTCATTCAACAAGCAGTCGAGTAATTGGTTGGAACTGGGACGAGGAACTCTACGATTGAACGATTTGAATGACGACGACGAGTCCGGTCGTATCAGAAGCAGGCTGGTGTTCAGGAGTTCGGGAAGCTTGAGAGTTATACTCAATACAAAAGTGGGTTTTGTTGTAATATTTAGGGCACCGATAATTCTTATTCGTAATAAACGGCGTCTGTTTTTTTTAGATTTGGGCTGAGATGGTGGTTGAAAAGGCGAGTGAAAAGACCGTACGAATCACTGGATTAGACGCAAACGGCGAAATAAAAGTTTTTCTTATCATGGTAAGATTATAGAGCATGAAATTGGGCTATGAATAATAAGAAATTGAGAATATGAAAAATGTGTTAATATTGTTGTTAATTTTTTCAGAGTAATATCGAAGATTCCAACAGACTTTATTCGCATTTGCACGCTCGTCTAGAGAGAGAAATATCGGCGAAGAAGCGCAAAAAGCCCGAATCTTCTTCGCCGACGAACGACAATTGATTGATAGTACTAAAGTTGCACATTTGGGAACTCAATCCACACTCAGACTGTACATTGACGTTTTGAATAATTCATACAGAAACAAAAGTAACAGTGATAACTTGGTTTAAATATTTGATTTTAGGAGTGCTAGTGTCAATAGTTAAAAGAGAAAAAACAATAGTTATGTTTTTAGTAATAATATAATTGTAATGACAGTGTATTTTTATGCAGATTCTGGATGATTAGATCATGAGTTTAATGCAGGCCGGTGTATTGGATATATCAAAATCTCCTAAAATATCTAACTGGGAGTTTAAGGGTTGTTTATATTTATAGAAAAATTGCGATGATCCGTTTCATACACTAGCATACATTAAACTGTGTCAATTTTGGGTTCTATCTCTTATTAATAGATTTTTTTTGAGTTTAAACACGTCGACTGCCAAGCAAGAAATCCAATTCTACTTCATCTGATGGGTTTGTAACAAATACGTCTTTTAATACAAACTTACTTTTTATCGATAGAAAAACACTTTATGATCCAGATTTTACAGACTAACGGGCTTAGCAGTCAACATGTCAATTTAGAAGCGTAGATAATTCGCTTTATATTATTTTATTACATTTCTACGCGATATATAATGTATTTTTTCTAATTCACCAAATAATTATTAACTATATGACAGTCAGTTTAAAAGTTAATTTGTCTGTTTCATTAAAAAATGTAGGTTTTAACAAATATTATTAGAATTTAATATACTATCAAAATTGCATGTGACAAATCTATATTTCAAATCAATTGTAAATACTACATGATTGCAAATCAAGGAAGGATTTTTCCCATGCATGAGAAAAGTCTTATTGAAGTGCAATGGAACAATATTTTTCATTATATATCCCTCAAAACAGTACATTTTATTCAATGAGAATAGCAATAACAAAGCAAATATGAGTACTCCTATAACAAACATAAGTATTTTTTTTTTTTCATTATCATATAGAAATATTTGCAATCACACAACAAACATTATTTAATTTTGAAGAGTATATAATGAAAAATAAATTGTCTGTCACAGTAAGTTGTAGAAAAAGAGTGTTTCAAATTTGCCAATAAATTAAATTCTTTTATCACTAACTGTTTTGTACATCGTAATGCATTTTGTTCGATATTTACTCGACAAATGGCTGAATCGAGTTCATTCCTTTAATTGAATTTAAATTGACGATAATTAAAATATTATTTGTTGGTATATTTAACAGTTAAATATACACTAAATACCGATGCCTCGTAAGATTGACCTATAAATGTAAAACAGGTGTTAAACAATATATTTAATATAGAGAATAATATACTTACGTTGAAATTGAATAACTAATCACTATCAAATTCTTCCACATCGTCTGGAATGTGACTTTGAGGAATGTCCAACTGGAGACCCGCTGTGTTTGGATTAGCATCTATATCTATTTGAATGTTGTTTTGTTCCTTAGGTTTTTTATCCTCTTCGGTATCCTTACGAAGTAGGCTCTTTAACTGCATCCATTCTACGTCATTCTGAATCATTTCTTTGTCTATTTTATTTAACGTTTCTTCTAAAAATCTTTGTAGAGATTCGAGCTTTTTGCGCTTTTGTAATTTATAATTCATTTCCATTGTTGTTATATTTGAAAAACTTAGTACCTAACTTTTTCTTCTTGTTTTTTGTTACTATAAAAATACCTTTAACATCGAGTGTATTCAGCTCATTACAAATAAAATCTAACAACTACAAACAAACCTAAAGTGTAATTTCACTTATTGGACGTATAAAATTTACAATTGTAATTAAATTATTATTATAGATAGGTATTTGATAAATCTATTAATGTCCTTAAATTAGGAATAAAGTAAAAGTACCTGCATTTCAATGATACCTAAATTGTTCAGGTTTTATTACTGCAACCTAGATTATGATCCATATTTGTACACTTATACTTTGATAAAACAGTCTGTAAGTCCTCAATTTGTTTTTCCAAATATTTTTTCTTCTTTAGCAGAGATGAATTAACGTTATTCAAATCCTCCAAGGTTTCCATAAGCTCTATTTCACGCAATCTATCCCTTTCTCGGCTCTTAGCCTTGGCGATTCTATTGCGTTTTCGTCGTTCGTCGATCGTATTTAACCTAAAATATAATTAAGTTGTAAAAATGAATGAAACAATGCAGGATTTTGATCCGTACTCTTGAGAAGTTAGACAAATGCGACTAATGTTTCTATATTTGTGTCTTGTATGTTTGTGCTTTTCCACAGTTTCCTCCTTTTTATTACAGTTTAAAACGTCCTGGGCATTTCCATCAAACGTTTCAATATTTACATCACCTATAGGATCATCCGATTTTGAAGTAGTTTCTTTATGTTCATTATTCGACCATGATATTGTGTTTGTCACCGTATCCACTTTAGTTAAGAGGACATGTCTTAAACTTAAATCACTGTATTGTGATAAGTCCAAAAAGTCTGATATTTCTTCAAGCTTTCGTATACAATTTACGCAAATATTTTGCGGTAAGCCATCGTCCTCACTTATCTGAAATAATATTTAATAGTAATATTTATCAATGTTTATAAAACAATAGTGTGTACAAACCTGAGTGTTTGTTAAACTCTTTAACACATCCATTAAATATTCTACTCTCTTTAAACTCCTCAAGTTGTCTTTGGCAAAACATATTCTACATATAAACCCAAAATCACTGTAAGATAATGTAACAGTTATACTTTTACAGCTGTTCATCTTTAATATAATTGATTTTAATTACTGTACGAGTCAATTATGATTCAAAACAGCAACAATAATGTAAATAAATTTCAGAATTCCAAAATTTTCAATTCAATTGTCATTAATGTCAAAATGTTATTTTCACTTCCAGAAGGTGGCGTAACATAACTTCTAAATAAATAAAAAAGAAGAATAGTTGTTCTGTGTCGTTCTTGTCGTAAATTCTTGTTCCATGATATAACAATAACAAATCGACACGTGTCAACATTTAAAAATACTGGGTTATCAGCCGGAAAATTATGATTATAGTCTCTAGTCATAGTTTTTAGTAGCAGTAATGAGGGCAACAAGTTTATTTATTTTATTAATAAGTTGTTCGGCGGCGTTGGCTCAATCGTTCGCTGCTGACAACAGAATCGACTCTAAAGAGTTGCGATGTTTAGGTTAATTTAGATATCACTGTTGACGTGTTTTTACTAAATTTTACTGGTTTCAGTTTGCGAAAAGAGCCTCGAGGAGCTTACGAAGGAAGTTGAGCAATTCGATCCCGATAAGAAGGTCGACGTTGGTGGTTATACGTTGGATATCGACGGAAATTACAGGCACAAGAGTGTCCCGCAGGCGAAGTCTGAATTAGCCTTGTCGGAGGCTATCGAAGGCATATGTGATAAGATGGATAATTACATTAGAGCCAAATGGAAGGAAAACGGAACGTTGACTTTGCTGAGTATGATCTCCAGCGAAGGCACGATGAGTCCAGATTGGTCGAATGTAGATATCATACAGGACGATGATTTAAATAAGAGTCTCAAATATTACGTGAGTTTTTGGAATGATTTGTCGACAAATTATTAATGTTCATTACGATTTTAGTGTGAAGGTATCATGGAAGAACATGAGGAAGACATTATTAAACTCTATCAGGAAGAACATAATGATATTCCGAAAAAATTCTGTTTCAAACAGTCTAATTTATGCTCGAAGCACGTTAGAAGGGAAGAGTTGTGATTTTTGCTTAGTACTTATGAGTTAATATATTTTTTCATGTTTATACACAGTTGTTTTCATTGTAAACTTTTACTTTTAATACGACTTTATTTAATATGAAAACGCATTATCCAAACAAAAGCATTTCTAAAGTTATGAACGTTTCGAGTTAGAACTGTAAGAATACAACGGGAAAGCCGTAGTAGCGTTTTCAGGAATCTCGTCGTCCGATTCAGTTTCCCCGTCTGATTCAAATGTATTATCAGGAATATCATACAAACGAATCATCGGCTTGTTGGGATCCTTCATTATCAAATACTTTCCGTCTTTCTGCTTCATAACGATATCCACGATGCACCTAAATTATACAACGTCAAACAAATTTTACAGTAACCACAAGCTGTCACAACTCACCTTAAAATACCCCAAGCATTGTCCATGTTCAAATTGATTTGGGTGGCGAATTCGTGCGGCTTGTACTGTTGCGTACCCAAAATAACGTGCTTGCTGTTGTCTCTCACGTGCGCTCGGGACACGTAACCGAATTTAATCTGATCGCTACCTGCCAAGAGAGCTTGCACAGTCCACTTAGCAAGCTTACAAGCGTTGTTGCGCAGCTCGTTGGCCAGCACGGCGCCTCTTTGAGTGTCGAGCTTTTGCCTCCATTCCACTCCGTTCGCAACCTTGGAGTCCCATTCGTTCAAAGCTTTGATGGACAGAAATTGAAGCTCTCCGTTGGGCGATTGCACTACTGCATCATGTTCGCATCTCGCTACCAAAATCTAAAATACAAAACGTTACATATGTAGGATTTAATCGGAATTATTAAAAAGTATTAATACATTACAATACTTACAGATTAGGGTAAGGAAGGAACACAGGAAACCACAGTTTAAACGAGCACTCTTGATTAAGAAGGAAATAAAAATCACACAAGGAAACAGGGGAGTGATTAAAGGTACAAAGGCGAAGAGAAACCTTCGCATGATAATAATAATTAATATAAATACTTACAACACCACCACCAAGATCCCACTTTCGGTATCTGTAAGCCACGCTGGCAATTTCACCGTCCTCTTCTTCGGATAAGAAAGGATTGGGCTCGTTGAATTTATATTTAGGTTCGGTAGCTCCTGTTCTCAATACCTAAAAAAATATCGTTGTAGAATTAGCGATAACATTATAATTGTTACGCATTACTTGTTGACTGAAGTTATGGTTGATGAACGTGGCTTCCAAGGCCAAGTTTCGAGGAGAATTCAACGAGTTGCCATCGTCCTGCGGTGGTTCGACGGAGGTTTCGTTTACAGTAAGCAGATCAAACTCGGTGTTGTCTCGTTTGTCGAAGAACAGTTTGTCACCTGTAACGATTACATGTGAGTAAGTATGTTTAAAACAGTGTAGCCTGTATTTACGTACCGATTTTTTCGATAACAATATCCCAAGAATAGTTGGATCTCGTGCAGCACATGATAGTAGCCAAAATGGCGTCGGTAGCGTAAACGTTACCTTCGGTTTTGGTGAGTTTACGAATAACGGGATCATCAGTTGTTGTTACCTAAAAGATTATATCGTATAATGTATTATTATGAGCTTTTTTAGTACAACTTACAGTATGGAAGATTCTGTTAACGCTTTGTAAAGCCTTTTCGTTCTTAACATTGACACGATCGTACGACTTATCGTAATATTCCAGTTCTCCGCAACATAAAATATCTTCACCTGTAAAATTCATAATAACATCACAACTGTTAACTCTACTTATTTATTTTTTTACCATCTTTTATTCCCGGTAGAGACAACTTTCCTAACCTAGGGAAGTCCATTTCTTCGATAGTGCTCCAATCAGGTCTGACAGTAACAGAAGCATCTCGGATTTTGATTTGGGGCTAAAATTTCCAATCGTGTAAAATAATTAAATATTCGCTGCATAATATACTTACTCGGCCTTGTCCCCATCTCTTAACCTGGCTTCTTTTGTAGGTGTCTCTAGCTTTGAGACCCTTACCAAGAGACTGCATACCGGATTGGACATTCGAGCGCCCTCCTCTACCACGTAGATTACGTTGATTGGCACGGAACCTGCCTCTCTGGTAAGGTGGCTTCTGAACCCTAGTGGTATCGACCAAGTGGAAAGTACTCTCATCTTCATCGTGATAGTAAGCGTACTGGCTACCCGAGCCGAATTGAGAAGCGTATTTGTCTGTAAAAAGCATAATTGAGGTTAAGGTTCAATAAACCCACCCGATTTACTTACTGGCGTATTTTTTATCCTGGAAAGCAGCCCCCGTCCAATCGCTAATTTTGCCCAACCGGTCGCCTTTGCTGAACGGTTGGTAGGGCATATCCTTGAATTGATCTGGCACTTCACATGGGCCCCAGCCGGTGGGGTTGTCCTGGATTACAGGAGCCACGAAGTGGGAAACTTCGCTACCGGACTGTTCAGTCATCGTCATAACTTACGGTAATACAGCGGATATTTTGGAGATATATCTATTTATTAGTTTATATCCGATATATTCTGTAAAATAACGAGTGCAACTTGCTGACTTATTGACACTAGTGACAGGTGACTTGACACTCTTGACAAGATTAGGTGCGTTCGTATTGATGTTCTAATACACATTGTCGTTTGTCACTTTTTGAGACTGTATACTTCTATCATACAAGGCAGTAATAATTCAAAAGAACTACCTAAATTTCAATATTTAATTTAAATCTTCTCCAATTATTGAAAATAAACATTTAATTAGATAGATTGAAAAATATATTAACATATTGTACAAAAAAAACTTGTACTGGATACAAAAATTATAATTCCCCCACAGCATTAACAACATTTTCGAAGCCGTCCTTATTTACAAGACTATCCAATTCTCTTTTAATTTTAGTAACTATGGGGGGCCCTTCATAAACCATAGACGTATAAATTTGTACTAAAGAAGCACCGGCCTTAATTTTCTCATATGCATCCTCTCCACTTGATATCCCTCCGACTCCTATAATGGGTAAATCGGTTAGTTCCCGCATTTCTTTTATCATTTCAGTTGATTGTCGCTTCAAGGGCCTTCCACTTAGCCCGCCAGTTTCCCTCTTTTTGGACGAAACCAAAGACACCGGTCTATGCGTGGTGGTGTTGCTTATTATTAGCCCATCCACTCTGCACGATTTATCTTTCAACACATTCGCGATATCCATTTTTTCTTTGCAACTAAGGTCAGGAGCTAGTTTAAGGAGAATCGGGGGTTTTCTGTCGAGATTTAAATCATTCCTGGCTTCTAAGCAAGAAGTTAACAGTTGTTTCAAGTTGTTTTTGTTCTGCATTGTTCGTAGGCCAGGTGTATTAGGACTGCTGACGTTGATTACCAGATAATCAGCGCACCCACCAAATTTTTTAATTCCTTTAACGTAATCCTCCACGGCATCTTCGGAGGTTTTGTTTTTGCCCAAATTCACCCCGACTATCGTGCTATCATCGTTCCGTTTGAATTCTTCTATTCTACTTAGCACTTTGTCGTGACCATCGCTGTTGAATCCGTATCTGTTAATAATTGCGGCGTCTTCAGATAGCCTAAACACTCTAGGCTTCTCATTGCCAGGCTGCGGGTTAGGTGTAACGGAACCGATTTCAATGAACCCGAAGCCTATCGACTTCAAACCGCTGATACCCTTGCCGTCTTTATCGAAGCCAGCAGCTAACCCTACAGGATTCGAAAACTCCATTCCCAGCACTTTGACTTTCAACGATTCGGGGTCTTCATAGGGGAATTTCGGCACCAGGTTGTACTGGCTCAAAAATATCGCTAAATTGTGAGCTCGTTCGGGATCTAATAAATGAAGCACCGGCATCACCAGATTTTTGTAAATCGACTCTTCTCCTCTATAAAAGCAGATGGCTGAATATGCAGCATATCCTCCTAACGAGACCTTAAAGAAGGCGTTCAGTTTGCTGGACATTCTACAATTTAAACGTGTAATAATTCTGAATTAGGGTATTTGTGTAAAGTAGGGCTCAAGCAATGTATACGTACGTTGGAATTCTATTTAAACATTTAAAACAAAAAGTATTTGATAACAGTGTTTACACTGTTTACATATTTAACCCCAAAAACTTTTGACAATTATTAATTTGTGTCATGTAGGTTGCTTAGTAATAGACCTATTCAGTTTACGAAAGAGAGTGATAGAGTTATTAGATCAACATAAGATAATAAAAGAAGCAAATATGTTTCACGCGCAATCTGTGGAACCATTTAAAATCTGCGCAAACGTAAGTGCAAGAGAGACGAGATATTTGGCCTATTTCATTGCTGATTGACAGACACATTGAATGATTCTTAGATGAAAACTGTTTTAAATATAAAAAAGAAGAGACCAACTTCAATCTTAACCCTATTTTGTTTCCGTTTGATGTTTGTTTATGTTCAGTGTGTATTATTTTTTAACAGTATTTCTTTGTATTATTTAGTATATTTATTTATAAAGGTAATAATTTTTTGTATAGGTCAATGGGATTATTTTTTTGAAATATATATTATAGCAAACCGATCAAAAAGCATTTTCGGAAACTTTGTACTAACCCTCTTACTCTTTCTTAGACTTGACTTGTACGTAAATATTAAGCCTATAACCCCTTTCTGGGCAGTAAAAACAAAATTGTATCGAGTCACCGCGTCCATTAAATCCGACGGATTGTTGGGATAATGACAAATGACGTCTTAAGTTGTCGTTGTCTGGTTGTCAGAACCGTATTTTACCTGAGGTGCGTTCGTTTGTTCGTTTAGATGTCCAGCTAATTGTCCACAATATGCGCGCGCAGCACAGGTTAAACTGAATAGGTCAATAGTTTACAAGAAAAATAGGCAACACTTATTACAAATACAGAAATATGGAGCGCCTGAATAGTTCCTTTTATAATATAATTTAACGATTTGATAGATAATTCTTTATTGACAATAGTAATTAACTAACATAAAGTAAACACTCTTTATCAAATCTGTTGTAAACGAAATCAGGATAAATAAGGACTTGCTATCATACTGAACGTATTTTAATAAATATAAATATACAATAAACTAATCAAATTAAAAATCTTAACTTACTAACGACAATGAGGTTCAGAGTAGTGAGATCATTCAACGGATATTAATATCTCAAACAGAAGGATTTCAAAAAACATCATAGTGGACTTAACAGCCGTTAGTTAAGTTAAAACTGAAAAGATAAATAATTTATGCTCCAAACTCTCGTTGTAATTAAAAAAAACTTATTAAACTAAATGCATATAGTAAAAATTCTGGAATTTTCTGTCCTGATACTTGCACCGCTTACCAAAAAGTTGCGGATTCGTTTAATTCAGTTAAACATGAAAATCACTTTAAACCAAAAAATGTTCAATCAAAAGTACAAAACCAGTAAATTTCCTGCTCAAAACCCAGAAACAATGAAAAATTTATCAGTAAGATCTAATCAATATTGATTCACCAAAAAGCACGAATCAAAATTGTATTATCCCTCGAATAGATTCAGAATTACAAAATCAGTATAATTGAATAACGCGTCTTCATACATTATGGCAACCCCTTTGCACTCTTTGAACATACATTTCGAACAATAATTTATTTATCTTGAAATAGTGGGGATTCTGCGATTCGCTCAAATCCGGCATATACTCGGATTGGTACTGTAAAGCGTTGAAATCGAGACTCTGCTCTGAACTGGGGGGAGATTCCGGAACGTAATTCGAGTGGTTCGGTGGGCCCGGGCCCCATTCCACGTTATTCGTTGAACTCGAATGGCACCCGCTGTCTAAGAGCATGCCGTTGCTGTTGATGTGAAGATTGTTTATTCGCTTCGAAAGAGGCATAAACTCGATTTCATCTTCTTTTGGATCACGTCCTCGTTTCCTTGAGAAAAAATCAATACATGTAAGTGAAGAAGTGGGACATAGTAATTTTTGATTTACAGAAGGTTTCTGCATTTTATACTAATCAAAAATTGTAAATATTAATGCGATTAATGTTAATTTGAAACATTTACCTGTTGTATGTCATGGTTGTTGAAAGTGTTAATACCTATCAAATACAAGCAATCAACTTCACTTTCGAGTTATTCACCGCAACAACAGGAATTTGAAATTCTGCGAAGTAAATTTTACAAATCACTTGGATGATATAAAAAATAATTATTTTATATTTTCACCCATAGTTTTGGCAATTCTTTAAATTTTTTGGCGTTGACTTGACACTGACAGCTGCTTTTGACTGAAGTGACTTTGACGTTTATTCTTCTTTTTTTTAAAGAGGTCTTGATCGATCGGCAAATGTCTTTTTAAAATTTCTTCTTTTTTTAATGTCATAATTTATATGACCCTGGGAATCCCATCAAATTGGCGGCATGTTTGAAAGTGTAAGATTTTCAGTAAAAAAGTAAATTATTCCTCTAGATAGATTAATACAATTTATGAATTAATTGTTACAAATGGTAAAGGGGCTAAATGTTTTGGCTTCATTGCGCCTTGTAAAAAAATTGTAATTCTAATTAATTTGTACCACAATTGACGCATTATAATTAAATGGTAATTATCCTTTCCTCTTTCGCGTGGATTGTACAAATTTTTTGCCCGCCGGCAGGTGTGGATCCGTATAGAAATTTCGAAGGAAAGTGCGAGAATTTCTCGACGTAACGACCACAAAATTACGGCATTCGGTCTCTGATCATGGGTTAAACACCCGAAAAAAAGGACACTTTCACTGCGACGCGTTTCAATTGTGTTCATGCAAAACGCCGAGCCGAATCAAGGCCTGCAAGTAGTGAAAATGAGAAAAGCAAAAGCAATAGTGGCGGTAGAAAGGATTTCGGCGTACACGCGACATTGGCGACTTCAGAAAGAGCCGAACAATGGCGCCTACACCAACATATATCGTAAATGCAGTGACCGGAGAAAATGAGGACGGGTTCCCGCTCGCTATTCAAGACGTTGATAAGGAGACCAACGATGAATTACTGGATTCATTTACAGGTAATAATTTTTATAATCATTTTTTATTTATCTGTTTGGTTCAGTTTTTCTCTAACTTAAATAAACTGGTTATTACATGAGGTTGTGCTCTATTTGAGGTAATGGAGTCTTCTTTCCAAATGTCCTTTCATAACAATTCAACATGTCAAATTTGGTCCATTTTTATTTATTTTTCTTCTAGTTTTATACTTCTCGGGTACCAATTATTTTTAACTTTATTTTCCAGTTCCCCAATATTAAATCCTTTCTTAATTTTTCTTGTCTCCCATTATTTTCTTACGTTTTTATTCATGTTTTCCAACTTACGCATTTTTTAGATTCAGTTACCAATTATTTTTAACTTAATTTTTCAGTTGCCCAATATTAAATCCATTAAATCCTTTCTCATTTTTCTGTATTCCTTAACATTTGCTATATTTTTCTTTCACCTTTTCTATCTCACACCTCACAACTTTCTTAGATTCGTCAGAATTTTTGGCTCTTCTGTGCTATTATCCTTTCAATACTCTCAATTCTGCATTGATGGATATTAAAAATTGCGCTATTTATATAGGTGAAAAATCCGGATTCGTGCAAGTGGGCCCGAAGAAGTACTTTTTCCCGAGCGGTTACAAGCGCGAAGCCAGCAATTACTACAATTTCAAAGCGAGGCCAGACGACGTGTTTGTAATCACTTTTCCTAGGTCGGGTGAGTACCCAATTAGACTAAGGCCGGCGTATTGCGAGCGCAATGCAATTGCGACAAAAAAAACCCATTCCAATCATTTGCGACATTTGCACTTAAACGCAGGGAATTCGATTTAGATACAGCCATTAAATCGTTTAAGTTTTACAACCGAATTCCGGATTCGCGATGCGGGTCAAAGTACTTAATTTCTTTAAAATTCGTGACGAAATCGCGAATAATAATAACGGATTGTTCGATGAGATTAACTTTCGAATATCCAACCATTACGCAACACAAGTACCTACATAACTCCCACAAAACTTAAATTCAAATTATCGAAGATTATATAGGAAGTGTAGTTAAAATTAAATTGTACGCTACAGGTACAACCTGGACGCAAGAAATGGTGTGGCTCTTGGCAAACAAATTAGATTACGAAAGAGCGTCCGAAGAGCCGTTAACAAAAAGATTTCCTTTTTTAGAGTAAGTAAATTCCAATGAAAAATCGCGCGAAAAACCAAACTCTTGCAATTCATTACAGATTCAGCTGTTTCGTTCACCAAGACACGAAATCTACGTTCCTAAAGGAGAACCAATACGATACAGATAAATGCAAAAAAATAGAAAACCTGGACACCCCGCATTGGAAAACCTTCGAGGAAAAAACGGAGAGGAGATTCATCAAAACGCACTTACCATTCAGTTTACTGCCGCCGGATTTACTGGAAACAGGTAGCAAGGTACGCCCATTCCAGTTGTCCTGCGGCCCAAAACTCACCAGTACTGGTTGCAGGTAATTTACGTTGCTAGAAATCCAAAGGACGTCGCCGTGTCGTTCTACCATTTGAACAGGACGTACAGGACGCAAGGATACACCGGGGATTTCCCGCAATTTTGGAGATACTTCCAGAACGGTTTGGGTACGCTACGAATTGAAAAACAGGCTTAAATAATAACTAAAAAACGCGTAAATTTCAGTCGCTTGGGCACCTTACTGGGAGCATATAAAGGAAGGGTGGAATCGCAGGAACGAGAACAACGTGCTGTTTCTCTTCTACGAAGATATGAACAAGGTAGTTGTGTACTATCCAGATTCCTTGCAGTTTTGTAGACCATTCTGCAATAATTAGTTATATTAATTAACATTTTTCGCAGGACTTGAAACAAACCATCGCGAAGGTGTCGGATTTCTTGGAAGTTAGTTATTCGGATCGGGAGATCAGTAAACTCGCGGAGCACCTTAGGATAGACAATTTCAAGAATAACAAATCAGTGAATAAGAGCGATTTGAGGGATTTGGGCATTCTGTTGAGCAACGAGGAGAGTTTTATAAGAACGGGAAAAAGCGGTGGCTGGCGTTCGTATTTCGACGATGAATTAAATAGAGAAGCAGACGAATGGATACAGAAGAATTTGAGGGCGTTTGACCACTCGTTTCCGGCGTTTCCGTAATACAATGTACAAATTATTGATATATTAACAATACTAATAAGATAAATTTTAATCAATGCATACGTTGTATTATTTTGATTTGACTTATCCTTTGCGTTCCAACATGCATTTGAAAGGCGTGGAAAATACATTTAGATATTTATTCATTAAACAATACATAAAAAATAAATTTGTTATAGTTTTAAACGTATACATTTCAAACAAACAAAAAATAGTAAGTAGGTTTAATACAACGAAATATAAAAAAATTAAGTATTGTTTTTTTAGCATTAGAAGCTATATTAGCTTACAAACGAAAAGAATTGTATCCTACATTAATTGAGGATTTAAAAAATCCGAATTAATCATTTTTTATGCAATAGAAACCATTAAAATGTGATTCCGTTTCGTAATATCTTAGATAAAATTATCATATGTGATGAATTCTGTACAAAAATAATTTCGGTCGATATCTACACAAGATCCATTCGAAAAATACAGTTTTTCAATTTTTTTTGATTTTCATTTCCTTTCGTTTCCGATACCTTAAGTCCTATTTACACATTTCACCATTTTCAACACATTTACGCAAATGGTATATCGAATATAATTTCAGTGTTTTATACAGTTTTTGTGCTTATATCGAACTACAACCAATATAAATTAAATTATTCATAAGCCATTTCAAGCAGTACTACAAACTGTATAAGCCAAGATAAGACATTTTTTTAAATCGTACTTCGTACAGCCAAATTAATTAAATGTAATTATAAAAATTAATGTGCAAGAATAATTACAAGTCGACCAACGAATCGAGTTTGAATTAGCAAATACTTTACATAAGATAATTTATTGAGATAACACCAGTTCTCCATTGGTCATATTTCTGTATCATTTTAAATTGTTTTTAATTTGTGAGTTTCTCTCCTCGCTAGTCGATTCATAAATTCATAAATAAAATATGCATCGTTTAAATTTCAATAGAAAATAATTAAATGTGCGCGGTTTCGTAAGAACTGTACAAATCGAATTTTATTCAATGGTAAATTGGCACAAGTACCAGTCTTAAAGCCAATGAGATGGACAAATATAATTGTTTTATTGCTTGCTAAGCCAGATTATAAATGAACCCTGTATTTTCACAACAAAAATGTGCTAGTACTCCCGATTTTAAATAATGATGTAATTTTATATATTCATTAACACCTACTTATACATTTATAGATGAATTATTACATACATCTAAGAAGCTCCATTTGGCATACACTAAGTGAGTTCGGGTGAACAAACTAAATTTACTGAATAATTAGTGTCATAAAATTGTCTCATATTCTAAGGAAGCACGTCATTAGAATGAAACTTCTTCAGCGAATAAAAATTTAGTCCTTCCTCTAACTGCAGTTACTCGTTAAGGAACTAATTTATTTCACTGAAGAAATTTTACTCTAAAAAGCACAACGACTTTTAAACTTTCTAGTCTTCCACTAAAATCGAGTTTGAAAAGTTTCAATGTGGAAAACAATATGTCCGAATTGGCGTTGAGAGTTGGAAGAAACCATTGGAATGCTTATATCGAATACAGGCAGTGAAATTATAAGTTTACAAAAAAATTTAATCAGTTCAAATCATGTCATGTTTAGTCGAGATTCAAAAGTTTTAACCCAATTACATTTGTAAAACATTAGTAAAAATAAATATTCGAAAATATAGTACAATAGTGCGTAGGTTATTTGGTATATATCAACAATTTTTATTAATGAAAAATACCATGAAGTTGTCGATATCGAATGAATGAAATTGGACAATATTGTGAGATCATGTTATAGAAAAATTTACTCTTAGCTAACTTGAGCGTAATGAATTGTACGTTTTTTTTTCTTTGCAATCAAATTCACAGTATTTTTCTATACACTACAACTATCTTATAGTATCTATAAATAGAATATAACACTGAACGCAGTTAGACTAAGCGATAGCATACAATGGTTCAAAAATATCTAAATTCTAAACGATCAATCATAGAATTTTTCTGAACCATCAGTATATCACATAAATATGGCACAAACATCAAAGAAATGTTTCTAAATAGAGAATATCTATTTACATTTCCATGTAATATTAAAATGTCTCATAGAATATATATTTTTTAATACACAATAAAGCATATTTTCTAGACAATAAAAAAAGAGAATTGTCGAAAAAATAAGTAATTTTGACAGATCTTGAGCAAATTTTTAATTCCAACTAAACCTCTTGTAGTGAATTAGTTATTTCATCGAGTGTTCCAATTATGTTATATAAATTTCTTGTCAAATTTGCGTGAATTTTTCTCGTGAAATACTATCGAGAGCAATCCAATCACTCAGGCAGTTATAATCAAAAATTAATACTTCTATCAAACAATTCTCTACAATTTTTACAGTCTATTTTGTACACATAAATCTTTAGTAATACGGAAAATAAGAATATATTCTATCGTTGTTGAGCTGATTTTCAAATTAAAATGGTAGTAATAAGATTGTCTTCGATTTCCCAATTCAAAACATTTTTGGCACAGTGACTTTCGAAAGAAAAAACAGTCTTGTTGCAACGCAATGACAGTAAATTAATTCAAGATTACAATCTATTTTTTTTACAAAAATATAATTATGATTTGTTAGGCCATAATCATTTTAGGATAATACTCTTTCGTCTCTAATTTAAAAATCAGCCGACCAAACTAGTTTTCCTTTGGCTTCCTTCTGAAAAATTTAAGCCTTGTATCGGTGCGTTCGATTCATGGAACAAGCCAATATCAGACCCAAAATCAAACCTAGCAATTGGATTCCCAATATAACCCCTCCGACGATTAATATAATGCAGCAGCTCTCTTTCAGTTTGTCGTAAATCAAATTGTAGCAACCCGTGTTGTAGATGATCTGACCATTCGGTTCATCGCCGACCTGTTGAAACAAAAATCAATAATTACAATGAATTACAGATTTGAAATGATTAGTTGATTGGAAGTTAATAGAAGTAAATGATTATTTATCATACCTTTACGTTGTATGTAGCAGCAAAACAATCTTCGGATGTCACTCCTTCGCGGCAACAACTCTTAGGTATGCTGTACAAATTGGGATTTCCCGAAATAACCATGCTGTAGCCTTTCCCGCGGGTCCAGTCCGTTGGGTGCTCAGCACCACAACATTGCAGCTGTGAATTAAAAAAATGTTTAATTTTAGAATAAAATTGAATCGATTAAACGAAAAAATACCTTCATGAATTAGCACAATTAACTCTTAAGAAACAATTAACCAATCGCTTCTATAAATAGTTAATACTTAATAAGTAATTACCGACTATTAAATGACTCATGGAGGTGTCAGACTTTCAACAATGCTAATTTATTTTTTATTAGACCGACAACCGAACGGATCGAACAACGTCGAGCTACTCGTATCTACTTTTACGAATTAAGCAGTACAATAATTAACCTTTGTTTGAATGGTGTCGAACAGCTTCCTAACGTTTTCGTCTTTGTCGTAGTCCTCTTTAACAGAATTCTTCACAGCTGTTCGAATGTGCTGCTCGAGGCTGTCGCGGTGAATGTAACCCCACACGCCAGCTGCCACTTCAGCTACCACGATGATCAACAGCAAGCAGAACGACTATGGAAAAATAGCTCGTTAATTAACAAAAAATTAATCCATACTCCGGCATCTCATTAAGATAGAATTCTTACTGCGATCAGGGCCTTTCTGACTTCCTGTCCAACGCTGTAGATGCCCAAGATAGAGACGACGAGGAGAATGACGGAAGCCAATAGAATGATTATCGTGGTTATCAAATAATCCTTGGATTCCTGCGTGAAATGCAAGGGAATGGTCGGATCGACGAACATCCATATCGACAAGCCGATTCCGGCGACAGAAAGGAGCTGAAACACCCAACAAAATTTAGATTAATTATCCTAGACGCTGTTCTAATCATTTATTTATAACTCTTATGTCACAATGTTAATAAAAACGGCAAGCGAATTTGAATATTATTTAAATGCTATGAGAAACGTTCACATAGCGTTGAGTAATTAAATGGTAATGTATTCCGTTGCAAAGGTTTGCTTTTCTATTTAAAAATTAATTATATATTGTGCTTCATAAAGATATAATATTGTATGATGATGAATAAAATGAATAGGAAAAAATGATTTCATGAAGGAATGTAAAAATAAATTCATATCGTTCTATCTATACAGTGTGTCCAAATAATATGCCAACGTAAAATAGTATTATTGTAATGTTGTCAGCAAATTCAAACAGTTTAAATATACTATGACACGTTTTTGGCCAGCTTGTATTTTCTATAAAATGATATCATCAATTGCAATCATTCAATATATACAAGGTGTCCCAAAATCTGTGAGCAATATTTTTAGGATATTGTACAATATGCCTCAGAAGGTTTATTATCTTGTCATACATCAAAAGAGGTGTATACAGGGTTAATTGAAAATTCTATTCAAAATTGGTTCGATGTAATAATCTCCTTATTTATTTATGTTGTCATGACAACAATAAACACAAGTCGTCATGGCAACAATACATTATTTAACGTCACAAATAGCACGATAATGTCGATAATTAACTTGACCTACCCCTTGTTGAATCAGATTTGTTATGTAAACAATGTTAATAAAACATCTTGAAGCAAAATCGACATAAGTAAATGAATATGTGATTATAATAAATGTTATTTATTGTGTATTTATTTAAAAAAACTGACTATATCGCATCAACAAAGCTGTATTATTTTAGTTAGAACACCAATGACGTAGGCGGCAGGAATTTATTTTATATTTATAAATACAGCGTTCTTTTCATCGATCATTAATTAAAATCTCATGCAAAATATACACAAAAGATGTTATGAATTAAACGTAATTAGAAAACATCATCTGACAGATTATCCAGTGCCCTGATTACCGAATAATCGATAATGCATTTGGGCACATATAACATAAAATGGCCACTTAAAATAAAACGTCTCGTCTTACCAAAAATATGATGTTGAGGAATATGAAGAGGTACTTCATGCACGTATAACCGGCACCCATGTTGGCGAGTTTCGAATTTGGCGAATTTTTTCAAATTTATCAATGCAGTTGTAAACAAATCGCGTTCGATACGCGCGTAACTCGAGCTCGAATGCTGTTTTTGGGGAACGGAAACTGGGGATTGGGGAACATCTTGAACTCAAGGTCATGGAACGCAAGCGGACTTACCCGAAGTCGATGTGCACCAAATTTAAATTCAAAGCCTCCTATTTCAAGAGAGTTTACAAAGTTATTAATTAATTACAATTTATTACAATAATTTGAAGAATATTTATTTTAACTACTATAATTTAATGGTCAATTTCCAATTTCGCCAACTAGATTATTCGGCTCGTTAATAAACATTTGACATTTGACTTCATAATTTATACTTCATTAACTATTCAAATTCAAAACGTAATTATAAAAATACTCGTTGTTTTTTAATAAGTTCAAATATAAATAATTTAACTGTACTAAAATTATATCATCAATTTAAATTTGGCAACAATTAGTTCTTCCAATTGTACGCAAACTCCAAAAAGGACGCCACGAATTTTCTATCACTTTTTATCGAGCGCAATAGAAAAGGATGCAGCTTGTCTACGTGCTGTCAAAAATCCAAAATAAACAAACAGTCGAAGAAGTGAAAGGCAAGTGAAAAAACAAAATGGCAATGTGTGTTGATAAATTTTTTAAATTTGTAAAAGAAAAACGTGTTGTATTAATTGAATGATTATTTTTAGCATATAATTAAAAGGTAAAAGTTGTTACAAATGTGTGATAATATTATAAAAGTATAACAACGCTTGTTTTTAGGAAAATACTTGAGTTTTCATTCCCGCTTGTTCCAGTATAAATACATAATTTTCAAATTATAACCATGGAAGACGATGATTTTGACGAGAATTCCACAATAGGCCAACTAATTACCAATGTCAATAAGATATGTAAAAAGCCGCAAGTGGACGGGCAACTCAGTAACGTTAGTAACAAGAGAAACTTGACTCATTGCAGCGTTCCCTAATGCATGTAAATAATTCAATTTTTTAGGTTCTGGAGACGTTTCAGAATAAAATAAGCCGCCAAACGCTGTACCTGAACAACGGTTTATTCAATATTAATTTCGCCGAAGCGGCTCTTTTCATTCAAAGCTGTTCCGTTTTATACGGAAAAAAGATTGACCTGCTTTGGGATGGAGTGCTCGAATTTCTCACCACGCTTATCTCATCCGAATGCAAGGACCAAAAAGAAAAGTAACTACATTTTTTTATTAAATCTGTTAGCAACAAACAATGCATAAAATATTCATGAGGCGACAATGATAACCAAATAACGATATGTGCATAAACATAATTTGACTAACCAAAATTATCCTATCTAATAATGTATTCTAATTTTAGGGGCAAAAATATCAATACGGAAGCCATCAAAATGCTGGAAGAAAGAAGAAACAGGTACAAGAGGAAGAAGTCGTTCAAATTGAATTTGTCCGAGAACACGAGCAATGTGGATTATTTTTTATTTGATGATGATGCTAATGAAGATGAAGAACCGGTTAGTTTCGAGCCTGACGAGGAATTGTCCAAGGCTTGGCGGGTAATCGAATGGCAGAGCAACGAGATAACGAAAATTCCGAGATCCGTTGCTAAGCTACAACGGCAAACCTATCGAATGAAAAATTACTACATAATGAAGGATCAAGATTGGGATATTTGCGATTCCGATGACGGGGAAGTGAATACCAGGTATAGCAAAATACCGGGCTGGCATGTTATTTACCATCTTTTCGAATACAACACATTGGGCCTGCTACCCGATAAGTACAACACGATAGCCACGCTTCGGCTTTGTTGTTATCTCAGGGCGGAATTCATGCGAGATCGTAAGATTCCTTTCAACGCCCCTTACAGCCAGTACAAGGAAGAATACCTTGCTTTTAAAAAGAAATTTTTCGAAGAAGAGTCGAAAAAGTGGCAAAACATGCCTTTAGATACCATGGCGGACCTTCGAAGGCAGCTGGATTTTCTCGCGCAAAAGGATAAAGAGGAAGACGAGAAGGAAAAGTCTCTCGAAAAGAAGTGGAATGTGCCGGAATTTTTGCACAAAAATTGCTGTACTTACGAAGGCTGCAGCGATTGCTCAAGCAGCAAATCTTCAATCATTACCATTTCTGATTCGTCAGACGGGGATTTCAGTGCCCAAAAAGAAGACATAACCAAGTGCGAACCGACGGTTTGTTTAGAAAAATTATCGCCCGATATTGTTAATTCCAAATTGCTGAGGGACTCTGGATATTTCGACTTCGATGAAGATAAATCAGATGAAATGGAGGAAACTCACAATTTGGAAACAACAAATTCTGAAGCTTCCGAACAGGCAGATAAATCGGTTGATGTATCTGAAAGTTCAGAGAAATCGAATGAAACTGAAACAACTTCGGAAGTTGATAAAGAGAACGAAAATGCTGATAAGGATGTTGAGATGAGTGATCAACAACAAGCCGATAAATCAGTTGATGAAAATGGTGAAAAATTAAATGAATCTGTAGAAAATGCTGATGAACATTCCAAAGAAAATGAAAATCCTAATACAGATGGTCCAAATGTTTGCAACGTCTCTCAAGATAAGCAAGTGCTAAAAGAAAATTCAATAAACAAATCGAAATCGAATAAATCGGACGACATATTGGCACCAATGAGTACAAAATCGAGAATAATTGTAAAACCAACACCATTGAAAAGGACTAAACAAACGAAAACTGAGGTTTGTATAATACCTTACTATCGAAAATAAATGAATAATTTTTGATTTTTTTAAGAATTCCAATATGGAGCCACCAAGTGAACTTCCGAAGCGTAGGAAACTATCCCAAAGAGTCATGGAAAAACTACTAAAAAGCAAAATAAAGCCAGTGAACGAAATAAAATTCGAAAAGTTCTTCTCGCTTAACTACCAACCCCAATTAGGAGAGGGTAAGTTAAAATGATTACCTAACTACAAACGATTCTTAATTGTATAAATTTTAGGCGAAATTCTACCAGTGGATTACGAATCGGAAGAAGATGAAGTTTCACCAGAAAGCATTTTAGCTCCCGATGACGATCTCAGATCCATCGTATCAGATCACAATTACACCCAGCTATCAGAAGACCACGCGAATGTGAACGATTCAGGATTTATCGATGAAAGGTATTTTACTTGTAATAACAAGCATCAATTATCTTAATAACATTAAATTGTAATAGAGAGGAGAATTTAGAAGATAACATTGAAGCAGATATAGCTGATGAGGATAACGACGAAGACGATTGGTTATCATCGAGTAGACTTCTAGAAGAAAGAAGTGAAACTGATCCATCATATCAAGCAGAGTACGAAAGGCTATTAACGCAATTACGAGAATCGCGCAAGCAATTAGGAGAAGAACTACAAACGAATCCTGGAAGTAAGCAATTCCGATACATAATTTCAGCTGATTTTTACAATCCACATTCCTTCAGGTTGGATAGCAGAGAAGCTGGAAAGGGAACGTGAACGATTAGCTGCTAAAGCTCGAATAGAGCAGTGGAAGAGCTCCATAACGCCCGTTCTAAATAATCTGAAAGAAAACGACTTTGATATTCACGAATACGGCACAAAAATTATGGACGGTTTGGAAGTCGAAGAATGCAAACCGTTCAAAAATATCGTTGAAAATAGGTCGCCTGCACAGGTTGCTCGGTAAATATTTATTTGTTATAATTACATTTTTTGTTGTTTATATAAAGGGGAACAAAATTCTGGACACTGGCTCGATATTAAGGAAGCAATGTCCTTTGCAATGCTCTTTAAAACACGCATTAAACTATTGCCAGTTTTAGTTAGTAATGTGTTTGTTTTAGAGTTTTGTTCCACTATGTATGTAGGTATTAATTGTAATGGGTACTTATCGCTTTTTATCTCTGCTTTATGTTATGTATTTTTTTTGCTATTATTTGCTTTGTGGATTGCACAACTGTAGACATTTATTTTAATTCATTTCTGTGTTTGATTTGGGCTTGCGTATTATTAGAACAACAGTTCAGAGCTATGCTGCTATGTTTGTAAGGATTGATCATTCGGTGTTTTATGTCCATTTTAATATTTCGTGAAAACTTACTGATGATTCGAGTTGGATAGTGAAGACTATAATGGTGTGTTTAATAAGTACAAAAAAGTACGTAATATGGTCTATGGGTACAACAAAGACAACTTCTATTAGTCTCATATAAAGGAAAAAGAGAGAGTGATGTTGTGTTATTGCGATTTTCTCACTCTAATTATTGCTATTTTTATAATTGCACTTTGTTCAACTCATAGAATTAAGTATATTGCAAACAAACTTGCAGTTAATAGTAATGATAATACATTTTCTCAATTACTAATAGTCTTTAATTAGTGATTAACTTGACAAGTATTAATATAAAAAACTAATTACATACATTTTAGTTTCATATTAAATATACTTTTTTTGTAGTACCTATTACATTAATAATTATTTTTTAATCAATTTAACCATGTAACATAAACAAACCATTTATTTCAAACATTTACATTGTAACAATACTCAACGTTTCTAAAAACTTCTTATACACATAACAATTAAATGGTTCGTTTATTTTGCCCTTTATAATACTGTTAGTTAGTATTTAATCCACGTTTTCGTTTCTTCCGATATTTCACTATCCAACTTTGTAGGGGAATTTCAACAGATGCGAACACTAAGTATATTTGCAGGTATTTCATAGCGTCCTTGCAATTAGCGAGTACCTACAATATTGAATTATGCGGTGCGAAACAAGGTGAATTGTCCAATAACACGTTAAGCGTGAAACTGTTGAAAAAAGACAGATATCACGAGCATCTGGCCGAGTACAATGCGCCTTCCGAAGAGGACTTTAGAGAGAAATTGAACAGGATCAGAGTACTGCAAAGCAGAGAGGTGCGTTGTATACTTTGTTGTGTTATTTTCAGTTTGTAATTCTATTTTTAACAGATCGAAGACTCGCAGAAGAATAGAAAAAGACGATCACAAGAACCGTGTACGCCCAGCAGTTCGAAGAAGAGGCCGAAAAACGCCAAGAATAGCGCAGTTAATCCCGCTAAAGGGAAAAATATCCTGTCGAATTATTCACAGGTTGAATATAATGCGGATATTAATGCCCCTTCGACGTCTCGATCTATGAACGAGGTCTTAGAACCTTTGGATGAACGACAGTTTCACAGTGAATTGAAGCGCGGAAATTATTCTACGCCACAATGTAGGAAGTACAATAGGACTTTAGGGGACTCGTCCTAAAAATGTATACTTTAAAATTAGTATTAGCGATGTTTCAGGGTTTAAGCTGAAGGAATATCTGTCTAAATTATTCTAGTATTGATGTGAATAAATTGCAAACGTAAATTTATTTGCGGAATTTTTAATTACGGGTTATACTGTTTTTTTACGTTTATAAGTTTTTTTTAATGTATGCTGCGCATTCCGTTGGTGATTTATCGAGTATTTTGTTAGTTAACCAATGCTTTTTATTTTAAAAGTTTTTTGTAACTTCAATGTGTTCATTAATTTATTCAAATGAGGTATTCCTTTTATATAGTGTAGTTTGTTTTAGGTTTTTAAGGAATAAGTATCAAGTGGATACTGGAATTATATTTCTTAAAGTGCAATCCAGTTAATATGAATTTTATTTTTCGATAATTTTAAATGGTAATTTTGCTTATTTTCCACTAATTCACGTATCCACTTTTCGTTGTACAAACGTATTTTCATTATTTGAAAAATGTACAAATTTTTTCAAGATTCTACTTAAATTAATATTTTTTTTAATATGTATGTGTATATGTATAAAAAATATTTTATATTTACAATGTGTGGGTACGTTTGAGAGTTCACACAGAAATTTAAAAGGCTAACGTCCAAATTTATGTGCAAGTTTCCTATGGCAATTTAACACAAACTGTAGTAGACTTGTAATTTCATTGTAAAATTGTAGAATCTACGAAATTCAAACGGAAAATTGTACAATTTTGTTGTTTGAAAATAGTTACACATCTACAATTTTTTGATGAAAACTACGATGTAGAAGAGCAAAATATTGTAAATGAACTCGTAATAAGTACCTTCAGAATCTATTATATTTTTCGATATTGTAAATAATTGATTTAATCATTATATAGGGTGTATAATAGAGTAATTAAGTTTCCATGTGGAATCATCGGTTTCATTTTTTACACTCTGTATATGGATTAGACTATAAAGTATATTTGAGTTGTGTTAAATTACCATATTGATTAGAGTTTAACGTAATAAATAATTTTCTCACGTTTGAAACTTTGTTACCTTAATACCCACCCTGGAAAAAACAAAATAGGTCAATTTTCATTGAATAAAATTAGTCTTCAAGCACTTTATTCATGAATACTATATTTACGTTTTGAATATATTGAATATATTTGAATAACTTACTTTTCGATTCGAATTTTCCTCTACAATTTTGCAATAATTAAGAACATACCTTCATTGAACTTATCTGTTTATTTGCTATCATTAAATTCGATAAATAATTGAATATCCTAGATAGGGATAAACTTCCTTGAAACATAAATAATTAAATACAACTATCGATTTGGAAATTATATTTAGAAACTAATAAATGATTGGACAACTGACAAATTGCTCTATCTAAAGAAATATACCAACGAAGATACATTTATTGCAATAAATAAGTTACAATCTATGTAATTTTTAACTATTTGTTAAGTGATTGATGAGACAACGTTTGAACACTTTACTATTCTACGTTTTAATCAGGAAGAATGATTTCGTCCTACATAGTGGAATAATATATTATGTAGCTCAGCTCAGACTCGAAACATTTTAATATCAATCGATCTAAAAGGATTTAACTTCTCTAGGATAAATCGGTTGGGGAGGAGATTCTTAGGGGAGGTGGCTGTATAACAGATTTGGCCTCATTGCAAAATCAAAATATTTCAAATCCAACCAAGCACAATCGAACATCGACAACTATCTTATTCTAAACTTTTGGCCTACTCTTGAGCTAAAAACCGTTAACGTGATGGTACACTGGTGAGTGATAATTACGAAGTTTCCGCTGGATTATTCGGATTTTATGCTCGCAGTGGCATCGATCACGCTCAAGGCGATCCCGACTTGCGCTGCGTAATACGTAGACATAATGAGCGCCTGAAACAGGATTCATAAGAAACCCCTTTCGATGCGAAACTACCCTTTACTCACTTGCGAGTACTCGATCTTGTATTTGAACCGGTCGATTCCGATCAGGAAGTCTGAGAGAGCGAACAGGATGCTACCGGCGCAAGTGCACAGTTTGCTCCAGGTCCATAAATCCTTAAAATTAAACTGATAGTTTATACTCTTTCGGGATAATATAGCACTTACTTCGAAAAATTGCACTCTTGCAATGGCTCTCCATAACATCGTGGCAATTACGAACACGTAAATCGGAACTCCCACCACGAATACTCCGTACAAATCCGGCAGGAGGTACAACACCACTGAAACAGTAATTAATTGCCATTCTTACACCCAATACTCCTGGTTAGTCTTACCTAATGTTGCTACAGAGTACAAGGCTGCTCCGATCGGTAGTTGAAGGGGCTCGAAACCGAAGGCTCTAATGTACTGAATGTGGCCAGCGGTGAAGGCCAGCATGCCCAAATCGAAGTATTGGTTCCATAACAGCAGGGCGTCCCCGATGCAGCAGAACACCAGCCCCAGCAGGATCCTTCTCGAGTACTTGTATCTGTTTATAATATTGCAAAGTTTATTCCAGTGGGTCTACAGGTTGGTCAGAAGAGTTTCAGTTATGCGGTCGAAATTTATAAAAAATGGATAATTATCGAGTACCATTAAGAATATAACAAATGCACTAGATTATTTTTTTGTTTCACACGTTATTCGAATTATTTATTGAAAATTTGTGTACAAACTATTCAATAGTTCAAAATGCGCACAAATTTTTAATCAATGACGAATATGATCAAAATATTGTGAGTCAATAAAAACCAACAGTTATTTATCTTGAATAATGCGATAAAACGAATAACATAAATTCATAAATCATTCCATATCAGTTAGGTGATTTGGTTGAACAATATACATAAATCTACGCATAATTTATTTTCTACGCCATTGTATAAAAGAATAAATATTTTTGTACATTTGTACTGGTTTTTTTTTTGTACTTAAATCATCTGGATAATTTTTTACCAAACTCGATTATTTTAATCGAGTAGTAACATAAAAAATATTCTACCAACAGAGCAAACAAAATTACCTTCAAATAAAGCACGTAATCTTGTTTGGAATTGCGTGTTATACGAGATATACGATTACAACTAAATAATGAGTATAATTTCCAGCTCATATTATAACGTTCTGAACCATTGGATACATCCTTATTCAATTAGTCCATAATAGTTTTACCGTACAGACTGGTATTAAACGATTTATAATGCGTACTTACTCATCTTTGAGGCTCATTCCATTGAGCAGGACGAATAGCATGAGGCTAATGATCGGTAGGCATTTCAATATTACGCTGAATATCGACGGTTTGTCTTGTGGAATGAAAATGACGAAGTATATTGCTACTGTTTTCAAGAACGGCACCAGCTTTGGCCCTACGTTTTTTATCTACGAACAAAATTAGTTTTTTTATTGAATGGTATAATATCCTGTTGAGATTACAAATTCAAAGCATTTAACGCGATAGATGACTTAAATGACATTTCCTTGAAAGCTCCATTGAAAGGAGCCTAATAAGTTAAGTTTTGAAAAGTATTTTAAAACAATCAAACGTGGGTGGTATTAATTAATAAACTGAAATAAGAGAATGAGAATAAAATAGATAGAATAAAAACTACAAATGAAGTTTCTTGAAGGAGTTGTTTCATAATTTTGGATGAATACGTTAAAGGAGTCACTATAATTTTTTATTGAAGTTAGAAGGCATTGGAAAAAATTGATATTGAAACAGGAATATTGAATAGTAAGTGGTTTTCTTCCATTCATACAATAACAATATTTTAATAAAGGAACATTGTATCTATAGTGAAAATGGGATGTTATGGAAATCAACTTATCATGAGTCGTTTAAAAATATAAAAATATCCACTGAACGGCATTCAAGTACCTACCGATAAAACTCATATTTTACTATCAGCTAACTGTATATTGTTCCCTTTTATGCAGTAAATTTGTCAATACAGGCCTGTTATTTTACAGTAGATATTTTAAAAATAAACCGCGCCGCCGATACGTCGTGTCATTACCGACATACCTATCCAATTAATTCATTAACTAATCAACAATCGAACAATACAACAAAGCAACTCGCAGCAAAGTTCAATGTTTTCCTGTCGCTCGATAAATAATAAACGCGGCGAATAATCGAAGTGATCCAAATAGAAATATTCAGCCGCATAGCGGGCGAAATTTAAATCGAATTCGCTTACCACTTTCAGGAACGAGCTCATGTCGTCCTCGGCTTTTCCAAAGCGGCTGGTATTTCACTGAAATTTCCCGCACGCACTGCTAGAATCCGCGGTAATCGCTTTTCGAGAGGGTACTGGCGAAAACGTCAAAATCAGCTGTTTCATTATAAACACAAACACACGATGTATCGGGAACGGACGAGACGCCGGTGAATTTGTGTGTGCATGTGTGGACGTCCGAACGCGTGGGGGTCTGTCTGTGTGTATGTGTGTTTGTTTGTACCTTTTTTCACGATGCGCTGAAATCTGAAATGCGATTGAGGTGCTCGATTTTCCCATTTCCTTCGATCGAGCCGAAGCGGAACGAACGCGCGCGGTTTTCCGATTATACATCTCGTTGTATATTTATGTATTTCCTTCTTCGCTCCCTTATTTGTGAACTACACTAAAGCGTAAAAATATAGCTTAACTTTTTATGATGAAAAGAAATAAATTAATTGTTTATTTTCCTATAAATTTTGATTTTTACTTAACTACAATTTTTTAATTTTAATTTTATAATAGCACAATTCAAAAGAAAAACTAGCAGCCTTTAAACGAAAAATGTAAAGGTATCAAATATAATCTAAAACAAAAAAATACATTGGAAAGAGCCTTAATTAAATCCCCTTTTGATTAAAATAAAATTGACACGCATCAACGTAATAAACTTCATTTCCAATTCAACCACAAATTCACACCGCCAAAACATGTTTTCGATTAACAAACACTCCTATTTGCACAACTACCACGCCGATATAAACCCGGGACTAATCAACAGATGCGTAGACAAAGGTACAAAAAAAAAATACTCGAAACACCACTCCCCGATAATCGACAAAAATTCCAGCCTTCGGTTTCACGAGCTTGGACGTGCACGACCTGGAGCCGCCCTTCCAGCGCCTGTGCTCGGAACAACCGAACATCCCGGTGCAAAACTTGGACGTCATCCACCGGCCCATCGGCTACGGCAGGGGCGCCATGGTGAAGCTGCGGCACGATCTCAGCGATCACGACGACCTCGTGGTCGCCGCCTCGCTGGAGTCCATCACCGAGCTGGTCATCGACTCCGAGTGGGCCTTCGAGGCCATCAAGCTGCGGCTGATCGAAAGGTGATTGTAAGTATAGCGATTGAGCGCGGCGTTGACGTCGGTGTGCGGCAGGTTGGTGAATCTGTTGATGCACGACAACGCGGTGATCAGGGAGCGAAGCGCCATCGTTTTGTGGAAGATCGCCAAGCTGGCCAAAGCTAGGGAGATTATAGTCGCTAATAAGGCGTTGTTGAACAATGTGTCGTTTATACTGGAGGATCAGTGCGAGGCGGTCAGAGTGCACGCTGCTAAGATGCTGTCCACCGTCGCGGAGTCTTGGACAGGTACAAAAAATACAAGCAATTTCTCCAGTATTAGTTTAAAGCTGATAAACGTCTTCTTGAGCTACTTTAATATCTTATTTATCGACAATTTTAATTACGCCACTTGGAAATCAATTCTTCTGTTACAAGGTTCTTGGTAGAGATCAAAACACAACCATCTGTTCAACTTGTTGATGTCTTAACACTCCCGGTTAATTAATCTCTCTAGAGAGAATCGTTAATTTTTGCAGCCGCTGATGAGCTCATAAAGTTCGGATTCATCACCATACTCCTGCAAATCATCAAAGACAAGGAGGAGAAATACATAATACTGATACATCTGGGCACGTTGAAGTCGCTCATGTACTCCATGACGGGAAAATCGGTCGCTATGGAGTACCACGGGTTCGACGTGATGGTAAGAAAACCGCCATCGTCGCCATCGGGAATAATTTTGACCGTTTAGTTGGACTACATAACCGACGAGAACACGGACGTTTCGAGCGAAGCGCTCTACTGCCTCGCTCAAATGACCACCACTTGCTTGGGAGAGAAACTGGCCAGGGAGAAGAAGCTGATGGCCACTTTGGATAGCTTATTGCACGATGAGGCGAGTATTTAATCGTGGTTGCGCTCAATATAATTCCGAGTTTCGTTGAATAGAGGGCCAGCGTTCACACAGCCACAGCTTCTGTGATAATGTTTTGCACTGTTAAAGCAGCCGGTAAGATGATGGCTGCGGAATATCCCCGTATCGTTCCGAGATTGTTGCAACTGGCTCAAAACTTCCAGAATCCTTCCACCCAAATGTACTCCATCAAAGTAAGAAAAAGGCTATTTCTTTAAAGTTTATGCTGCTTTAATATACAGTATATATTCTTGTCTACAGTAGATACAAATTCTTCTTAGCCCAGATTCTTCTATCAATTTGCGTTGTTGTATGACAGTATTGTTCAAAATTCCCAATTTATAAACACTTCAACTTGCTTTCTTGAAGTTCATTTAAGATAAAGAGTGTTTGCAGGCTTTGACTAACATCAGCGAAAACCCGAAGATCAGGCGATTGTTGCAGGAGAAGTACTCGCAGGAGTTGGGTCGCATTCAAATAAAGCAAGATGAGGACATTGAAATGTGGAAGACCCAGTTGATGGACGTTGTCAGCTGGGTACCTTAGAATCGTTTGGAACCGATTAACAATCGATTCAAATTTTTGTTGATAAATTAACTTAATAAATAAATCAATACATTTAAAATTGACGTGTTAATTAGAAGGTGTGGAACGGCGGACGACCGTAAATCTTGTACATGTTGCTCCAATGGTTCATATTGTCAGCGTTGGGTAGACCTGTGACGGTCAAATCATCATTGATTTCGAGGTACTGTAAGACCTTTGTTCCGGTATTAGCCGGCCATTTTACGTTCTGCAACAAACTGTCCTCTGCTGGTGTTGGGTTGCCGGTTTTGACGAAATTCGTCCACATTCTCACCATGCGGTTCCTAACCAAGTAGTCTCGTTCGGAGCCTTTGTAGCCCAAGTCGAAGAGGTAGCCCAAATCTTCAGTATGTCCAACACCTGGTGTAATAAATCGGTTGTAACAAATTGTTGGTTTGTTAATAAAGGTTTACTAACCGTTTACAGTTCGGTTGGTTCTTCCCCCTAATGGTCCTTGGTAGGAAAATCTGTAGGCGTAAACTTTGGTTTTTTGCGAGTACAAACGGATGGCTTCGTGAATTGGTCGCTCGAATTGCGTGTCAGCAATCAACTGGAAGGAAATTGGCACAATTATTTTTCTTAAACATAGTCAAAATTATTGAGTACTTACTCTCATTATTTGTTCATTAGAACCTGCTATAGTGCTAACACCGAAATACCTAATTTTTATGTTACTGCCGAGAATTTGCCTGGTAAGTGGACCTCTGGCATTCAAGTCTTCGGGTGTTAGAAGGGAGTAGTTCAAATCGTATTTCGTCAACCACAATCTGAGTGCACCTGCAAAAAAAAATGAAAGTAGTGTCATTCTAAGAAGGTAACTAAGTTTCTAATATTTTTCACCTGATAGGTTATCAATGTAACCTTCCAAAGAGTTGTACCCGCTCAGGATAGGAACATTATGGAATTGCCCGTTTTGGAGTTTTTCGTAAGAACCTCCGGTGATGATTGCGTTTTCGTGATCGGGTTCCTCGACTGGTCCGAAAGCGATACCTTGAAGTGGATTTCTATTGACGACGTCCTAGATAATCAGATGGTAATTCAAAATATTCCCTAGTATAATTGACACTTACTGAAGTCATTGTGGAAGTAGCGACATTTTGTAAAGTTTCCGTATCAACCTCTTTAAGTTTTCTTAATATTTCTTTTGAATCCGTGTCGTTAATATCGAGTTCCTTCGCGATGGCCCGACTGACGATCGGCGCTCTCCTAGCCAGAGCCCAAGGCGACAGAGACGAACCGGAATTTAGTATGGCTTTACTGAAGAGCCCTTTCGTTTCTTCGATTTGCAGTAGATAAGCTACGGAAGCGGCACCGGCGCTTTGGCCCCAGATCGCTATATTATCCGGATCACCACCGAAGTTTCTGATATTCTCCTTGATCCATTTCAAAGCCAGCACCTGGTCTCTGACTCCGTTGTTGCCGGGCACAACTTTGTCGCCCAATGAGAAGAACCCCATGAAACCGACACGGTATTGGATGCCTACGACGATTACATCCTCATGAAGAAGGAAATCGGGACGGTATTCGCTGAAGTCGGCGTTTCCGTACCAGAAGGCTCCGCCGTAGATCCACACCAGCACCGGTAGGTTGTTGGTCGCTTTCGGTTGCTGTTTTAAATCGTTGATTAACACGAAATGACCAAAGTACGAGTACTTACTTTGTTGCTCCAAATTTGAAGATACAGGCAATCTTCGCTGCCGGTTACGTTAGACGATCCTTGTATGCACATTGGTGGTTTCGATCTTGTATCTAAGACTCCCGACCAATTCTCTTTCGGTATCGGTGCCTAAATAACCAACATTTTCTTAGACATGCTCGATTTTTTATTGTAAAACTTACTTCGAATCTTCTGGCACCTACAGGTGGCTCGGCGAACGGGATGCTTCTAAACCTGTAGAGAATTTTCGTGTCTACGTGATTAAAACCGTACGAACCTCTGACAACACCGTTGGAGGTTTCCACTACAATAGTGCCGGCTTCAGAGAGTTCGATGTCCAGGTCACTCGAAGACACTACTCCAAGAAGCAAAAAAATTGGTACATTGAACGTAAGCATTCTGATATTATTGTTGGTGATTATTGAAGCAGGCCGTTTTTATACTTTCTGTTCATTTAGGAAATACGTCTTTGTATTGATGGATTAAAGATAAAAATTAAATTTATTGATCGTACCGATGCAAACAAACTAATAAACAGCTTAATTACAGGAGTATTGGAACAAACATGTTGTTTTGTGGACTTTATTGGTAAATAGACTTTGTTAGGAAATTGTATCGGTGAAAAATTTAGCTGAAAAACTCCAAAAACTTATTGGTGTACTTATCTAATTACAGGTGTCTGAGCAGGTGTTCTTTAATACGGGACCGGATTACATTTTTTTTTCGTGAAATAAAAAATACTTGGAGACTTCTTAAATGACGCATTATTTCGCGCTCTTTATTATACTTTCTAAACGTTATTACAATCTTTTACATCCTGGGCTGCAACAAAGGACAAACTGTGGTATCAAGGTATTACAAACTTAAATTGCTAGAAAGGTATAATAAAGAGCGCGAAATAATGGTCATATATGGTCATAATGGTCGAAGGCTCCAGATATTTTTTTATTTCTCTAAAAAAAATTAATCCGGTCCTGTATTAATAAACACCTGTTTAGACACCTGTAAATAGATAGATACTTCAAGCAAAATTCTCAACTTAATTTAGAGTTTTTCAACTAAATTTTTCACTGGTTCAAATTTCTTGCATAATCCGTATTTACCAAATTCCGCAATACAACAGTTTTGGTTCAGTAAGTACTCCTGTAATTAAACTATTTATTAGTTTGTTTCCATCGGTATCATCAATAAATTTAATTTTTATCTTTTATCCATCAATTCCATCTTGAAAAGGTAATTCCCGAATGTGAACAGACAGTATAAAAACGCGCCCGATTTAATAGCACGCACCAGAAATAGTATCAGAATGCTTTGGCTCAATGTACTGGTTTTGTTGTTATTATTGTAGTGGAAACCAACAGTGAAGTCAGAGGTTCGTACGGTTATAGTAATCACGAAGACTCCAAAATGTTATAATGCATGATTTAGAAGTATCCTTTTTGGCACCGATTTTTTTGATTTAGAAGTATCCTTTTTACAGGTCCTAGAAGATTCAAAGTAAGTTTTTCGAAGAGCCGAGTGAAATTGTCTGGTCGAACATTCATCCAATGTGATTCTTTTGATTGCACCAACCTTGCAATAAAATTACTAAAAGCTTGTCCCCAAAAGCTTACCACGACAAGATTGGGACAATTTATAAGGTAACCTTTATTATTATAAGTTGGTCTTGTAAGTTTGTCATCTGGGGTACATTCAAGTTCTTCCTCTTCCTGATTCTTCTGCCAACTTGCATTGGTAAGGCTATATTTGACAAAATTCCCAATATTTCTACTCTTCTGCTTACTTTCTAGAAGTTCATTCAAATAAAGCAAACTCAGGACATAGAAAAGTGGAAGAGATAATTGATGGACATCGTCAGCTAAGTGGCTTAGAATATCATTTGGAGGGGTTTAAAGATGGATTCAATTTTTTTGTTAAAAATTTTATTTAATAAGTAGGTACATTTACAATAAAATTTGCCTGCGAATTAGAAGGTGTGGAACGGCTGACGACCGTAATTCTTGTACATGTTCCTCCAATAGTTCATATTATCAGCGTTGGGTAGACCTGTGACGGTCAAATCTTCATTGATTTCAAGGTACTGTAAGTCCTCTGATCCGGTGTTAGCGGGCCATTTTACGTTCTGCAATAAACGGTCCTGTGTCGGGGTTGGGTTTCCCGTTTTCACAAAATTCGTCCACATTCTCACCATGCGGTTCCTAACCAAGTAGTCTTGGTCGGAGCCTTTGAAGCCCAAGTCGAAGAGGTAGCCCAAATCTTCAGTATGTCCAACACCTGGTGTAATAAATTGGTTGTAACAAATTATCGGCGTATATTAATAAAGGTTCACTAACCGTCAACGGTTCTGTTGGTTCTTCCCCATAATGGTCCTTGGTAGGAAAATCTGTAGGCGTAAACTTTGGTTTTTTGCGAGTACAAACGGATGGCTTCGTGAATTGGTCGCTCGAATTGCGTGTCAGCAATCAACTGGAAGGGAAATGAACCAATTATATTTGTCTTTAAATCAATCAGTATTATTGATTACTTACTCTCATAGTCCGTTCATTAGAGCCTGCTATAGTTCCGACGCCGAAATACCTATTTTTTATGTTACCGCCTAGAATTTGCCTGGTAATTGGACCGCTGGCATTCAAGTCTTCGGGTGTTAGAAGGGAGTGGTTCAAATCGTATTTCAACAACCACAATCTGAGTATACCTGCAAAAAATTAAAGTGAAATAACTCTTATCAGTTAACTAAGTTTCTGATATTCCTTACCTGCTAGTTTATCAATATAACCTTCCAGAGAGGTGTACCCGCTCATGATGGGGACGTTATGGAATTGTCCATTCTGGAGCTTTTCGTAGGAACCTCCGGTGATGATGGCGTTTTCGTGATCGGGTTCCTCGACTGGAGCGAAAGCGATACCTTGAAGTGGATTTTTACCAATGACTTCCTGGAAAATCAGATGGTAATTCAAGATAATCTCTAATAATTAACACTTACTGAAGTCATTTTTGAAGATGCGACCTGCTGCAAGGTTTCGATATTGACCTCTTTGAGTTTCCTCAATATTTCTTTGGAATCTTTGTTATTAATATCCAGTTCCTTGGCGATGGCACGACTGACGATCGGCGCTCTCCTAGCCAGAGCCCAAGGCGACAGAGACGAACCGGAATTGAGAATAGCCTTGCTGAAGAGCCCTTTAGTTTCTTCGATTTGCAGTAAATAAGCTACGGAAGCGGCACCGGCGCTCTGACCCCATATCGCTATATTATCCGGATCACCGCCGAAGTTTCTGATGTTCTCCTTGATCCATTTCAAAGCCAGCACCTGGTCTCTGATGCCGTTGTTTCCGGGCACTACTTCGTCGCCTAATGAGAAAAATCCCATGAAACCGACACGGTAGTGGATGCCTACGACGATGACGTCCTCGTGAAGTAGGAAATCGGGACTGTGATCGTCGAAATCGGCGTGTCCGCTCCAGTAGGCTCCGCCGTAGATCCAAACCAGCACCGGGAGTTTGTTGGTCGCTTTCGGTTGCTGTTATAAATCGTTAGTTAACTCGAATTGACCAATGTACGAGTACTTACTTTGTTGCTGAAGATTTTAAGATACAGGCAATCTTCGCTGCCGGTTACGTTGGACGATCCTTGTATGCATATTGGTGGTTTCGATCTTGTATCTAAGATTCCCGACCAATTCTCTTTCGGCACCGGTGGCTATATAACCGAAATTTACGTTGAAGAAGTGCTCGATTTTTTATTGTAAAACTTACTTCGAATCTTCTGGCACCTACAGGGGGCTCGGCGAACGGGATGCTTCTAAACCAGTAAAGAATTTTCGAGTCTACGTGATTCCTAACACCATATGAACCTCTGACGGCGCCGTTGGAAGTTTCCACTACAATAGTGCCGGTTTCAGCGAGTTCGAGGTCCAGGTCACTCGAAGACACTACTCCAAGAAGCACCAAAATCAACACATTGAGCGCAAGCATTCTGATATAATTGCTGGCGCGTGCTATTAAAACTGGTGGGTTTTTATACTTTCTGTTCGTTGGGGATTTATCTTTTCAAGATAGAATTGATGGATTAGATATAAAAATTAATTTTATTGATGATGCCAATAGCAACAAACTAATAAATAGTTTAATTACCAGAGTGTTGGAGTACACGATATTGTGGACTTCGGTACTGTAAATACGGACTATGTTAGGAAATTGTACCGTTTAAAAATTTAGCTGAAAAACTCTAAAAATGAGTTGTAAAATTTATTGTAGTATTTATATAATTGCAGGTGTCGAAACAGGTGTTCATTAATACAGGACCTGATTACATTTTTTTATGAAACAAATAATACATGGGACTTGAAACATAATCATTATATCACGCTTTTTATTCTACTTTAATATTTTACTATTTCCAAATAAAAACAAAACTGAAAGTTCGTAATCTCTAATACCAATTTTTATTTTTGTATTTTTTATTTTATTTTAAGTTCATTTCGATGAAGCTCCCCATCGCTGAATTAAGATAAATAATCAAAAACAAAAAGATAAAAATATAAGTAGCTCATCCGTAATTTAATTACAATAAAAAAGTGTACATTCGCGTGTTTAAAAGTACTCATACATTGTAAATAAGATTTTCAACAAAGGTTAAGTTTATAATCTTTAAAAACTGGTGATTGATTATAGGATTAAGATACCATCAAGCACTGATGTTATTGCAAAAATAATAAATATCGATATAAAGATATGCACCTATTTATGATTAAGTATTAAAGGTCAGGTTTCTCTTCTCTCATATCTAGGAAAGATATTTCTTTATTAAGGAAAAAGAAACTTTGTATGTAATAACAATTTCGAGTATTTATTTTTTTATTAAACATGCAAGCATTTTTTCAAATATGTATTGATGTAATGGTATATTTTTATTTAGTTAGGTATAAATGTGGGTAAATACCTTAATTTATCAACACTTGTAGATTTTTATCACGCAATTTCATATCTACCTCTAAATAATTAGGCTTCAAACCATTAGATAATCGCGTTGCAATATGTTCCAAGTTTTCGTTTTAACCCTCTTGGCTTGCCTGCATTTATCCGTAAGTACACATTTTATAAGTATCACATTTGCTTAAAAACGCTATTAAAGACCAGCGATGAAGTATTGTTGGAAACCCCATTGGGCAGCATCAAAGGCAAAACCCGGACAACCATCGACAACATAGTGCTATATTCCTTCCAAGGAATACCTTACGCTGAACCAATGGTAAACGAATCCAGATTTCAAGTAAGTTTACCGGAAGAATCCAGATATAAACAGAAGTTTCACCAATGAAATGTTTAGGATCCTAAACCAAAACAGCCTTGGCAGGGGGTATTGGACGCCACAGCGGAAAGAAGCTACTGCAGGCAGATAACCTACGATTACTTAGATGGCGACGAGGATTGTTTATTCCTCAACATCTACTCTCCCAAGGTAAGCGCAAACAAAATAAGCTCCAATTATTCATTAATCGGTGCTAGTAGGACCCCAAAACGCACCCCTATCTCCCGGTGATGGTGTTCATCCATGGAGGCGCTTTCAACGAAGGCTCCTCCGTAGAAGTCAACTACGGACCGGATCATATAGTCAAATACGGCGTGATCTACGTATCGCTGAACTACAGACTCGGACCGTTTGGTACATAATGCGCTTGATTTAAGAAACTGGTTGTTGATGAAAATGTTTAAGGTTTCCTCTCGACGGGCGACGACGTGGTTCCTGGTAATGCCGGATTAAAGGACCAAACGATGGCGTTGCGTTTCTTGCAGAAGTACATCCATTATTTCGGAGGAAACGCGGAGCAAGTGACCATTTTCGGTCAAAGCGCCGGAGCGTCGAGCGTTCACTACCACGTACTGAGCCCTTTATCTAAAGGTATTTCCTAATAGCATAGGTAAATTTGTTATGTTTCGAGGTTGGTTTGTAGGTCTATTCAAAGCGGCCATATGCGAAAGCGCCTCAGCTCTAAGCCCGTGGGCCTATCAAGCAGATCCAATCAAATACACTCGACTATTAGCGTCTACTATCAACCCGGAATTCGCAAACAGCAACGCTTCTTCACAGGAAATTTACGATTTCCTGAGGAAACAACCAGCTGATGTAGTAGACAGAGCCGGCTATAAAATATACAAAAAAGTAAGCGTGCAATCAATTATTTACAATGTGTCTTGATAATAGGTATCTGTAGGAACCGTGGCCGAATTACCAAATACAACAAGGCATGTATTTCGGACCGGTCATCGAGCACCAGCACGAGAACGCCTTCATAACGAACTCGATGTACGAAAGCCTCCGAACCGGAGATATCAACAACGTCACGCTGATGATAGGCTTCAATTCCGAGGAGTTTTTAGGCGCCGTGGACGGTATAAACATTTAAATCTACAAATACACCGAAACATCGTCAACTGTTTCAGATAAAACTTTCGGCAACGCCGCGGAAATATTCACCAAAAACATATCGTTACTCGTACCGGACAGCCTCAACGTGAACGAGGAGAACAAATCGATCGTCGCCGGAAAGATTAAAGACTTCTACTCGCCCTACTTGGACTTCGATGTGAGCTGGAGGCAATTGATCACGGTAAAAACTTGGTGCATTGCTCGATATGTTTTAGTAACAGTGTGATTAAATTGCGATAGTACCTCAGCGACCAATGTTTCGTCAGATCCATCATCAAAGCCGCCCAACTGCAGTCCCAGTGGACCCAAGTTTACCTGTACGAATTCCAGTACCACGGCGTCCTGGGAGGCTATGTCGATAAACCAGGTTAGTCCATAAACCTTCTGGTTAAAGATAGCAGGATTCCTAAATCCATAAGCCTACTGGGTTCCTTACCTTTTCCTTTCCACGAATGCTATATTAGCGTAGGAACTCATTTGCTTCTTGGCACTCTCTAATTACTTCTTTCCAGTAATCGGGTTTTCATCGGATGTGAGGCACGGCGAAGAGATCAGCTTCCTGCAGAGACGTAACTACGGCGGTTTGAACACCACGGACTTGAGTAAATATCCCAAAGAGGATCAACTCGTGCAGGAGCGTTTGATTACGATGTTCACGAATTTGGTTAAGCGTCTGTAAGTGAAGAGTGTTTAGGAGGGACAGGGGATTCACGGGTTTGTGTTTTTGTAGCGATCCGACGCCGGAGAGGGTGGAACTTTTTGAGAATATCCAATGGCCGCCTATCAAACCGTATAATTTGAGGTACATGGCTATAGGGTCTTCGTTGGAGCTCAGGACGAATCCTAAGGAAGATTCCTACAGATTTTGGAATGAGATATACGATCAATATGGAGTACCACCGTTTAATTCGTATTAAAAGCGTGCTTTTAAATGAAGATTCATCATGTTTATTACATTGAATTGTTGTTATCGCTTTTAACATTAAAAAATAAAGTTGATAATTGATTAATTAGCTGTGATACTGTCGTGTTGTTTTGGAATCACGAATTGTGTTTTTAGGAATAAGGGAAATAATCAATATTTGTTTATTATAAACAAAATAAAAAACATTCGTAATTATAAAAATAAACTGAGGTAATACAAGGAATATTCAACAATTATTAAAACAAATAACCCACATCAACACCCGTTTTAACGAATGGCACTCGCTCTTTTAAATAGACAAAAAAACACTGTTTCGTTTCAGATAATCGTAATAAAGTTCATGTACTTCCTTTTTTTACCAATTACCACCGAAACGAACAATTAAAAACGAAAAAAAAACAAATTCTTACATCAGTATGTATATCATTAAAAAACTTAACTCAACCGTCGCTTTAAAAACTCGGTATAATCACTGCACGGATTATTTTGAAGGTAATTAATGTTTATATTAACGTTATTGAAGCCAGGCGGCGGAGGAACTCGGCTTCTCAAATCGGCTACAGCGCGAGTAACCTGGGTAAAATTGTAATTCGGCTGCATCGGGTGCATCGGAACGTTGAAACCCGGATAGCCCATGTTATAAAGGTACGGATACACGTAAGCCGGGGGACAATACACGTTTTGGGGAAAGAATTCCGGCGTATTAACGTTCCAATTCGTATTATTCAATACTTGCACGGCCTTTTTCGGAGCAGCCTCCACTGTCTCGCTCGTGCACTCTTCGATCACCACGCCGGAGGGTTCATCGTAGGAACTCATGCTCATATCCGAAGTAACCTGATCCCCTAATGACCAACTTTTGTACACCGGTACATCGTCGAGCTTGGGAATCCCGTATTTCGATACATCCGAATGCGACTCTTCGTTTAACTCTTGATTGTAGCTGAGGAATGGATTAGTAGAAGACAGTCTGAAAGCGAATTGTTTAGTCGTTGTCGTTTACACCTCAACACAAAACTCACCTTCCATCATCCGAGATGATATCGCACTTCGGGTCGCTCAATGAGATACTGCTGAGGAAAGGATTGTTGGGGTTGGAGCTTTTCAGAGAAGACAGCTCTTCTGCAACTTCGTTTTTCGTTTCTATTAATAAGCTCTTGGAATCGAACGGATTGGGATTGTAGACGGAATCCGAGCTTCCGGAGCTGTTGCTCGGAGAGAAGCAGACGTCTTGAAGTGGATGTCTGTAGACGCCCGCCTCGTGATCTTCGTCTGAAGGCATTTTAGCAGCGGCTCCTTCTATTTCCCCCGTGCTGGCGCAGTCTTCGCTGTATTCCGATTCGTAATCGGATTCTGTGATCGAAGACTTCAGATCTATAATGCTGTTGATGTCGTTTATGATGTCTTTACTCAATTGGGTGTCTTGTCTTAACGAGTTTAGAGCTCGATTCACCATCTCGTTGTTTGTTGGATACATATTTTCATCGGTAACTTCTTCGTTATCTCCTGCACATTCGGTTTTGTAAAAGGTCCGCATTTCCTGCTCCAAATCGCCGAATATGGAGAAATCCATCGGCTTGTCTTTGATTTCCCTGAGATCGAAGTCCTGCTGATGGCGCATCTTGTTTCTGATGCCCTTCAGGATGTTCTCTTCGTAGAACTTTTCCGTGTGCCTGATGACGCTTTCCTCCTTCGATAAATCAAAATCGAAGTATTGGGGATAGCAGAAGTTAATGGGGGTATTGCATTTATGAAACACTTCCATTTCTAATGTGGAAGGCGCTAATCCGTACTCTAGTTCCCAAAACGTGGGGAATAAGTGAATTTGTTGGACTATTGGCTTGCTTAGTGCATCCGATATGCTTGCCTTCTGTTCCTGCAAACAAAAATTTTTGCTGTCAAATAATTAAGGAATAATATTAAAAAAGGAAATAATTTAATTCACAGGTAGAATCCATTTGAAGCAGTGACGCACTAAGCAGACTATCATTAGACTCGGATTCTGTACCTTTCACATTATAATGGCAACCGAAACTCCTGTATATGTTTTTATTTAAAATAAAATTATAAATCCTTTAGGTACTTATACATCAAATAATAAATTAAATCGAAAATACTGTACAGAATAATGTAAACAATAACAGATATTCCTGAAACGATAAAACACGAAAATTCAAATATAAAATTACAATCCCACCTTAAAGAGACGCATCGAGTAATTTTTTAGCTTTGCGCCTTTCGATCGCTTTCATCAGGGCCTGTCTTTTATTGACCATAGGTACCTTAGTAGCAGTCTCACTTACTTGATCACTGCGAACCGCGAACCCTTTCTCGACCAATACGTTGTTTATGTAAAAAATATTCTGTGGATTGGTGACGTCCGCCAAGAACACGTCCAAATACTGATCCTGGAATCGAACAAGCGTTACGACCGCCAACAAACGTACAATTTCGAACTAACTTTTCTATCGATACGATTGATTCGCACCACTAAATTCCTCTGCTTGACTAATCTCCTGAATTCCTGAGAAGATTCGTACGACCAAGGAGAGCCTTTGACGGGCGGACGGATGTTGGCCAAACTGCATCTTATGGTCTGCGAGGGCAGCTTCGCGAACTGCTCGTGAAGAAAGTACAAGTCGGATTTAACTTTCGCCACCGTGCCGTAGTCGATGAAGAATACCTAAAGAATGTACTAAATAAATGAAGCTTTATGAATTGCAACTACTTACTCTGATCATTTCGTCGTTGGGATTCATGATATCAACAATCAGAGCTCTGTGGTATTCGCCAAAAATCATTGCGACGCAGTAAAGTCCTTCCCTTATAAAATCATGAGGTATCTTGTACTCTTTACCGTTTTCACCGTAAAATTCTCTGAAAATTTACGAGACGTGAGGAGTTACAGTGAATTAATAATGAGTAAACACTCACTGAATATCATTCATGAGATCATCGAGTTTTCCATCATTCCTGGACACCCAAAATTTAGAAATATCGTAAATTTCTCCGATTACTACTTCCATGGTGTCGTTTTGTTTCATATCATCGGGTACAAACGTTCTTGGGATTTCGTTGCCCGGTTTAAATACATTCGGAGGAAGAAACAGCAGTATGTCGGCAAACTATACAATAATTAAATTATAGAAAATAAACAATAATTCTTTTAATATGAAATAAACTCACGTCGACTTTCGGCAACGCATTCAAGTCATCTTTAAATATCTTTTTACTAGTACTATTACTGGCGGTTAAATTGTTTTTAGCATCAGCTGGAAGGGGTTTGCTTTTGTCATACAATTTATAATCGTCGGAAGAAGCTTGCACGCAATGAAAAATCGAACTTAAATACGTACAAAGGTCCATTAGCTTGCCAAAACCGTATTCTTGATAAACCAATTTCCTTCTGAACATGTTGCTATAAAAAACGAATTTTTATGCGATCAAATAAACAACCCATCGCCACCAATTTACCTGTAAGTCTCCGGTATTTCCGTACACCAAATCCCATCCGGGAATTTTCCTATCAACACCTGGAGATTCTTCCTCACGGTTTCGGGAATTCGATCTTCCGAATTCTCTATCAAAGGACTAATCGAGCTGTTACCGCTGATAGATTGAATGTTGTTTAGTTTATTAAACATATTATTCTTTTTAGGAGTGACGATATTGTGGCGTTGATCCGATATGAAACCTGCACCAGACGAATGACTTCTATTCAAACTCTCTAAAGCTACATGATTCGGCGTCGAAGTCAATTTAACTTGCTCGAATGCTTTGGAGACTTCGCTAACCGCTTGGCTACTGTCCACATTAGGAGATAACTTCGGTACATTATTTTTATAAGTATTTGTATTGTTATTGAATCTGCTTGGCTTGGGAATAGTAGCTGCTGGATTCGAATTACTTCTGGGCTGTTGCAAAGTCTCTTTAGTTGCTACTGAGCTGCCACTTTGTAAATTCTGAATGGGTTTATTGGGGTTTTGATAATCGCTTCTAGAAGCTGCAGGAGCAGCAACAGCAGCAGGAGGAGGAGGAGGATAAAATATTTTTCGAGACCTCTGAGCTGGAATCCAATCTGGTACCACTACTCTTCTATTACTGAAAATGTATAGTTCAATTGTATATGATGCACAATCAGGTTTTTTTTAATTATTACTTACGCAACAGGCATTCTAGTATTTCGTTTTAAAGGCTGCTTCTTCTGTTTAGCCACTAATTCCAAAACATGTGAGGATTTTTGGGACAGCACTATATTTACAAGAGCGTAGGCACCGCTGCCTTGAACCTGCAAATAATAACATGAGTATCAAATGTTTCAAATTGAATTTTACGAATATTAACTAACCTGAACTGTATCAGGTATGGAATGTAGGAAGTCTTCCAATGTATGGTAACCCATTTGTTTATAAGGGATATTATAACCTACTAATGTATAATACTCCGCATTCAACTGGCGAATAGTCATTGCTCTAGGATTAGCTGTTAGAATGCCTCTTAAATTTCTCTTCTCAGCTTCCATGATGCAGAATTCCAAGTAAAACGAATGAGCCAATATAAAAATTTTTATAGTCGAGTATGGAATTCAGTCCAATTTATGCACTTAGAATATCGTTCATTTCTTTTTCACAAATATTTATTTTACTGAAGCCAGTAATCACTAAATAAAACAAACGCTTTGAATCAAAAACTGTTAAAATTAAAATAAAATTGCATTTTTAAGAGTTTTTCATGGGACAGACACAAGTGACAAGTGACAATTGATTAAACAAGGAAGTGAAAATGGTTGATCCATGATATTGAACTGAAATAAGAGGCTGCCTAATAACCTAAGCAAATTAGGCCTGAAAAATATAAAGAAGAAAATTTAAACGTCACTAGAAAACAAAATATGAAAATTTAATAATTTTTGATGGGTGTTTTTCAATGATATGCGAAGATAAAGTGACTAGAATCATTCTACATACTTTTACTATTTTTATCTGTCAACAGTAAAAACTAGAAATTTTGGAAAAAAGTTATTTGTGAACATGGAATCAGATTTGCAATTAGCGCGAGATGAGCAAATTCAAATGAGAGATAACGAAAATGGGAACCCTTTGACTCAAGATTTGTACAAAAAACCCCGAATGTATTACAGGTTATTCATGACAATATTCTTTACAAGTTTCGCCGCTGCTTTGATCATCTTTATGGTGCTATTCAAAGCAAAATTTGGAATTGGAAATGAACATTCTCACACAACCAATATTGAAACTTTATTAAAAATACAAGCTTTATGGCAGGAGCAGGAAGAAAGAAAGGATGCTTAAAACATGCTATTACTTAAGATAATTCCATTTTAATCGTGCTTTAAATGTTTAAATGGTGTTTTAATGAGCAATTTATAAGAAAATAAGAAATTTTGTAATAATCGTTCAAAAATTTGTTGGAATAAAGTCAGCCAAAATGACCTCTACTGCTGAAGCTATTAGGCAATTTTTAAAATTTGACATATTTGTAAAATAGAAGAATGTCAATGTCAAAAATTGTCAAATCGACTACATAACCTCAATTCCTATTTAAAATTTGTATTTTATTTTAGATTAAAACAGTTTTCCTAACTAATATAAGAACATGTTGATGAAATACTCCTTTATAAACCAGTCGCTTCTGAAGAGGGCCAGCATAAACTTCTTCAATACGCCTTCCTTAGCATCCTTTTCGCACGATGCGGTACCAGCGGTTAAAAAGGAAAATAACGATGAAAGTTACCAGAAAGAGTTGAAAGTATTTCAAACATTCACGAATGTCACCAGGAAGACTCGTGTTAAAAAGCCGCAGAAACCTCCGTTCGTCAAAAATTTATTATTGAGTGAATTCGACAAGGATATTCTCAGCTATCCGGAGTTGAACAAGGAGGATACTAAAAACCTGGAAGAAAACGCGAAGTTGTTGAAGAACGTAATGAAGCAAAGCCACATGTCCTCACCTTCGTTATCGAAGAGCCTCAGGCAGAATCTTTCTGATTACAAAGCAATCGGTTTACAAGCGCCCAATTTAATGGACGGGTTGAACTGTAATGTCTCAGAGAGCTGCAGAATCATAGAATCACTGTCCGAGAATGATTTAAGGTGTAGCATTTTCAACAATGAACAATACGGTGTGCAAACATTAGTTAAATTCGCCGATGATAAACTAAAAACTAAATATTTGACTCGGCTTATGAACGGAGAATTGTTATCTGCGACTTGTATTAGCGAAGGACCTTGCTTTGTAGACACCTTAAAAACGAATGCTAAGCTGTCTCTGGATGGAAAAACTTGGGTAAGAAGTTACGTGGAACTAGCTAATGTTTTATGTAGAAAATATATTTTTTTGTAGATTCTAAATGGGGAAAAAGTATTTGTAGTGAACGCCAAATCTGCAGACGTGTTGATTGTATTCGCTGTATCTAAAGTCATTACTAAAGATGTTCATCGGGATGTAAAACTAACGGCTTTCTTGGTAGAAAAAAATTCACCTGGTATTAGTATTAACGAAATCGACACCAAGGGCATTGAAATGGCCAATGTAATCTTCACCGATACTCCTATTCCGGCAGGTGAGGATCATTCAATAACTTAAAAATAAATTCAGTTTAACAACTCTTATTGTGTTTCAGAAAATGTAATAGGCAAAGTGAACGAAGGTCAGAAGTTGTTAGAAATGTTAATTACAGAACAGAGACTTTCCGTTAGCGCTGTTTGCGCAACTACAACTAGAACTATCTTAAATAACATGATAAATGAGATCAGTCGAAATTCTAATAATGTAAATAGGCTGCACGAGACCGATAATATTAGGGAAAATATGGGTAAAGTACGTACATCACCAAATAATTATAAATTCGTTATTAACATTGTATAAATTCTAGATGGCCATCTCTTTGTACGCAATGGAAAGCGCCACGTACCTAACGGCAGGTTTGCTGGATGACTATACGGATCAAGACGTTCAAGTGGAAGCGATTATATCGAAAGTGTTCGCTTCTCAAGTAACCACAAAGAGCGCTCTATCGGCTTTAGATTTACTGGGTCTATCTACGCTCTCCGAATCGCATTGGCTGCATCCTCTCCTTCGAGACGCCCAAAGATTCAAGACATTACACGAACCCGACGAGGGATTAAAAATCGTCTTAGCATTGCTCTGCTTAGAACATGCAGGAGTAAGTGCGCAATTACTCAGTACGCAGGATATTTAATTTCATGTCTTGCAGAAACAACGCAATGATGTGATAAACAGATTGAGGAATCCTTTTTTCCACATAAATTTCAACTGGAGGCGAATGTGGACGCAAAGGAGGAATAACGCGGACAATCCCAAGTTGGATTTGGAATTGCCAGATCACTTGCATTTGTCCTTAGAGGGTTCTGCTCAGAAATTAGAGTATGTAGGAGGAAACGGCATTTTAACTAATATTCACGTTCGTATTTCTTATTCAGGTATTGCGTGAAAAGATTAGAATATATAGCGGAAATAATGCTTGTGCGATATGGGGTAGAAGTTGTTAATTACCACATGGAATTAAAACGTTTGGCGGATATTATTATAGATGTTTATTTGATGACGGCGTGTTTAGGTAACATTCAGAATATTGTTAATTTAACGGACTAGAAATGTTGGTTAATTTATTGGTAATTTCAGGGAGAGCCTCGAGGTCTTATTGCATAGGTCTTCAATTTGCCGAAACCGAAATGTTGATGGCGGCTTCGTTCTGTAAATCGGCTTTAACGCGAGTGAAATATAACGTGGAACAAATCAATTTGGGACAATATTTCACTAGCGATGAAGACTGCAGGGTGATTTCGAAAAAACTGTTCCAATACAAGGAATATTTCCCGAAACATCCGTTGACTAGGAATTTTTAATTTAGATGATTTGTTAGATTTTCAAGATTTATTTATTAAATTGTTTTAAAGTGGATTTATCGATGCGTTGATAAATTATTTTGGTACATGTAAGTTATAATAAATGATAGTTTTCTGTAGAATCTTGTTTTATTAACAATGAATTGTGTTATCTATACTCAATTTAAGAAGGAGCATTTTGAGAAGCCTGACTTACACCCAAAAAAGTTACCAGAAAATTTGTAAGGTTGTAAATTTAAATGCACATCTTTCATTTAAACAAAATTGAATGTAAACTCACAATAATTATATTAAAAGAAGGAATGAATTAACAAATCACATAAATATCCCCCTAGATATCCCCTTGATGCACAGATACCAAAATCCTAATTTATTTTACAATCAAATCCTACTTTTATTTATTGAACTATAAAAATAATCGTACAAAGATAATATGATATACAAGGCAGGCCATATCAACTTAGTTATGCAAATAAGGTCGTTTATCTATTTTTGCGATTTCATTCAGGTCCTTTCACCTTTCGTATCGTTACAGAGATAATTCACTACTATACCTACTTTTCTATTCGTTTCATTGTGTAGTTGAAACCGCTGTAGGTTAGTACATTTTATATTTAAAACCAGCATTTTTGTTTAATCGAATTTAGGCGTAAACTTTACTAAAACAATTTCTTCCAATCGAAACGTAATGGAAAAACTGCTTTGATAAAATTTTTTTGGATGTTTATTGATAGTACATACACCTTGAAGTTCTAACAGTTCCTTTAAAAGTTTGTTAAGAGTAAAAATAATTATTTATTTGATCTGTAATTTCGGCGAGAATGCACACAAACAAGGTAATTAAAAATGTCATAGAAATTCTGCATTCGGTAGATCCTTATCGGTCCTAAACAAATTAAACCAATAACTAAAGGTCGATAGTTTATCGACGCTTTGAAGTGTACGCTCGGTATAGCATAGAAGGCTCGTTCAGTCGGGTTTTCAACGCGAATTACAACGGAATATCCTGCAGAATTAATTCCACAAACACCGTTTTATTAGCGTCTAGTTGAACAGTTTACGAACTCCGTTGTTTTTGTTTTTGAACATGAATAATTGCGGTTCCAAAATGTAAGCGATAAAGCGCTTTGTTTGAAATTCATAATTAAGATTTTGTTTTGATTTTGAACCGAATTTTCAGTGATGACCCAAACGACGAGGAGCTGTTTCGAGTGTTCGATCTGAGCCAATGGAAAGGATTGCAATTCGATAATGAAATTGCCTTTCCCAGTGACGAGGACATGGTGTCGTTGGGGACCTTAATATTGATAGGTAAGCATCGTTAAATTTCTCCGATTGGTTTGGGAAACGCGATTTTTGTAGAAAAAGCCATCAGCCAATTATCGATTTGTAACAACAGCGAAGAAGATAATGATGTTAAATTGCAAAGGTTGTCGTTGGCGCACGAAAGGCTGCACAATATGCCCAAGGTTTTGTTGGAACAATTAGCGCCTACTGTTAGGATATTAGATATTAGTTATAATGAATTCGAGTAAGTAAACAAAAACCGTTTGTACTAATTATTGCTAAGTAGTGTTATTTTTCAGAAGTTTAGATTTTCTCGAATATTTCCCGGAACTGACCACGTTGATCTGTGATCATAACAGCATCACCTCTGATGACTTTTTACCGCATTTACCGAAATTAGAATTGTTATGGATGAACCACTGCAAAGTAAGTAACCGTCTTTGTCCACAATTCGTTATCGTTATTCCGGATTATATTCATATACTATTGACCTTTGAATATTTTTCTGTTTATTTATACTTTGATTTTTGCTTGTAATCAATGTGAATTGATGAACGTAAACTCGAAGAGTATAAATTTTGTTTTAAAGATCAGTTTATCTACTGCATTTATACCTTGTAAAATTTTACATAATTACTTTTACCTTCTGGTTTCAAGATATTAGATTTATTCAAGTGGATTTATCAACTAAGCCTCTCTTGTCCAAACCTCAAGTATTTATCACTAATGAGCAATCCCGGAACCCCTTTTCGTCCAGGAGGAAGAAACACCAAAGAACAAATCCAATACAGGTACTAATTACTCATATGGAATCAAAAAACCGTACGAGTATAGCTATACTAATATTTTTTTAGATTGTTCGTCATATCAATGTTCCCGAAATTGGTGCACCTGGACGACAGGTCTGTGTCTAATGATGAGCTAAAGAAATCCCGCAAATTGTATCACAAACATATCATAAACATTTTGGCGGAGAAGGTGCAACAGAACCTGCCCGATTGCGTGAAGGGCTTCAAACGAAAACCGCTCGAGCACGCTGCGAAACCGCAGCAAAAAAACTTCATCGTTTGAACTATTTTTGTATATAAATCGACTGTAACGTACTGCGTGGGTTAAATAAGCGTTTATTTACTAAAAATTATAAAGTGCGTTTTCATTTGGTCTCGTAAATTTGATCCCTCGAGAAGATTATTTCTCCGGTGGTTCGGAAGTGCTCGAAAATGATGATTTGGTTCCTGCCTTTCTTCAAGAAAGCAGCCGGTAGGTAAATGGCCTGCTGTGGCCCGAGCCTGAAGTATTTTCCCACCGGGAAACCGTTTACCAACACCAACCCTTTCGACCAATTTCTCATGTCAATGTAGGTATCTCTCGGTTCTTCGTTCAAAATTAATTCCCCGCGGTATAACGAAGGCCCTTCGTTTGAAGATTTCGGCTCCCAAGAAGATAGTTTACTGGTCCATTCCTTCTTGAATTCCAAAGGTATTATTTTCCAATGTGTAAGTGGCTTGTTGTTCAAATAAACACCGCCTTGCCACAGTCCTTTGAATGTTTGATTGTACTGGTAAATAGTCCCTCCGTTCATTCTACCCCATTCCTCCACCACCAAATCTATTGTGGCCTTTTTAAGGGGCCTGCTGTTGATAACCAAGACGGAGTTTTTGAGTCTCCAATAGCCGAAACCGTTTAAGTCATTGACAGAGTTTAGTTTTGGTGATACCAGTTCACCGTTCACCAATACCATCACTGTATCGCAAACGTTCCCTTCGATTTTAAGTACAGTACTCTCTTCCAAATCAACATTCTCTTTACGGTAGACGATATAACCGTTGCTTTGCCCGGATTTGTTGTTGATATCCAACAACTCCATCGCCACGACGTGCTCACTCTCCAATATTAGAGGCGGTTGTTCGACAATCAAACGGCCGAGTTTGTACTGGAAGAGTCGGGTGATTGTTGGGTAAGCGATTCTTGGTGGTAGTAGAGGCGGATCCGGTACGAACGTTTTCACCGGATTGTACCGCTCGAGCAGCTTCTTAACATCCCAGTACTTTTGAGTGTAGTCCCCAGCTTCGCTCAGCGGCGAATCGTAGTCGTAGCTCGTCGTTATTATCTGCAAGCCTGAGTTGTCCAGTAAGTTATTATCTGCAAAAAACGGTACTCATTACAACCGATCTTTTGAGAAGTTTTCTTGAGAGTTAACTCGCCTAGTGATCCTCCATTCAAGAAAGCGAAATTCGACCCTCCTTGAAACATGTAGATATTCACTGATGAGGGATATTTGAGTATACGCTCGTACAAATCCTTCGACTCGATAACGCTCTTAGTTTGGTGTTTTTGAGTCCAATAATCGAACCAACCTATCCAATATTCCATCACCATTAATGGTCTACAAGAAGACTCGGACAATAATGGTACTGCAAAAAAATAATAACACTTACTGGTTGGGTTGAAGATGGGATAGTGCCTTCAGGTAGCCTTCGGGATTGTTTCCGAAGTTGGTGGTTTGGAACAGAACTCCTGGCAAGCTGCCGGAGTCGCCGTTAGATATAGCATTATCTGATGTAACCAGCAGCTCGACAATACCGTTGTTTAAATACAAGTTTCGAAGGATTCGCAGGTAATTCCTCGAGGGAACGAAGCTACCGTAGCGCACGTAACCGTACTCGTTCTCGATTTGAAACATTATCACCGGCCCGTTTTTGGTGAACTGGTACCGTTCTAATAATGGTAGGAGTACGTTGTAGTACCGGGTAACGAATTTGATGTAGTTCTCTTCGTCGGTCCGGAATCCCATGGGTTTTTCTCTTAACAACCAACTGGGGTAACCTCCGAAATTGTACTCGGAGCAAATGTAGGGACCCGGTCTCAGAATGACGAAGAGGTCCTCTCTTTGGGCTAGTTTTAGGAATTCCTCCAAGTGCAGGAAATCTTCCATTTCGGATCCCCCGTTGCCGAAATCGTAGAGGCCTGATTGGGGCTCGTGGAGATTCCATGGGATGTAAGTTTCTACGGTGTTTAGGCCAGCAGCTCTAATTTAAACATCAAATTATAAATAAAATATTTGAAAGTATTAGATTACGTACCTGAACTGTCTTAATCGAGTCTGCCAGTCAGCTCTTGCATTTCTAAAGTAGTGGAATGAACCACTGTAAACAGAGAAAGGGATCCCGTTGAGGAAGAAACTCGTGTTGTTTGTGGTGATTCCAGATTTTATACCATGTGAGGTGAAATATTCGTAGTTGGTGGGTAATTTTTTGGCTAAAGTTTGAGACAATAGCACTAAAAGCACAAAGAACAAAGGCGACATATTTCACGGTAATGATGATCATTACTTATTTATGTATATTTATCAATTTGCTCGAGTAGATATTACGAGTATGTTTATCAGCGAGGGAATTTATTTATAAGAGGTTGAAATTATGGGTAATTTGAATAATTTTATCATTAGTCAACGAGTAATTTTATTGTAACGAACAAACAATTTAAATAAAATAAGATAATATTCAAGCATCATTTGACTTAAATTAATAAAAAATATTACATTTCGCCTATTTCTTTACAAATGCAAATATACCACATATTAATTAAAAAAAGTGTAAAAACAGATTTATTTTAAATCCTAATTGGTGTGTTTTCAAGCAAATTAATTAGATACATCAATATTGAAATCGATACAGGTATTATATTATATTCGCTTAAAAATTTTATTTTAATCAAACGATATACAACATTCATTAGGTTACGTCTAAGAAAATTTGCTTCCAACAATGTAATAATACCTACGTAAACATAATTTGAGCCCGATATTTCTGCTTACATCGAATGCATATAAAAAAGAAACTACCAATAAAAAGACCGGTGTGTGTAAATTTATTCCAAAAAATAGAACAACCAATAACCGATGTTGAACGCTAAAAACGCAACCGGAAAAACTATCCTCGAGTATTTGTCTATGACGTTCACATCTTTGATTTTCGGCAGGGACGATTTCAAAACTAGTGCTCCTTTTCTAATCGCTTGCAGCATTTTCGGCTTGTGAACCGGATTTCCTGCAAAAACATTAATCACCTCAACAGGGAACCAATCCAAGCGAAAGAAAAAAATACGATTTTACCTTTATTTCCCCTATATCTAACTCCCGAAGGAGATCTATAGTTGTATGGACTTTGCGTTCTTAATATGCGGAAACTAGGAGGAAACTTGGATGGATCAACGTCGTATGCATAACCGGAACTGTATCTGTTCCTAATCGAAGCGATCGGACTCATTTTAACGTCTTTCAGCTCGATAATGTCTTGATTGCTCACGCTCGACTGGGTAGTCACTTTGGTCCCTACAGGAGGATATTAATTTCTTCAATAAACACAAATTTTCTTGATTGAATTAAGAAATACAATATATTTAATGTTTCCACTAGAAATATTCCATGATTTTCTTTGAATATCTGTAACATTAACCGTTCGGGTATAATCGAAAAATTCAAGCATATAAAGTGCATTCATATTATCGATTTAAGTGAAACGTACTCGCCTATCCTGAAAACGGAAAGCTCAGTTTCTCGTTAGCAGGAATTTCGGGATGAAAGGCAGGAATTTGCATAGTTTCGAACAAAAATTTCGGACTGCTTCTCCAGGGAGATCCGGAGTATGATAAGTTATGCACATTGTACCATTTTTTTTAATTTCCTGGTGCTAAAAATGCACCAGTATCTCTCAGCAGCAATTTACCTACTTTCCGTCGCATAAAAAATAGTTCAATTGAGTAAAAAATGTTTACCGATTTTACTATCGTCTGATTCTTTGAGTTTTTTGCTCTTCTTCTTGGCCCTGGCTCCCCAGTAGGTGTAATTCACGGCTGCGTACTCTAGAAGCGCGGCGAATACGAAAACGAAGCACATCACTAGGTAGATATCTATGGCTTTCACGTAGCTTATTCTAGGCAAAGAGCTACGCACGCCCGTGCTAATTGTAGTCATGGTCAGTACAGTCGTGATACCTGCAAAAGAATAATTTAAACTCCTGCTGGGGAATACCCGATGGAAGACATTGCAGGGAAAATAGGTGAAGGTAGGAAGAGGATGGAAGGGCAAGGGTGTGTTAGAAAATTTATTTTTCACAATAAGGAATTTTTTTATTGTGGAAAAATACTGTTGCGCTTTGGAACAGGAAATAAAAACTTTATTAAATTCTATTACCCTCCTAAAAATTTTATGCTTCCTTTCGGAAAGGAATTTCTTAATTACATACCGATTAGACGGAGTAGAATTTTTATTAACCGGGAGGATCATCCACAAAAATAAATTTTTTCAACTACAATTTTAATAAACACAAACTTGCTATTTTCCACGCTTCACGCCCCGCATCTAATTCGGAATACTAATGAATAAAAACTTCGTTAGCGCCCGTACAACTTCGACGAACTCCACCTTTCCATAAATTGGATTTCGTTACAATTTTCCGCACTAATCCCATTAGAAAGGTGGATAATACAAATTAAGAAACTATTAGAGAACTACTCGAGAAGTTGCCAACAAATTATTCCATTTCCCCGAATATCGCACTCACCTAAAGCCACCCTGGCGCTGGTGGCCTCGTGGTTGATCCAGAACGACACCCACGACAGCATAACGATCAGTATGCTCGGCAGGTACGTCTGGAATATGAAATAGCCGATGTTCCTTTGCAGTTTAAACGACAACGAGAGCCTTTGGTAGGTGCCGGTGGCCAATCGCTCCTTCCTGTCGTTGGTCTCCCAGCCCATTATGGTGAATTGGGGCAGCTCGGCTTCTTCTACGCCGCGCACCGGAGTGGATTTCCAGTACATCACCACGTCGACTACTGTATAACCGTCTGAAAGAGTAAAGGTCTACTACAGGAATTTATTAAAGATGTCTAGATTGGAAATTTTCTGGGATTCCCAGAGGTTAAGGGAGTTCATAAATGTGTTTAAGAAATGGCTTAGATATTCTATCCAAATAAAATTTGTATGGAGCAGATTTTTAAGATATGTTCCTACTTACAACTTTCGATTTCGACGGTGCAATTCTGCGAATCCAAGGGGTAATAGTGAAGATCCATCATGCAGGCTAAAGTCGTTGTAAACCTCATCCCGTAAACTATGAATCCGTCACCGCTCAGCCTCACCAGCTTGTTACGTTCGGTAACATCGTGGAGGAAGCTGGAATATATATGGAAAGGTCGGCGTCAGTGGCGTGTCACTGGGGAGTTTCTGATTTATTTTATTAACAATGGAAAAGTTAGGAGTTTGTTCTATTAATATGGATTTATTTTTTGGGTATAATTGGTAAAAAATTGATGAAGTGAATCTTTGTAGACGAATTAATAAAAAAAAATAAAGTTAGTTGTTTATTTTGTGATTGGAATTTTGAACAATTCGACATTTAATTAGGAAAATTGGAAAACCAGCGCGCCTCTGTTTTAACAAAGTCATTTGAGCAGGATCTGAGGAAAATTGTTCGAAGGACGGCCCTAAACGGAGCAAATAGATCTTCCCTAACGCTCCCCAACTTATTCGAGTTCTAAGCTCGACGTTTTAGCGATTTCGAAATGTTTTCGAAACTAATAAAAACAATTTAAAATCAATGGGGGCGACGCTATTATTAGATGAAGTGGTTTGATTAATGGGGATTTTAGCGCTCGAGAGTCCGCATGATGAATGAGGATTTTCGCCGAATTGATTCGAATCAATCGAATTAATTAGTCGAGCATTACCTGTTTTTGTCGTTGGCGAAAAATGTATCGGGCACCCAAATTTTCTCGGCGAAATCGCCGGAGAGGGTTAAGATTTCATCATCACCGCCGAACGCCAATCGCTCGTCTTTCCAATATTGGTTTAAATAGAGCGTTATTGTATAATCCTAAAAAAATCAAATACCACAACCTATAAAATTGAAGATGCTCATTCTTTCAATATCATCTATTATCACTGAATGTTTTAGATTAAACTATATAATCTATACAAAATAGAAAGGAATTATGTGCATAATTTAAAAAGTTTTCAATACTATTACGTATTTTTGTTTTAATCAATAATTTATTTCGTGACGTCACCGCCTGGTTAACGCGAACAAACTGTAGCAATCAATTCCTTTTAACTTCGACGTGTTTACATAAGAAATAATTGGTAAATAAATTTTTGCTCACCATGTTTACTTCGGATATTGCATCGAAACTCGCTATTGTTAAGTCCATGCCCACGAATAGCGGCTCGCCTGCAAAAAAAGGGATATAAAAAATGCCGGGCTATTACGAATCGGTAGAAACCCATTAGGGCCGGAATTAAAAACTAATGTCGGCGCTGCGCTAACAATGCCGCTGAAAAATCGACCTGTAAACGGTTTCTTTCCTTTAATAAATGCTGGAAATTAAAAAGAAATACAATTTGATAGTCCTAAATAACAGATATGTAAATAGAAATGGAAAGAAAAGATCTTTTATCATTGCAGTTGAATTTTTCTCGTAGACACCTAAAATTTCTAGTGCATTACAATTTTGTATTGGATGTAACAGCGAGTTAAAGTTTTAAACGGGTTTTGTTGTGTCACATTCTCGCGCTTTTGTTATACATTGGCTTCCTGAATGAATGATCGATTTCCACTCTCCACTCTCCAGTCCACTCATAATGTGCCAACCTTGAATATGCGGTCCCGTTTAAGTGGGTTAAGAAATCCCATTGGCCTAGATTTGCGAATTTTAAAAGAGACCTCTCCGCGCTTTGGGGAGGTTAATCGAATTTCCAATTTAAAAATTGAATTAACCGGGCCCCGAAAGACATGTCAGTTTCATGTTTTTCCTTCGCCGGTTTATCGCCCGATCGCGGTTTAACATCTTTCCGGTTTAACTCGGAGTTTATCTGACGGATGGTTTTTTACTCTCTCTCCTAATCATCCGGGCGGGATGCAGGAGAGCTCCGGCAGAACTGTTTATTCGCCGGGATTAGATAAATTTGTTTTGGCAAGTGATTCGTGAATGGGACGGATCAAATGAGGCCGGCTGCCCCGTGAATTGAATTCAATGAAAATCCCTTTAGAGCGAAAGTAAAGCGAAGTTTAATTATGGGGATTTCTCGGCGCTTTTTTACGCGTGAGATTTTAGCGATTTTGCGTATTTTAATAAAACATGCCCCGTCGTGATGGAATCGCCGTTAGAAAAGGGAAATCCGATGAAACGAAAAATCAACGTAACGTTTTTATTAAATTTGGATTGTAGCTGATGGACCCAAAATTCGCGCTTGTTCCTTATTTTTTTTGTATTATTTTCCTCACTTTTACCATACAAATTGAAACAGATTAAGATATCTCTTAATATTTCTATATACTGCTAAATTATAACCAATTGATCATACAGTTGTATTTACTTAACAAATTAAATAACTAAAGTCCATAAAAACTACATAAGAAAGTGTAATGTCCTAGATAGCTAAGGGAAAATATTATTTGTGGTCATAAGAAGGAAAATCACATATGATAAAATGCGATATATCGAATTTACTTACCCCCGAAATTGGGTCTGAGTCTGATATCATACCCTTCTAAAAGTTTAGATATGGTTTGGGTCACGTTAGCTAGTCGATCGGACACCACAAAATTTTTTTCTAACCTGTAAAGGAAATTGTTATTAAAATGTACTGCAGTATCTTCAGAAACAGTACAGAATTATTTAATCATTTTTATTTCTGGGATTTCTGAACATATAAAGGATGTTTTATGGTTTATGCAATATTTTTAGAGAATTTTTTAATTTTAAGAGGTTTATTAATTTTATGATTGTCATTAGTTCAATTACAAAACTAGATATTTTGTAAGAATTGTAAGAAAAACGCGAATCAATAAAAGATGTAATTTATAAAATTGCATTTAATTACGAATTACAAAAAAATATCGATTTGAACAAAAATTTAATCATCAGTCTTTGCTTGTCTTACCCCTGTACTTCGTACATCATTTAAGTATAACTTAAATTTAAATATACTTCACATTGTACAATTTACAGTTTCAAATACTATTCCAATCTTACAGCCCAACGAAATCTAATAGCTTCTTTCTTTCCGCGCGTCCTTATACATCCTGAAGCTGTTTTTGTCCTCGAAAAAATGCAACGCTCTCAGAATTTTACAGTAAGCCGCATTATTGTTTTTCTGCTGGTTTTTGTAAGAAACATGTTGTTGCGCCTGCACAAAAAAATCATTTTAAACATAAAAGTTGGCGATTTTTGTAAGTTATTATGTCCTAACTTCTTCGATAATTTGGTTCATTAACCCTAAACTAGCTTTTTTCTAGCAACCCCATATCTTAGATACCCCTTGTGATTAGTATATCCACTAAACTTCATAAATATCAGTTTACCTTTTTAACATTGTGGATAATTTCGCTCAACCTCGGGGAGGAAGCACCGTTCATTTGCTGTTGTAGCTTCAGCTCGTGCTGAGCCATTTGCTGTTGTGGTGCAGGTCGGCCTTTTCTAAAATGCCGAATTTCCATCGTCTTTAATTTGTTCTGCATTTTGGTTCTTTGCTGTGACGGCTTTTCGTCGCTCATTTCGAATTCGGTCATGGAGACCTCGGTGTTGAAGTGGCCCGTTTTGAAGGGATTGGATGAAACCGGCGGTGGCGGGTCGGGCGGGTAGACGATTTTCTGGGTTTCCAGGAAACGCAGCTTCCGCGATTTCTTCTTGGGTTTCAAGAATATTTTGAAGCTAGTTGCGTTGGTTAGCGAGCCTGCGAGGAAGTTCTGGGCTTCTTTTACTATGGCTTTTTTATCGGAGCTATTCAATTCAACGTTGGTGATTTTCAATTCTGTAATTAATGCGGGTTATGGGGGAGATTTTAAAATATGGAAATCATATACCTCTGACGGATTTGCCTAAATTGTGTAGCAAATTAATAAACACTCTCGACGTATTTTCGACGATTTTGCCGGCGCCCTGTTCCGGGGCCTTTCCGGAGGAGCCGGGCGAAACATTGCGTTTGTTAAGCCAGTTTAACACGCCGGTTATCTTGAGATATATTAGTAGAATTTCGCGTAAATTGGCAGATTTCGTTTTCTGCGCGTTACTGAAAAATTCGTAAATGTCCTTCTTCAACGGCAACAAATCCAATTCATCCTCTATTTTCCTTATTTGTTCACTTGAATTTTTCATTATCAAAATTTTAATTTTTTGTGACTTTTCACGGTTTATCTTTCAATATGGGGGTTAACAATGACATTGTTATACAGGGTGATGTAACAAGAGTTTACCAATCAAAAAATTCTTTAAAAATATCCTTAAATATTTGTATTGATGGATATAATTTGCTTTAAAGTTTTAAAGTTTCAAAAGGAGTAATAACTCGAGTTAATATCTTAGTTATAACTTCAATAAAATTACATTTTATACATTAGAAACTTATTTGAAGCAATAGGGATTTTAGTAACTATATTTCTGTAAATAATTTGAGTACTTTTATACAGGGTGATATCAATAAATACGTATAAAAGATTACTTACCCATAGCATGAGGCAATTTTGAAAAGCAGCAAAAAAACCGAAAGCATGTTTACGAAACTACTACAACACCTATTCTTACATCACCGAAACCCGTTAGAATAAATTCGCTCTTAATCGTCTCCATTAAATAAAAGTCCACTTCATCGCTTGGCGAATTTCCCGAAGGCGCGCTTTCGATTCGCCACCGCGATCCGAAAATCCATTTTTCCAGCCGATAATTTCAAGATAGAGCGCAATTGAAGAGGAGCATACCGTACTACATTCCGCGCGAGTTTATCAAAAAGTGATTGCGTCGCGACGCGCACGCTCCCCGCCTCTTGTTTACCTCCTTCGTTCGCGCCCCCCGGACCGGCACCGCCGCTTCAAAGTCGATACAAAATAAATTGGAATACTTATGCACCTCATTAAAGGTGTTTAAGGTTTTCGTTAATTGCTAAACTCGCTTTGAATGGTGCTTAATCGCCGCTAAAGTCCGGGGAAACACCCACGAAAAGGCCGATAGAATTAAACAAGTTTCTGAATTAATCAAAGGAAGATATATGAAAAAATTGGCAAATTGTTTTTTTATGTTACCAAAGAAGGTATAAAAGGACGATTGTAGGTACTATTTATCCTCAAAGGGGGTAAAAAATGTTAAAGGAGAATGGTGCATTTGGGTCTTCATTTTTAAAAGTCTTTGATCCTTAGTTAAGTTCTTCAAAAAGAAGCTGCAATAGAAGTAAATTAACGAGAAGATCTTGAATCACTAAAGTAACAATCATAATCCTTAATAGAAGAATCTTGAAATTCCTTCAACAAATGCTAGCTTCAAAATCTCGAACTTAGGTAGTAAAAAGAACCCTTAAATAGTAATAAACCTCCAAAAAACCCTTAAGCATCCTTCGAAAAGAAAATTTCCCATTACACTTAAAAAGTTATAACACATTTTATCGCCACATGTCTTCTTCGAGTTATGGATAAGCGCACGGAAGGACAAAAACTGCACCGACCCCACAAGAAAGTCAACTCAAATAAACGCAAAAGTTCATATCCTGTCGAATGCAATAACCGAAATCCGACTAGTTTGGAAACTTTTTGGAATATACAGTGCTTCTTTCGAAAAGTTTCCGGTAAACGCTCATTTTATCAGGGGTAAATTCCCGAGTCCTACCTACAGCAAATATTAATAATGCTGGTAAATTAATTCGTAGATGGTGTAGTTTGAATGTAAATTAGATCTACTAAGACGATGATGGTGATGCTACAAGAAGGGGATTTAGTAATTAATCCGTATATTATTGGAGCGTATGGTGGGTAAGTGTTTGTAGAAGTTCTGGATGGATTTATGGAAAAATAATAGGTAATTTTGTAGATGTATAAGAACACATAATTGGATCGTTGTGCTGAAGAATTTTGTTGAAATTAAATTAACTTTCATAATATTAACGGAACATTTAAATAAATAATTAAAACAATTTGGGTATTGGAGGGTCTTGGGTAAAGACTCGCGGATAGATGAGAATTGTGCTATTCTATGAAACACATCAAACAAAACCCTTCATAGTATACACATAACAAAATGATTTATACGGAATTCGCACGGGCGGAACGGACCCGACGATTTCGATTTTATTTGTTTTCGGCGAAAATTAGGAAACTACAAATATTTAACGGCGAAGCAGGAGTTCTTGGGGAATTTGGCGCATGATCCTCCAGGATGTATGGGACGGATGCCGGCATGTCAGGACGTGGAAAAGAACTCCTCTTCTCGCATGTTACGAGCCGAAAAGCGCGCGCAATTTGTTAATATCAAAGCTACTCTCTTGATATTTCCATCGCCGAAGAATCTTCCAGTTACGAGTTTAAATTTCCGGCAGTTTTACTACATTTTTTTTAATAATTCGAAAGATGGTGATATTGGTTTGCGTATTTATCCTTGTTTTCGGCCAACATTGGTAAGTTTTTACATTATTTATTATTAATACAATTGTTATATTAAACATTTTATTAGCATATTATTTATTAAACAAAACTTTAGTATTAATATGATTCATTAAAATGAAATAAATCCAACAATAAATTAAAGTGTTACCAACTCAATTAAATTATTATAATTTACCTCTCATTAAAATATTACTTAGTGATGGGAATTCCTGTAGAACAAACCCTCAATATGGAGTGTCGGAACGTGACCAGGCATTTTATTCGCAAAACCCTTCGAATTAGGAAAATCGACGAAAATATTTGAAGTTATCGAATCCCGACGTGCCGTGGAAAAGCGAATTTTCTCGATTGGGCGATACTCGGACGTGTCGGATAATATTTTAAAAATTTTAAGTACGCGATTGGGGAAAATCGAGTCGGTGTTTTTTTGCTATTGTTCGATTGTGCTCGGAACAAATTATTCCAAGGAATTGATAATGTATATACAGTATGTCCCTACAAATTGAATAAATTAAGTAAAAAGTGTGCCAAGGGAAATAAAAATTGCATCTCTTCTCGAAGGACTTATATGAGCTTATATGAAAATCATTTCAAAACTACCGAACTTATTTCATGTTAATATGACTCGATACCTAAATTATTAACTTTATACTTACATTTATTGATATGTATCCAATGTTTATTGATCATTCAACATTATTCTGCTATAATTTAATGATTTATATCAAAAATTGCTCTACAACGCAGACTGGTTGTATTGAAAGAAAATTGTTTGCCACCCGATTTTCCTGTTTTTTCCATCTCAGTAAATAAAGAAGTGGCAAAAGTGCTGATTTCGCTTTTATATTGTTCCCTTTAGACTTTAAAAGACATCGACAATATTCGAGTATAACGATTTGAGCTCTTGAATACATATTCCGCCTTGGAGCACTGTTTTAAGGACGAATAACATTTTGTACAAGGTTGTTCGAATCCAATTAGAAATTACCCCACTGTTAATTTGTGATACATAATCACGATGTAACACCTACCGAATAATTAGCGAAATTAATTAAACGGGAGGGGTGGTATTTTAAATAAAATTACAACCCTCTGATGGAGAAATGTTGAGGAATATCGAAATCTGATAATGTTCTCGTGTGCAAATTCTCATACAATTTAAATCGGTTTTCGTCCCCTCGAAACGTTTGATCGTCTGTCCTTCAAACATAACGCGATTTAGGGCAATCTTCAAAAGAAATCGAAAGAATTAATTAAAAATCGGAGTTTCTAATTATCTAATTAACTAAACGCGTGAATAGCTTGATGAGTCGGAAGGGGATTCTCACGATGTAAGGGTAGATTAGGGTTCCTTTTTTATTACTTTCTTATCGTTTATTTTCGTTGGCAATAAGGCAAGGGAAACTTTTGCTGGATTTATATAAAATTTTAACGCGTCAACGTTTCCACCACAGACTTGAATTCTGCTCGGGATTTTCATATCTTGTTATTGTAGGAAAAGGTTTTTATTGTGCGGCTTAACACCTATGCAAATTGAGTTTCTTTCAAGTCCATAACCGACATGTATTATTGTACGAAAATAATTTGTATATATAGGGTACCTCAGAATATACAATTTATATACATATCAAGATTCTCCTCTTACAAAAAGATTACCCACACATTCTGCTATATACCTTGTGTACCTATAAATTCATTTATCTAACCAACTAAAGCTCAAAAATGGATAGATTCCAATAAATACCCATCCGACCCTTCGGCCTCAAAGTGTCTGCAGCAACGAAAAACCGATTCATCCCTCATCCCCCCGATCAGCTCCTCCAGCATTCCGGAATGCGAACCGGTTTATCCCGCGTAATTCCGCTCCCGAAACCGCAATACCCACGTGGAAATGGATGGAATAACCGCGACGCGATTTAAATTAACCGCCTTATTAGTCGATTGCGTTCCTCGAAAGATGGATTCGCTCTTAGCGTTTTGTTTATTATCTCCGAATAGAAGGAATGCTCGATGGAGCGGAACGGTGAACCTACGAAATTAGAAATTAAGGAGATTATGTCGGGGGTACAGGGCGAATCAAGTTTCAATCTGGCACGCTCGAATCTGCATCCAATAACTAGGGGACTTATTCGTATATTATAAAGAAAGTAAGTAAGTAAAGCGCTAGAAGCTTTGTGCTTTTGATAACTTTTTTTGAGGAATTTTTTTGGGGGTTCTCACGCGTTGCCCGAGGCCAAACGCGAGTTTGACACAAAAGGCCGCAAAACGCCGAAAAGAAACGAAATATAAACTGTATTTTATTCGCGGCAAATCGCGCGTTCTCGAAATGCCTAGCTCGAAATTAATTCCAAACTCCTCCGCCTAAAATAAAGCGAGCGGTAAATAGACAAAATTCAAAGCGCAATGGGCATTTCAACTCTTTTGTACCACTTCAACTCCGGAAATATGCAATTCAACTTTCAACCGCGGCCGAAAATCCCGCCAGTGGAGTATTTGCATTTTAATAAGAGTTAGGTGACTGACGGCTACTGGAAGTTTGTCTCGCGGGAACTTTAGTTTCGGACGCGTCCTTCTCGAGTTAGCAAAAAACTTCCCTCTATTAATTCCATTAACGGATTAAATCGAAATTAACAGGACGTCCCATTAACAACATTGTTTATGAATTTTTCGCAGTTATTTTGGAGTGGCGTTGGAATCGTTTTCTCTGCGCCACGGGCTTCCCCTGGAACAGGACGAGCTGAATCAAAACGGCTCTCTGGACCGCGTCATTATCAACTACAATTCCGGCAAAACCCGAAACGATTCCAGAAGGATCACCCGATCGAATCGAGGACCTTACGCCGACATGCTCAGCAGGAACATCACGATGGTGCTGGAAAATTTATTGGAAAACTACGAAAGCTCGCAACTTCCTACATATGGAAAAAGTAAGCTTACTTACAATCCCATTAAAATTTAGTTGATTCATATCAGCAAACTGTTTACAAACTTACTAAATTTTAAATTAAGTTATATAAATAGCCGAAGTATCGAGTGGAAATCTTGGTTCGGTTTAATCGAGATTCATTCCGGATTGAACAAACTCATTTCCGACTACAACGCATCGAATCGACGCGATAATTTTTACATTTGCCGGCCGAAAGGAGAGCCGTCCCCCGATCGGTCGCGCCCGACCTACGCGCCCCCGTATCGGATAACCCGGAGGATCTCGGTTTCCTCCGGGCCGTCGCGAAATCCGCAGAACAAATTGCCGGCGACGACAAATTGTTTACCGATCGTTATTATGATGTTTCTACATCTGACTACTGCCGTCTATCAAGCCGCGGACGGGGAAATTAGAGCCGACGGGAAAAAGGGGCCCGTCGTTCGGGAAATGTTTTTCGTCTGCGGACGAGAGGGAAAAAAATCGACCGGGTAACGCGATACCGAGACTTCAATTTCGAGAGATGATGAGAAATATATAAAAATGGCATTGTAAAGAGGAATTTCGTCGATTGCGAATCGTCTGCATTAATGCTCCCTATATTGCCCCAATCGGTTGGGGTGAATGCGAAAGGGATCCTCTTCACTTCTACAAGGTGTTTTATTCGTATAAATTTTTACAATACCATCATTATTAATAAAAATAAAGCAGTGTTTTTTAATGTATATTTTATTCGAAGGTACTTTTTAGTAGATTCTTTAGTAGATACTTTATTGATTCCTATACAGGGTGTCTACTAGAAAAACCGCCAAACTTCAGGAGGTGATTATACAAGTAATTTTGAACAAAAAATGTCGTATAACACTTTTTCGAAAAGTCAATAGTTTCTATTTTATTTACCATTTCATTATTTTAAATTTTTTTGTTTTTTTTCCAAAAAGACCGAAATGTCACATTTATTCGTATAGTCAAATTAATTTTGATCATATACCGTAAAAGTGCATTAAATTTGCTATAAAAAAGTATTTATCAGAGTTAAAAAAAATCAATACCTTGTGTTGTAAAAGATTTAATTGTTATGAATATGAAATGAACATAATTATATGTATCTTTTAATGGTCGTAAAGCCAACAATTTTATAAAATTCATAAGTGTTTTTTAGTAAAAACTACTGTATTTAATAAGCTTTTAAGAGGTATACTCAGATATTGAGTAAAATTTTTTTTGTAGAAATTTTAAAGGTATATGTTATAAAATACAAAGTTGTTCAAACAAGAATATTTCGAAAATAAAAATCTACAAAAAAATATTCTGTACAGTGTGTCTACTGTAAAGACCTCATAACTTTATACCTCATTACTTGTATAATCCCCTCCTGAAATTTGGCAGTTTTTATAGTAGACACCCTGTATAATGGAATTGTGGCATTATCCATCCACAGAATTATCCTACTAAATTTGCTATTCCGGTGCTAAATTCACAACCATTTACCAGTACATTTTTTCAAATCATTTTCGTGTTGTCTATAGAACATTACAATGGAATAGGTAGCCTTATGAAACGACAAATACCAGGTTAATCTGGTTGTTCTGGCTCAGAAACACAATACCGTTTCAACAATGAACTTAATTCTAATAGGATAAAATTGATCTTTAAATAACCGGGAACGTCTATTTGCTTTCGCGATGACCGAACCGAGCGAATAAACCCCACATAAAAAACTGTTTCCATTCGGCTTAGACACGGCGTCGCCTGGCCGTTTTTCGAGACATTGTATAACTTTTCAATAGAATAATATTGACGTTACCGAAGCTATTAATGAATGCTTTAGCGACACGTCTTCCCGCCCGTGGAAAATCCTTTATTGGAAAATCCGGCCCGATGATGAAGAGGCGAGTTGTCCACACGCCACGCTGGATTCATTGTATATACTGTTGTATACGTACAAGACCTTCGCGAAATAAACTTTAATGCATCCTTGACTTCTCCCGCATGCATATATTGCAGTTACAATGCATATTCCGACGGTCGGATGTGAAATTGAGACAAATCCCGCGGATGCGATTCGTTGTATTTGCATGGAAGAAGATCGCAAACGCATCGGAATAGTCGATGAGACGAGGATTGCTCGAATTGATATATGCATGCACGAACGAAACCAACCGAACTGGATACATTTCTCATCTATTATGCTTTTATTCCTATATTCCTGACAAAATTTACCAAAATTAACCACTTTCGTTCATAGAAATATACCAGAGAGATATAAAAAGAGTCCATTTTTGTACATATTAGCAATGCAAATGTTAATTTAACGCAGAAATCACCCAGTCAGTGGCACATGGATTTCCGTGAATTTTCATTTAATTGTATTTATTTTTTGTATTCACCAAAACTCGCAAGGAGAGCAGCAACTGAACGAACAACTCGTCTTCATTACGTTTGATTTTCTAAAAATTGTCCCGGTTCAAATTAGAGACGAACGGTTTCTTTTCCATCCCGAAACGGGGACGTAAATTAATTAGAAGGTTTAATTTAATTGTAGTTTATCGCTATGCAGCTTCGCGAGTTAAGGGAATGGCTCATTTTAAACGAATTTAAACGAATTTAACCCCGTCCGGAAATTTACTAACAATGTTTCCAAATTGTACTGAAATCGCTTATTTATTCCTCCACCTGAGCTAGTGGATGAAAAAAAGTGATCTTAAGAGACTCTGTAAGGCGACGGGTTCAAAGAAAATTGAAGTAATTGCTTCCTGGAGGATTCGAACTTCGTTTGAATTGCACCGGCAATGCGTCAGGACTCAGGAAGAGCAAGCTCTATTACCAGGCAGAGTTATTAGCAATGGTTATGTTTCAGATTCTCCCACTGTCGTACAAACCAACATTCTAATAAGAAGCATGGGACCCGTCTCGGAATTAGATATGGTAAGGTTGAAATTTTATAACTAAGCAACCAAACTTGGATATGTTGTATTAGTTGAAATAACAAGCCGAATTAAAGATGATGCATTCTGGTTTGTTTTGAGATTATTGAAGATTTATGAAGGCAAAAGGCAGTGAAATATTCGAGCAGGTTCTAACCAGTTGTTTTTCCAGGAATACTCGATGGACTGTTATTTCAGGCAGTATTGGCGCGATCAGAGATTGTCGTTTTTGGGACCAATAAAATCTCTGTCGTTGTCGATAAAAATGCTGGAACGCATTTGGAGACCGGACACGTATTTCTATAATGGCAAAAACTCGTACGTTCACACCATAACCGTTCCTAATAAACTCCTGAGGATCAGTCAAGACGGCGATATTTTATATTCCATGAGGTAATTTCGCGGAGGTTTACTATCGCGAGGTTCTTAAAAACTTTAGAAACCACTGACGCTTTTCTACGCAGGTTAACAATCAAAGCGAAATGCCCGATGGAGTTGAAGAGCTTCCCGATGGATCGACAATCGTGCCCGTTAATTTTTGGGAGTTGTAAGTGCCTCTTACGCACATTTAACACTTCTAATAAATTATTTCCAGACGCATACACATCCAAAGATTTAGTCTACATGTGGCAAAACGGGCAAAGCGTAAACTTCATACCAGGAATGGCACTATCCCAATTCGATCTCATCAGCTTCCCTTACAGGAATATCACTTTGAAAAGACGAGAAGGTTTGTAATAAAATTGTACGATTGCAATTCTTATAGCTTCTTTCTTCTGGATTAGGCGAGTTTTCCGTACTGGAAGTGTCTTTCAACCTGCAGAGACACACTGGGTACTTTTTGATCCAGGTGTATGTTCCTTGCATTTTGATCGTCGTTTTGTCCTGGGTATCCTTTTGGATACACAGGGAAGCTACGAGCGATAGAGTCGGATTAGGAATCACCACTGTGCTCACTCTATCCACGATCAGCTTGGATTCCAGAACGGACTTACCCAAAGTCAGGTAAGTTGATTGTTTCGGTGAAGTTTCCATCTATTTAAAACGCAATTTACTTGAGGAATAGATCAATATTATCGGTTTCGAACGTAGCAATAAAAAGTTTGTTGTATCCATAAATAAAAATTTCATTTCTGAATCTTTCACATAAGGCGTCCTCGTCGAAAATTGCTTTCGAACCCTAGCGGCTTTTTCTGCGGCACATAATCTCGGACCCCTAAGCTAATTCACAATAAAGGAAGCGCCGGGGCCGGTGTCGACGGGAGATAACGTTTCTTGAATAGATTCCGAACGCCTTCTGGTCGATGTTTCGTAAAACTCCCGACGCGGGTTTTTATTATTTTGCGTTTAACGCCCGCGTACATATCGACATGTTTCGCCAGATACGCCACCGCCTTGGATTGGTTCATCCTGATGAGTTTCTTCTACTGCATCGCCACGTTGCTGGAATTCGCCGGAGTGCATTACTTCACCAAAGTGGGAAGCGGCGAGATACCGGTCGACGAGGACGATTGGGAGGATTGCATCGAATCCGAGGAGGAGATCATCGGCAGGGAAATCGAGCTCGACATGACCAGGATCGACGAACGGATCAGGAGAAGGAGCTCCATCATCTGCCCCATTTACAACGTAAGCTTCTGTATTAGTTTGTACATTAAAGTAACTTCGATTCGCGTTGATTCGCAGACTTCTCCGATGAATTGCGAGAGAAGGAAATCGTCTTTTATTCTGGTGAGCGATCCAACTCCACCGCCGCCGTTGATTCCTTCTACCGTGGAGAGGACCACTCAAACCGAGTTCAAGCTACCCAAATGGAAGCAGCTGCTCTACTGCCTCAAAGGGGATGATAAATTTCGACGGCAAAGGCAAAGGGAAGCTGCTGCTTCTAACTGTTCGGGTATTATTTTACTCCAATCTTTCATACAACCCCACAGCTACATCTTTGATAGAAAAAGTTTCATAGTGGAATAAAGCGGAGTAAGAATAAAACTCTATAGTTTCTCGAAGAAGACTCTAGAGCTCTATAATGAAGCTCTACAGCTTTAGAAAGAAACATCTATGGCTGATCTATGTAGGAGTTTTCCGCAGCTACACCTTCCTGATACAGTTCCAAAGCTCTATAACTCAGCAGATCTATGGACTAAAATTTCTATTAATTTATTTTAATATATTTTTTAGGTAATTCTCATGGTCGAGTTCGGCACGTGAACAGCGTTTCCCTCATAGACAGAACTGCTCGCGTGGTGTTTCCTGCTTCGTTCGGTTTTTTCAATCTGTTTTACTGGATGGCTTATATCACGACGCAGGAGAAATTCAAATGGGGCGATATGAAATTGAGCTCCGCCAATCATTAAGGGTAAATTTGGCGGAAAAATCGGTTAGGGGTCGTAAAAAACCGTTAGAATTTAGAGTGTGTATCCCATAGTTTCAATAATAAGAGTATGTTAGTAAAAGTACGATTTATTTCGAATAAAAATAGTTAAAAACAATGCATTGAAAAACTAAATAAAGCTTGTGAACTAATTAATCTAACAGTCAATTTTAAAATGAAAAGAGGAATTATTAGGGTATTAAATATTGAATTAATTAGAGTACAGTGCGATAGAAATAGCTAAATAGGTAACAAGTGACAACCTTGAAATTATTGTATTTATTTCAATATGTACTATACAGCTATTCCTGTCCCAGCGTAATAATTAAAAATGTTAGATAATAAATTATTTTACTCGGTCGTTAATCGATTAAAAACATACTTAAAAAAGAGCGTTTTTATTCATATTACGAGTATAATAAAAGTAGTAAAAACTTGTAGCTTACATGGTAGAAATGATGTGATTTTATCTTGTTTCGTGAGCAATTTATTTGGTATTTCGACTAGATAAATGGAAATTTGTATGGCGATCTGCTGGAAAAATTTATAAATCAATAGATAGTTAATTTAACATCAAGAACAAATCTCCAGGCGGTTGAATGCTATTTTAATGCAACTTTTCGTACAGTTAGTAGAGAAGCAATTTCCACGAATAAAATAAATAAATCAATAAAAAAACAAGAAATACAAGACAAAACCAATTAGTTCACTTAATTAATCGACTTCGTTTCACCGGTACGTTTATCATTATAACCTACTGTTATTTTTCTTAATTTTTAATCGTAAACTTCAGTTTAACATTATTCTCGAATGCGATAACACCAGTAATAAACTTATAAAATAACAAATAAATTAGTCTTTCAGTTCCTGTCCCTTAAGGGTGACTCGATTCTGTTCGAATTTATCGTCCTGGTAGGACTGTTGAGGTTCTCCTTATCCTCTACAGAGTGTTTGTTTTTCTTTAACCAAGTTTTCGGATCGGCGTAGTTTTCTTCGTCTTTAAGTTTCTTGGTTTTCTTCGGAGTGCGTTGCTTATAATCTTCTTCAATGTTACCCTGGAAGTTGTTGTTTTAATAAGTAAATCTGCGGAATATTAAATTGTAGTTAATTACCTGTTTTAGTTCGATTTCTAATTGGCACACTTTATTTAGAAGAGCGTCTCTTTCAGCTTTGATTTTCTGGATTTCTTCCTTTAGCGATGATTCCTCTATCTGGTGAATAAAATTAACGATAAAAAATAATAAAGAAGTAATTAAGTGAGTATAACTCACCGATTTAGTGTCGATTTCTGCTTTCAATTTGCTGTTAGTCGCCTCTAATTCGTTGCAAATGATTACTTGATTGTCGTATTTGGCTTTGAGATTTTCATTTTCGGTTTGTTCTTCGGATAATTTCATCAGTTTCATTTTGTTCTGCAAATTCTCGTTCTCCAATTCTTCGTACTTCCACACCAAAACGTCGTATTTCCCGGACATTTCTATGTATTTTTTGTGTATGTTTTCTAACAGGGGAAATGGGGAAATAATATGATATAAGTCAACAAATAATTAAGAATAGACTACCTGTTTCCTTTTGATCGCTTTCTAATTCATCCACTCTTTGTCGATAGTATTGTTCCGATAGGCTGTGAGCGTCTGATTTTTCTTTCACCTGGTCAATTTCTTTCTTCAAAACAGCTATTTCTTTCATCTTTCTTTCGACTAGTTCTTCCAGATCCTTTATGGTAATTTCCAGTTTATCTCTGATGATGTTCCAGTCCATTTCCCTCAAACGGTAGTCTTCCAGCTCGTTCTGCGATTGCTCCGCCTTAACAAAACAAAACTAGTACCTACACAGTGATAAATGCAAAAAAAATATTACCTCGAATTTATATTGTGTACATTCACTCTCAGCATTCTCATACTCGGCCTTCAACCTCCCCAATATCTCGTACACATCGTGCAACTGCTCCATTATCTCCTCCTTCAAGCCCTTCTCCTCCTCCATCTGCACTTTATACCTAACAACTTTCTTCTTGTAATCGCTAACATCCCTCAGAAGCTTCTGCGAAACGTCCTCGATGTCCTGGCAATTGAGCTTGATGGTCGACTCGAATTGCATTTCCAGCTCGTCGTTGACCAGCCGGGTCTGCAGCAAATCGGACTCGAGCTCCAGGTTCTTCTGCTCGAACTTGAGCAGCTTCTTCTCGCACTCGGCCAGCTCCTCTTTGAGCTGCTCGACGTCCTTGTCGGAGTTCATCAGCCGGTTCTTCAGCACGTCGATGGTGATTTGGGAGTTCTGTATGGTGAATTCGTAGGTGGACTTCTCCTTCTGCGCTCGCCGCAGTTGCAGCTGGTAGGATTGGATCTGGTCGAGCAGCTCGCGCTTCTGGTCGTCGAGCTCGAGTTTCTGGGCGTCGACGTCGGTTTTGAGCTGCTCGTATTTGTCTTTTAGGGTTTTGAAGTTCTGCAAGGCGGCGTCGTAGTTTGTTTTGATGGTTTTTAGCTCTTCGATGTTCTCTTTGAGCTCCTTGCTGATGGAGTTCTTTTCGATCTCGCATTGGATTATGTTGTATTCGCTGATGGCTTGGCATTCCTTCAGAATGGCTTCGGATTGCTTGCGCTGCTCGGCCAGTTTGGCTTTCCATTCCTTCTCTTGCTCCGCTAATTTTTCTTGTAAGAAGTCCTCATCGGTTAGATTCTTCTGAAGAGTTTCTTCCAACTTAAAGAAATCGTTACATACAATCGATATTAAATTATTAGATAATTGTGTATAACCTACCTGGTTGATCTTATCTTGTGATTCTTGGATGATTTGAACCTTCTCCGTTTCGAAAACGTTCTTCATTTCGTCGATTTTCTCTGTCATCTGCCTCTCCATGTCTTCGATGCGTATAGTGCAAATTTCCTTTTCTCTCTGCAATTCCGTCATAGTTTTGAGCATCTCGAATTCGAGGTCTTGGATTTCGACTTGCTGTTCTTTCCTCAACCTCTCGATTTCCAGCGAGTGTTGCTTCTGCATGTCGATGGAACTCTGCTCCAAGGTCTTCAGCAAGATCTCCTTCTCGTCGATCTCCTGCTGCTTCTGGCGCAGTAAATTCCGGTAATCTTCGTCGAGACTTTGCACGTAACTCGGCAACTCGTCACAGGAGCTTTTCAGCACTTCCATTTCTTTCGTGTAAGTCTCCACGACGCATCGCAGCTGCTCCAGCTGCTGCTTGAGTTCCTCTTTGAGCGTCACGGTGTCGCGCAGCCGCAATTCGAACTCCTCCCGGATGATTTTTAAGCGGTTCTCGTGCTCGTTCTTCAGATTCTCCACGATTTCCTCGTACTTGTTGGTCTCGTTGTCGATTCGACTGGCGGCGTTTTCGGCGCGGCCGATTTTTTCGTTGATCTCCTCCAGCTGCTGGACGAGCTCCTTGATGTAGGCGTCTTTGTTGTCGCACTCGACGATTTTTTCTTTTAGAGCTTCCAGCGTTTGGTCGTTGGTTAGGTTTTCGGCGGGTTTCGGTTTGGGTTTCGGCGCCGGGTTGGCGGGTTTCTGCTTTTTTCGTATTAAAGTCGGCTGGAAACGGTGGAAAATGTTGGGAAATAGCTCGGGAATGGGTTAGTGTAACTTACCGGCCTGAAGCACGGGACGCTTTGGGACGATCCTGTGTCTGATTTGGCGGAGCTTCCATCGTTATGTTTTGTTGTTGGTTTGGTTTTGTCGCATGCGGGTCGTATTGTAGCGATAGGAACTGTTTTTTTTTTAATAAATCAAACCAAAATCGATTAGGGTTTAAGCAAAAATTAAAGTGAAGAGTAGTGCATATTACTTTATCGTGTTTTTGTAAAATTTGCAGTTATTAATTATTGTTTATTCGTATATTAAAACGGGCTATTAAAGAAATGTGAAGCTGTATGTAAAATATTTCATTGGTAAAAGTACATCCTGGAGTTACTGGGGTTACTAAAATGGTTCCTAATAACCTATAAAAATTAGGCTTCCCGCCTTCTATAACAGATTTATAGGTATTATAGTTTTATTTATCATAACAAAATCCAGGACCGGCTTACGAAGGTAGGTAAACTAACGAATTTATTAATGTATTTTGGTTTGTAAATTTAGATTTAAATAAATCATCCTGTATATGTAATATTTCAGAGTTTTAGTAGGTGTTTCGTTAATCGTTAAAATTGACGAAAACTAAATTTAACAAACTGTTAAATTATTATACAGTATAAAATAGAACTGATATTGATCTATGTCAGTTTATCAGTAAATTAATAATTATTTATCGAATTATAGAATTTATTGTTAATTGACACAAATAAAACTCAAACTTTTAAATAGCTGTATACTGAAGAAATTTTAATTGTTTGCTAGATTAAAAAAAATCAAATGTAACCGTTAAAAACTGTTTATATAATTATCACTTTAATCAGTTAACAAACGAGTAGCAAATTAATAAGCAATCGTTAAATGCAACAAACCACAGAATCTTCAACTCTATATTCATTCAATAATATAGTAATTCAACGATATTATACAACTTTTAATTCAACATTTATCAATGAAAGCCGCAAGAGCGAGCCATTTTAAAAAGCGAAAGTACCAGTTAAATTTCAAATTCACTCACCTTTAACGTCGTTGAATCTTTGAATTTTCGCTTTGCTAAACGACATCGTGGAAATATCTCTCGCCGGTCACTGGAAAAAACGAAGGAAAACTGAAACTTTATGCGGGAAATGAAAATTTACAATCTATGCTCGTGCTCGTGCGATGTGTTGCTCGTAACAGTTAGGCGCCATAACAGCTGTTGACCGTTAGAAAAATAAAATTATACGCGGTATCTACACAATGAAAACGGTTGGCCAATGGGAAAAAACGAGATAACCATTGATAAAGTTTTAGGAATTTGTACAATAGATGGCGCCTTCCCATTTACAGGTTTCTGTAATTTAAAAGTTTACAGAGTTCTGTAATTCAAGAGTTTATAGAACCCTTTAATTTATGATAACAAGATTCTGTAAAAGTGATGTTTATGTATGTTCTGTGGTTTACAGATTCCTGTAATTATTCGCCCTTTTGTAAATAAAGTACATGTAAAAGGGAGATTCTATTTAATTCATTTAGTCTCAAAATATCAAAAAAATCTTACAGATATAAATTATATACGTTTTTTTTGAAGCAGTCACTGAATTCTTAAAAAATATGCAGACAGCTTTTGAAAGCTCTACTAGTGTTTCAACACTCAGAGAACACCTACATAAATATTATCAAAAAAATGCATTAAAATTTCCCAATATTCCTCGAATAAATACAAACAAAACGTCCCATATGGATGAAACAAAACTCATCAAACTTGCATCTATCGGCTTTAACTACTACGAGTAGTAAATTCATTTCGGCTGATTAACATTACGCGCAAAAGCGGCTGCATGTGAACCACCCGGCTACACTACACCAATATAACCTGTAATAAAATAAAGACGAACTAGTACCCGACTGTATGCAGCAGCAATAGTAATAGCGCCTAGCATTAGCAGTCGGCTGGGCTCTAGTATTAAATTACGAAGATCAAAAGGGGATTTACAGTTTGATAGCGAAGGAGTTTTAGAAGTTAAACGGCGCTGCACTTAATTTAAAACTACGCATTTATCGCGAACGCGGAATAGAGAGCTCGATGGGAAAGTATATACTGTCCCCCAAAAAGGGGTTCGTTGCGACAAAGTAGGGGCGTGTTTCGAATTTTGATTAGGCGAAATAAGAGAATTTTCCCATGATAAATGATGGGTTTTTAAAGAGAATTTTATGACAGGTTAAAATAGAGCAAAAGTTGAGCTTAATTTGTTAAAAATATTGTTTAAAAAGTACTTCAGAATTTGGTTTTTTTCAGATCATTTATACAAATCATTGATCGAATCAAAGACAAAACCAGAAGCGTTTAATCTTCAGTCAAAAAATCGCGTTGGGATCGCATTTGCGACCGTCCCCTACGGATTAAAAAAACCCCGAATACTACAAGGACGAGAGCTTCGAATGACACAAAAGTTAATTTTCAGCCTTCTGTTTCGTTGGTCCGTCGATCCTTATAATTTCGTTGATCCGATTATTTGGCCGGCGCGTCCTCGTGCAGGACAAACACACATCAGGACATACGCCGCATTAGAGCGGCTCCACGTCCTCTGTGGCGTTATTGAACGCTAAACATCACAACATCCATGTGTTTTGGACTTGTCTCCGCATGTTTAAGTTGATAATTAGTTAGCGATATCTACGCGGGACACAGTGGCCGGCGCGAATGACGCCGAAATTATGAGTAATTGCGGCCGAAGGGCCGAAAACAAGCGATTAGAGCTCGGGGCCCTAAACAGCCGATAATGGATGATCGTAATTCGCGTATGTGCGGATTGGAAATGTGATGAAATGGAAAAGTGCTATAATTTTCGCTCTGTAATTATTCAACGTCGAACATTGCGGGGAACTGGTGAACTGATAATTCAATTAAGGCGAATTATACATTTAGATCATTGGGCTAATGATACTAAATAGTTTCAATGCCGGGGTAGGTATGTACTTATATAGAGTAGTTCTTTATGAATAATCAATATCATTTCCATTCAAATACCTGCTGATTACTATTACTGTTAGATTACTGTTACCTATATTGTACTAAAAACTTATACCCTAAAAATAACTTACTAAAAATGTTTTTCTAAAAGAAGTACCATTAATAGTAATATAAATCCTTAAAGAATTCTTTTAAGATTGTCAATTAAAACCTCTACGAATTCCTTTAAATATTGAAAAACTAATACACTAGAAAACCAAAGAAATACATTTTTTATTTCCATTTTTTAACCCAAATTTTGACCAATATCCCAATTTCTCTTTCATTATTAGCTACTCTTTTCTCTTCATCTCTTCACAACACCTCATCTCTTTCAAACTCCCTCCATAAAACAGTAAAAATTCCCCAATTTTGGCAACACTGCTCATAATTCTCCAACTAAAAATAAGCGACATCAAACTCTGCAATACACTCAACACGAAGTTGGTTCGAGAATCCGATAAATCGCGTCGCAGAATCCACGTAAAGGCGATATTTCAACTAGTAGAGCCGAGCAGAGCGTTGATGATACTCAAACGGAAGCTCTATAGTTACCTTACTCATTATGTGAAGCGCTTGCAAAATCATAAAACTCGACTTTACGACCCAATGAAGTATCAGAGAAATTCGACTGTCACCGTAAGATAACGGGCGTTATCGCAAAGTTCGCCTATTTGCAATTTGCATTCCAGCTCAAACTCTCTTTCATATTGGTTTTAATTAATCATATTGTTGTTTGTTCGAAATATTCAATTACTATTCTTCGTTTGTTATGTTAATATTTCGCAAAAACAATTAATTATAAATTGAGTGTTTGTCGCGGTTCAATTAATTACGTTATTATATTTGCTTGTTCTGGTCGAATGTTTGTTAATTATGTGTTATTTTTTTTCGATTTTGGTTTTGAATATCGAAATGCGGAGGTAATTTAAATTTAGCGCTTGCCTACGAATAACAACTATCACTCTAATTAGGTAATTTTTTTATCTAATTGATAAAGGAGATTACAAGTGGCGATTACTCGCGAATATTTCTACAAAATTCGAGCAGGAGAAACAATCCGGGCTCTAAATTTTTCTCTAATTGCCCCCGAACAGACAGTTACTCCTTTTTTATTCAAATTACCAGCCAAAGTGCTCCTACATCGGAATTGTTTCTTTGTGACTGGTAAGCACTTCCTTGAAACGTGCATATCGCTTCCGCTGCGACTCCAAAGCGAAGTTAAGTATAATTTTCCGCTTGTTAAGCCACGTAGAGAAGTGTGAAAATGCATCCAGCGTACGTACGCTAACGCTACAAGATGTAATTCCGGCAAACGCCATTTATCTTAGCCGCATCTCCGGCAATAAGGAGCTACGCCGTTTCGTTTTTATGGCTATAAACTCGCGACCTTTTCCTTCCCCACGAAAAATTAGTGTAAGAAAATATGTTATATAAAAGCTAATAATGTTTCTGAACCTACTTTTTCACGCTAAGATGTATCGTTCTGCATTAGAAATTGGGCAGAATTGCATTATGCATTATCAAGGAAGCTCGGTTATAATATTGAAACGACCTCTCCTCCACCGCATAACCATTAATACCGGCTGTATCCTAAACTTTCGTTCGTTCCATTATTTTTAACTTTTATTAGAAAATGCACTTTGCGCTAGGATGTTTTTATGAGCTCGGTAATTATATAAGCAACTTAAGCTCGGAAGCAAACGTCATCCGCTTTCTGTTTTAATTCATTTCTTTGGTCCGTTTTAATTTCGTTACCCGGAATTTTCGCCCGGCGCTATAAAGTTTCCATCATGACGGAGTTAACTCGGAAATATCATAGTTCATTTAACGCGCCTTCGTAAAAGGGAGACTCCCACGTGACTGCGAAAGTTATGCAACACGGTTAGCACGTGTGGCATCGGTGATGAAAAATTGAATATCCCTGTTGTGAATAGAACGGAGTTGAATAGAATGGAATAAACTGCGCGATGCTATAGCAGCTCTAAATAGGCGAGAATATGTAACGTTGTTTAGTTGTTATTTGCTCCTTATTTCTGGAAGAAATTTCTCTGGAAATACTGTAATTTTCTTAGGATAAATTTCATAAACTCTAAAATTGTACGTTTGTTAGAAAGTGTACACTGAAAAAAATGAGTTTGCGATAATAACAAGAAAGTATTAGTTGGAAACTTTTAGTTAGTTGAGCAAATATTTCATTTTTAATCACAAATACACTATTTAAAACAACAACACAGTTTTGCTCTATACATGAACAGATTTTAGTTGATATTTGTTAGTTATAAACACAAAATATATGTTAAGGTAACAAACAGTCTAATTTCGAATAACTAAACTAATCGAAACAGCTGGAACTATATATATTTGTCGCCAAAACAGAAATAATGATTTTGTTTAGGAAATTTTTTTATTTCTCACAACATTTTTCCCAAAAAAATTGTTATTGAAGACATGGAAATTTTCACAGCGTTGTTTAGAGAATGATCACTGTTATCAATTTCGAAAGAAAAAAATATGGGTTCTCATTTAAAAAAAAATATGAAGGTGCCCTGGATGAAATAAAAATCGACGGGTCTCAGCGTTTTTAGAAAAAAAATTCTAACGAAAATATGAATTCTATGCAGAACTTTTTTACCACACTGTATGTATACCTAATTCGAAAAATATCCGTTAGGAAAATTCCTGGTTTTATCAAATTTTGTCTTTATAAGGTCTTCTTAATTTCTCTGAATTCATACCGCCCTTTTAGACTATTTTTTTATGATAAAAAGGTAAGATTTTTTATTTTCAAATTAAAATAAACAAAAATAACGAAGCGATAGGTACGCAATCAGCGAGACAGCGAAAAAAAAATCACCCCCTTCCAGGCCTAACTTCAGGCATACAACATACAACAGATTTTTAAAAACAGTCTGTCCTTTATTTTTGCGCTTCTCAGCGTGAGAAAGACAGATTTTTTAAGTTAGCTTCAACGTGAAATGTCTGGATGCGCGAGGCTTTCCGACTTCCGCGATCCGCAACCGCGACGCGTTCCTCGTCCTCTCGTTCCTCGTGCCTCGATGGCGAAACCAAACCGAAACTTTTCCTCTGAAAGTTTTTGCATTTAGCTTCTTTTTCCATTTAAAATATGGGAGTATTATTAGTGATGCGACTAACTTAGTACACGTATTTACGTTGATTATATTTATATTGCTCCTACAAGTGTGTGTAATTCATGTTTTGAAATTAAATCGGAGTTCGGAAGTGAATAATGGAGGCGGAGTTGCGGGAAATTTTAGAAGAATGGGGTTTTTCAAGACTAATTCCTGTATTTGAAGGTAAGTTTACTTATTTATTGTATTATTACTGTTGCAAAATGTTTTGCATTTTCTCTATAAGTTCGTTTATTTCTATAATTTTCTGATGATTGTGGTTATTTTTGACTAAGTGTATAAATGAAATTCGTTTACAAGGATTTGAGTGGCTGTTGCATCAGCCATTTTGACCGATGCCGTACTCGTGCCCGTCTGTACGTGGTGCTGCTTTTATTTATAATATTGTAAAATTGTTTATTGATTTCCAGTTGATTTCTTCTAAATTAATATGGTACTTGCTTGAAATATTATAAATGATCAGACTGCATTGACAAAATATATTTACAAATTATTGTAAATTGAAAACGTGGACGTCTAAACTGTACTTCCCAATTTTATTACGGCATTATTTGTTCGGGAAAACTAGTTTACAGATTAAACTGTGTTAATTCTTTTAGAAAACGGAATCGATCAAGAAGCGTTCTTGTATTTGAATGATTTGGCCATAGAAAAACTGTTGTCCAAGGAAAATCTTGGTGCAAAATTGAAATTTAATAATAAATATAAAAATTTTCTTATAAATAAACAGGCTGCACCTTTAACCGTTCACAGGGTAAGAGAAATATTATTTCTTTTGTTATTACAATACAGTGCGTCCATAAAGACACGTACACATTCCGTATTATATAAAACTAACGTACTAATCGACCTCAGGAAAATTAGAGTAAATAGGTTGGAAACTGGGGCAAATTGGGTAAATGGGGTAATTTTAGAAAATTTGGGTAAACTGTAAAGTGTGGAAAAATAGATTAAATGTGTCAATGGGTTAAATCTGGGATAAAATTGGGGTACATAGAATTAGATCTGATCAAATTAAATTATATATGTTTAAAGTGGGGTAAATTTGAGTAAAATGGCTTATATTTGAGTAAATTGGCGTTAACTGGGACAAATATGTAGATATAAATATAAGTAACTGATAAAGGAATTTGGGTAAGGTGTAGGTTTTTGAAGGGCAAAAATACGCTTTAAATAATCTGACCACCTCGGGTCAAAACTTTTTTAATATTTACTTTTTTAGCTAATACTAAATTATACCTGCCTTTATTATGGTCGCACTGTATTTTAAAATTATTATTCACTGTATTATTTATCTCTTTCGTGGTACAATCCGATTTATTTCGATTTAATTTTGTAGAATCTGAACGTAAATTCGGATGAGCAAAGTGATTGTTCAGAGAGTACAGCTTCAGAGGCAACGGCTATATCTTCAGATGACGATTCAAATGGTAAGTATAATTTCGTAATGAAATCTTAAAGAAAACTTTTTTTTTATATATTTTATATTATATAAAATATATCCATATATTTTGGAGAAAAAATTAGTTCAACTTTTTCTTTCACTTTTAAATATTGCAGTATCCATAAAAACATTTTATATCGTAGATGCAGTTGAAGAGTACAGCTCTGCCACACTCGAAAACATTCTTAATTCGCCCATGGGCAGTCAAATTAAATCCTACTACACAAGAGAAAAACGGTTGAAGAATAATTTAAGAGATAAATTGGTGTCAATCATCCTAGAGGATTTACTATCAAAAAATGTAAATATGCGGATATCCAAAAAAGTCTTTACGGATATCTCAGCAGCCATTGTTGCCACATTTCCTAATGAAATTAAGGTTTGTACTATATGTTACGGCTAATATGGAAAATTAGTTTGTAATTTTTTATTTTGTTTCAGGATATATATTTTAACGTTTCCTACAAAAAAGTAGGAAAAGGGGCAATTCGAAAAATGGGAGGGGGAAAATTGTTTCGAAAGTATTATAATTTACGAAGAGATTTTAAAACGAATGGTTTACTAAGAAGTAAGGCTTGTAGAAGAACTGCAGATGCGACAAAAAAACCAATAACTAAAGCTGAACAAGAAGTACTTGAATGGCTTAAAAACAATGCTGCTCCATGGCAAGAGTTAGAAGCAAAATGGGCGGAATCGTATGAAGCAAGAAAATCGTATTTAATGGATGTTAATTCCATTCACGATTATATGACGTCATTTAAAGGGCTTAATGAACCATTAGGATATGTCCTGGTAAGCGCGATATTATTTAATATGAGATAACCGTTTAAATTTAAAAATTTTAGCTTGAAAACGACTTTGCAACTCAATATCCAAACTTAAACAATCGACTATTGACAGCGTGGCCTGAATTCTCAGAAAAAATAAGAAAATATGCTTCTACATTGAAAACAGCTGAAGTAAATGAAATGAAAGTAAATACGATCACAATTGCAAAATATTTTTTTGGCAATTCTATTCAATGCCAATGATAGAAGAGAATTTGGTAATTTAGCAATATTTAAAATTTTAATAGACGAATTATTTTTTTTAGAAACACAGGGAATAGATGTTAAAATAGGGACTGAAATAAAGAAAGTATTTTTTGTTTTGACGTTAATTTTAGGAGACAATTTAGGATTACACTCTATTCTTGGATTTCAAGAATCATTTAATGCTAAATTTAGTTGTCGGTTTTGCAAGATAGATAAAAATTCTTCTCATAAATGTTTTGTGGAAAATGTTGATTTATTAAGAACGGAGCAAAATTATTCTAATGATGTTTTAATTAACAACGCATCTTTGACAGGAATAAAAGAATTATGTATATTTAATAAGTTACCGTCTTATCATGTCACAAAAAATTTTGCAGTTGATATAATGCACGATCTTTGTGAAGGTGTGTGTCACTACGACATGGTTTGTATTTTGAACTATTTAATTGATGAAGCAAAATTATTTACTTTAGAAACTTTAAATGACCGAATTACCTATTTCGATTATGGACCTGAAGTTAAAAATAAACCTCCAAAACTAACTGACAAGTCAAAAACAAAATTGTCACTCTCATCTTCCGAAATGCTTTGCTTAGTTAGATATTTTGGTCTTTTGGTTGGGGATTTGGTACCCACTAATAATAAGGTGTGGCTATTCTACATTACCTTAAGAAATATACTTTTACATGTTCATAGTAACTGTGTTACTGCCTCACTTGTACGACTTTTAAAAACTGAGATAGAAGAACATAATAGTTTATTTACATCTTTATTTAAACAAGATTTGAAACCTAAATTTCACCATTTAACTCATTACCCGCGAATCATGAAATTGGTTGGACCTTTAAATAATATATCATGCATTAGATATGAATCAAAACATAAAGAATTTAAAAACACAGCTAACGTCACATTTTGCAGAAAAAATCTCATGAAATCTTTAGCTTTGAAGCACCAATTAAAAGTTCATTACAGACTTTTAACTAGTAATATTTCATTTGTCAGTAATATTGAATGTGCAGATTGTGATTTTTACTTATTTGAAGACCTTCAATTTCATGTAAATTTTAAAGAATTGAATATGTTTTTAGAAAATTCTGAAGAAGTAGGCATTCCAAATTGGATTAAAATTAATTCATGTTTTTATAAAAAAAACTTTGTTATTCAAGTGAAGCATGTTGATTTGTTACCACAATTTGGGTTCATCAGAGATATATTTTTCACTTCCCAAAAGAAAATATACTTTCAGATTAATGAACTTGAAACCATTTGCTTTAATCAACATTTTTTTGCTTATGAAGTGCGTAGAACTGATACCGTTAAAATTATACCTTATGCCGATTTGGATTGCTTAAATACATTACTATTTAACGTTTCATCTCAGGGAATATTATTTGTTGCGGAACGTTAGGTTTTTGCTTTTGTTTAATTTTTGATGTTTGGAGTTCGATTTCTGTCTCATGATTTATTATTTGTTTTAGGTACTTTTAGGTTTACTTTACTTTTATTTTTTTCAGTTTGTTTTCAGTTAATGCTAGTACTCAGTTAGTTATTGTACCTATGTAATTATTTTTAGTATTGTTAAATAAAAATATTACTTATACTAACAAACGCGTGATTTGATTTCGCTTATCCAGAAAATTACATTTTGTTCGACAAACTACAATTTTTAGTTAAAATTTTTACAAAAATTTGTCTTTTAAACTAAAAATTTTGTTGAAATTAATATTGAAGTTTTTGTTATTGAAACAAAATTATTTTTTTTTAACTAAAAAGATTGGTTGAAATTTGAGTAACAGGTTGTTCGACAAACTACAACAGTTTGTTGAAATTATTATAAAAATTTGTCTTATAGACTAAAAAATAAGTTGAAATAAGAATTAAAAAGTGTTACATAAACTAATATGTTTGTTATCCCAACTAAATTAATTTGTTTATCCCACTATAAAAATTTTTAATAAAAGTTATTACGTTAGTTAATTAAGAAAAAAAAATAGTTTGTAATAACTAATTTTTTTTGTTACAGTTACAACACAAACTTAACTAATCCCTGTTTGTTAATGTAACTAAATTTTCAGTTGGCGCTATATTTAATAACAAAATTAGTTGTTACCAATAAATTTTTGTTTACTGTGACAAAAAATTTTTTAGAGTGTAGTTTCCTCTATCAATTCCTTAAGCTACTTCTTCAACAATTAATCCTTCACATCAAACTCATAGTAAAACTCAATTTATGTATAATCTCCAGTTTAATATATTTCAAGCATCAAAACAACCAGATCAGTGTAACAATCAATAGTGTCCGTGTCCGTGTCCTTCTTCGCTACCTTGATTGGCCCAATGGGTGACTCCTACGTAGCTGGTGGCTCCCCCGTGACCGTGGTGACCGTGAGCGGGGTGCTGAGCGTGTCCTCTTCTCTCCACAACAGCCTCGAATCCCTTGTGGGGAGAGGAAACGTACTTGACCACTCGGTGGGTGCCATCGGCCTCCTTCAGGGTGTACCCCCCGTGGACGTCGTGCCCGTGGCGGTGCTCGTGCTGCGACTTGTGGTCGTGAGTGTGGGGATCGTGGACGCCGTACTCGAATTTGTAGTGAGCGTTGTCCTGTCAAAGAATGGTTAATTTATTATGGATCGATTGGTGACTTCATAGGAGCTTTATTAGCTATCCTGCAGAATTGTATTTTGATTTAAGTAGTGTACTTACATGACCGTGACCTGCGCAAGCGAAGCCGAATGCGATGCAAATAATAATGAGACTCTAAAATAAAAAAAAATAATTCTCAAATTATTAGTAAACAAACGATTTTTTTGGATACTCACGGCCTGCATTATTGTGTAGATATTTTCGTTAGAAAACTATTAGAGAACGTTGAAGGAGACAATGATACATTTGTCGCTGGCGATCGGGTTTATATAGCACCAATTTGGATAGTTTCACCGAAAAAAACCGCATGTAGAAACAGCGAGTATTTCGTTAAGTTTATTACATGTCGAAATCGATAACTGTGTTCGATTTATTATTGCTCGGGCGAACTTAACAATTTCATTAACATCGGCTTGTCGTGCGTTCGAACGACCAAATTACCAAATTCGAAATCGACAGATGTTTTCCTACGGCTTTAGATTTACTCCTTCGGCTAGTGGAAATTTAAAAATTGGAAACAATTCGACCGGGATCGTGATTTGTGGCTGCACACATCAAATCCATCAAATCTTATCGGCATGCTCCTAGGAAAAACATTTCAGATTCGGTCGCCTGAAATGAGGAAATGCAGTTCTTTCTACTGCTTCATACAGGGTTATTCACAGTAGATTTTTTTACTCTTTCAAGGGTTTCCTGGAGAGTTAGGATTAGAGCAAATTGATTATTGTGAATTTGTTTAAAGATTTTATTAATTATTATTAGTGTTCAAAAAAGTGACATAATTTTGTGATATACATAAGAAAATTATGTAGGTATAGTCTCAAAGTCCCTCATATATGGTAGATGTCTAAGTGGGACATCCTGTATAAAACATATAAAGAACTTTCCGTGTTACGGCGCACCTCATGCATATTTAACAATTTTCCAACGCCGGCAGGAATTTTGAGTGTAAAACTTGGCGCCAAAAAAGTGGCGACTCGAAGGAAAATTCCTTGCTATCCATTGTAATACCATGTAAGTTTAGAGCTTTTATTTCGGCATTTAGCGAATATAAAACAAAATTTATTCGTATAATAATAAAACTTTATTTCGGGACGTTATGAGCCGAATTTGTGCCGAAAGGTGTGTGCAGGAGAGTGTCTCGAACGGCGAAACTTCGTTTTATATAGCATAATTTTAAATAGCTTTATAATGTTATCAGTAGAGCTTGGATTTTTACTGCTAAAAATAAACGCGCTTTATGTTCCAAATTCGGCTAGAATAATTAAGTTTGCGATACTATTAATAAATTGTATTGAACATTTTTAGGATATAACAATTTTTCTTTCAAAGTTCATCAATCTCATCTAATTATCAAATAAATGATTCTATAAAAACAAAAGAATAGGTACATAAACTTTATTCAAACATTTTTATTCTACAATTTAATGATTATCCTCAGGCTGTTGATGAGTATATCCAGTCTTTTCAACTATTGCTTCGAATCCGGAGTGAGGCCCTGATTTGTAATGGACAGTTCTCACTGAACCATCGGGCTCTTTGAGCGAATAGGCTCCGACTACGTGATCCCCTTCTCTATGTTCATAATGAGATTTGTGATCTTTGGTGTGAGGATCGTCTACTCCGTATTCGAATTGGTAGCCCACGTGTTTCTAAAATCAAAAATTAATTAAAACATTCACCAGTTAATTCACAAAAAACTTAAAAAACTTACTTCCGCTATTGATGAGGCAATAACCAAGCATATTAGTAATACTTTTACCTACAATAGAGAATTTATTGGTACAATTTTTATTATTATTTAATCTATTCTTACGTTCAACATCATTAACCAGTGAATGAAATTTCGTCGTTGTTTCCTTTATTCTAGTACTTACTGACCTTATTTATATGGATCAGTGTTTCCCACTTGGTGCGTACAGTTGACACACACTTTTCGAAAATTTCGTAAATTAAAGTTGGTGTAACGCAAAAATGGAAATAAATATATTACGAGCAAGCGTGTATCAGTGGAAATTGCCGATTTAATCTTAAGAAGCTCGTATAGATACGAGCCTATATTCGATTCCTCGGGGGTTTTTTGCATTATTCCGATAAAACGGAAGAGAAAAAAAAGTGATTTTATGATTCGATTGGAAATCGGGCATGCAAATATTTCAAAATTTCCTCGCTTTTCACAGTCGCGGGTTCCCTTAAATGGATTTTCTTGTAAAAATGTTGATAATGATCTTGTATGTATACATACGATTTGGGAATTTAGGAAAAATATTCGCCATATCCATGCATTTAAAGCGGGAAATATCCGTTATATACTTTAAATTTAAACCCTAACACACTTCACAGAGCGGAGTGTGAGGTATATTTTTTGCTATAATAAACGGCCTTATTATGTAAATGGTCTGTTATTAATGCAATATTGTATAACATACATCTTTAAACGCAATCAATCAACACATGACTGGCTACCTGTTGGAAAAAAACGACCGCAACAAGCGCTACGTTTCGCGGATTATTTCGTGTTAAGTAAACAGAAATGCAATTTTACCGCCAGAGCCGGCTTTTACTTTTAACGAATTTACGATGGGAAATTCCGATTACTACCGAATTATTAGTTGAAAATTGAAAGATTCAAGAATGCTTAATTCCCATAGATTAATGTTTAAAAAATGGATAAATTAAGAGCAATTAATTAGGTTTTTTATTCTATTCATTCAAATTAACAAAGACTATTATACTTTCGTTTCTTTGTTTTCGTAATTAGGTACTAAATAACTAACCAATTTGGTTTGCAATGAATTGCTGCATGTAATAATTATCCTATAATTAATCAATTGTCCAGTTCGAACTAATTAATTTATTAGTGTAGATATATGTACGTAACATGTGTATGTATGTAATTCGACAAACAGTTCCAATTTGTCCAGTGTATTGATCAAAAGCTCAAACAGGCTTTATTTATTTCTTATTTAACGACTCTTTTTTGTTGCCACGAGCTGTAAATGCCACAATAAAATAAGAAACGAAATGCGAGATGGCTATTTGCGCTTGGTAAATTCCTCAAACAATGCGGTTATTAAACGTCGACCTCGAATATACGGCTTAGAATTCCTACACAAAACATAGAAACAAACTAAATTGGCCAAACACTCCCGTATATTTTCGCATTGTTAACTTCAAATTCGGGAACGTTGCGAAAATTTATAGTACCCAGAATTTATGCTTCGATATTAATACCTATTGTTCGCTTCAAATTCGCTTTTTCGCACTTACTCCTGCAAAACTATTTTTCGATTCCATGCAAATTATCGGCTTCGCGCGGGCCTAACACTCCAAATCCAATGGACCAAATCGGGCCAAATCAATGACTTCACGAATTTCGTCAACACCATTTAACAGGTGGGGCTCGAAATTCTTGTATAAAACGCGATCGGAATGTGTACGAATTATATTAGAACTTCAGTATCGATCTAATTCAAACATGAATTCAGTAAGTATAGGTCATCCACGAAAATGTATTTCGTTAATACAATAAAACTCTCATTTTAGCTCGTGATTTTATTCGCCTTCGTTGTCGGAGTAGTCCTTGCAGGTCACGGTCATGTAAGTACACTACTTAAATCAAAATACAATTCGGCAGGAATAGCTAATAAAGCTCCTTTGAGTCACCACGTTCGCGCATCCTACGTCTCCAGCTATCCCAAACGATCCATAATAAATTAACCATTCTTTGACAGGACAACGCGCACTACAAATTCGAGTACGGCGTCCACGATCCCCACACCCACGACCACAAGTCGCAGCACGAGCACCGCCACGGGCACGACGTCCACGGGGGGTACACCCTGAAGGAGGCCGATGGCACCCACAGAGTGGTCAAGTACGTTTCCTCTCCCCACAAGGGATTCGAGGCTGTTGTAGAGAGAAGAGGACACGCTCAGCACCCCGCTCACGGTCACCACGGTCACGGGGGAGCCACCAGCTACGTAGGAGTCACCCATTGGGCCAATCAAGGATCCGAAGGACACGGACACGGCCACCATTAAGCGGATTGTTCGGTCGATGATTTTCGGTTGTTATGTTTTTGTTACTGAATTTATGGGAAATATACTTGTTTTTTAACGTGAAATGAAACCAGCAATTATTTCACCCCTTTTGCCCAGCAACTCCAAATGAATAGGGTACAGGGATCGTGAAATACCTATACCATTTTAAAAAGGTTTACAACCAGTATATTGTGTCGTTATTTTTAATGAAAAAAGTCCAATTTATTGTTTCAATAATATTGATTCCTTCGGCATACTATTAATTTACTTAATAAAGGGTTATGACAACCGAAAAATAATTAACAACACAACAAATCAAACACGTACAACAGCAAAAGTAACATTTTAACAACCATTTTAACAACCAACTAGTTACGGAGCGTAATAAAATACTTATTAGAAACATTGTAGTTTATACGCGGCTCCGGCGTCGGATATCAAACTCGCCCGTACACGGGGTATATACATCCCATAAATTGACTTTGTTTGAGATACATTTAGAGCAGAATGGAGCCGCTAACGTCGTTACGCTGATTGCCCTCCGGAGTTGATTATCGTCACGTATTTCGAAGTTCATCGTTTTAAGGGCGTCTCGACCTCACCTGCCGACGAATTTCGGCGTGTAACGTATTATCCTGTGGATCCTGCTGGCGGTTCCGGCCGGTGAATTGCTGCAGGACGACCCGGAATCCCCGGAATGGACCGTCCGCAGGAAGCGGTCGAGTTAGTGCAATTTTTTACTACCTTTTTTAGGTGGTAAATAAGCGTGATTAATCCATTAATTAAATGAGATTTAATTATTTTCAACTGGTAGTTACAAATACATAGAAGAGTATTGTCATCAATAATTTGTTAGTTTATAATTAATTTTTATTGTATTAGGTTAGTACCTAATAAATGATCTACAAGTAACTTACATTTTTTCTAAAACCTTTAACTATAAAGCTCTACAATTTTTTTAGGCTAATTGAAAAGAAACTTACTAAAGAGGAATACCAATTAAAAGTTTTTAATGGTTATTCTCGGGGAAAGTCTTAAGTTTGTAGCGAAGTTTCCTTTTTTTCGGCGCCGATGAATGAGAATTCCATTATATCGAAGTCGTCCTCACTTGAATATTATTTTCTTCCCCCGATTCGATGCACAATAAAACGGAATTATAATTGTCCGAGTGCGTAATTTATGGGAATAAAATATTAGATAGAAGTTTTTCGTATGCGATTCGAGCGGAAACTTTATTTAACAAAACAACTAGAAAAAGCGGAGGAATATCTCACCGTGTAATCAGCATTTTTTAATTTCCTCTCGAATGTTCGTGCATCAGAATGTGCACAAAAAATCCTTTAAATTAATGGACGAATTCTCGGAAAAAAAACCTTCAAAGTACCCTCTTCAAGTGCGAAATGCATTTGCGGGTTTCTGGTGCTGTACACTCGCTTTCCTTCTATTTATTTATTCCTGCATACTCTCGCAAATAATCTCCCTATGTAACGAAAAATTTTAATTATTTACTCGAAAAATCTTGCCCATCACATGCTCCGATGGGGCCGTAAAATCCACCCTAATTGAAAAAAAATCGGTAGATGTAATTTCAGTTATTTCGAACGTTCAATTAGAAAAATACTCAGGGATTTTGCGTTGTTGCGAATTAAAAAAAATATACATTTTACAATTTTCCGAACGACTAAAAAAGGTGAAATGACGGTAAAATGGGGTTTTGTATCGCCACAGTGAAATAAATGTGAAAGAAAAATATTTCTGAAAATGTTTTAGCTAGTAAAATGTATTGCTTTGATTATTTGCGTAAAATTTGCCTTCAAAATGCTGTATCAAATATTACAAAATTTCATAAATTACATTGATTGTTGTAGACAAATAAATTTAAAAGGGTATCATCTTTCGATACTAATAATGGGCGCAGAAGGCACATCCAGAGTCACATTCCGAAAACCGCGCAAGTTTTTCTAAAAAATATAGAGGTGAAATTCGCGTACCTGTGGAGAAATTGTTGGAAGAAAAGTGTATGAAAAGCACCAGCGCAACGAGTGAAATTTGCCATAGAATTTGACGGTATCCTTTGGAGGCGAGATCGGCACAGCACAGAGCGCAGTCACTACAAGTCTGTGGAACCACAGACAACGAAAATCCCGCGGACGAGAGACGATAACAGAATATATCCAAGTTTTCGCGCGGAAATAACTTTTCCGAACAATTTTTTTAATATTTCTGTAATTATATGAGTCGAATTTTGGCGGACTAATTTTTGGTTGTGGACGATTTGAATACTACAAATTAATTTTTGTGAAGAAATGTGACTTTTTTTCGCTTCTAATGTAAGTAAATGCATGTTTGTTAAATTGGATGAAGAATTTTAAAAGTGAGAAAATTAAGTAATTTCAGTGAACTTTTCACTCGTCAACATCGAACCGGTATTTTTACGAGCAAACTTGAATAAAAGCCAAAGAAATAAATTACGCGAGCGAGTAAATTCATTCGGAAAAACGAGCCTCGTAAAGTGAATTTCCCTTTGAAGGAATTCCTGACATACCAAAAAAAAAAAATTGGCACATTTTTATCGCGTAAACAATTTTTCAAATCAAAAATGTTCTCGGGCGAAATTAGAAAATTTGAAATTTTCTTTATCCTTCGACTTAATTGAAAAGTGCAATCTGATTTTATGGCTCAAATATTTTATACCTATCTCTAAAAATAATATTCGTCGGTGATTTATGGACTACACATTTCGGAGTTTCTTTGATGCTTATTGGTATTAAGACTTCTTTAATAGCTATGCATAATTCCAGATAAGAAATTATTTACATTTTTCTGGCAGGCGTGTTTCCATAACATTCATCAGAGGAGACAAGCTAACGTGTTTTTTCTTAATAATAGCCACATAATCATTTACATAGATATAAAATTAGAAATATCGTAAGTTAAAAATGTAGGTATTCTATTTTCGACTGAGCAATTATCTATCTATTATCTACTGACTTAATTTTTTTATGTAGGATAAAAGATTTTTTTTTGGTAAACATGTAGCGTTTATTGACGTTTCAGTTATTTTAGTTTACATAACATCCGCGAAAGTCCCATTAACTTTAGAACGAATTTTTACGATTAACTCAATTATTTTTGTGGCTGGGAATAAATTAAAATAAAGTTAAAATGTAAATATTAGTTTGTACGCACATCCGCACGAATTTTCAGGTAGTTAAAAAAAACAACTTACTGTATATTCTTTTCTAATAAAATTTCAATACATATAATACTACTAAATAACTATCTAAAAACCTTGAGTTATTATGGAACTATCGAAAACAATAATTTCAAAGAACAAACAAAAACATTAGAGTAAATTAAACAATTTCCCCAATAAAGAGTATTATTGCTTTTAATTCGATTTAAATCATCGAATTTAGGAATAAATCCCCCAAAGTATCCGAACTCCCCTGGCAAATGGGAAGGAAAGTTACAACGAATTACTTTGCAAAGTAAGTATCCCCTAGTATAAAAGATCAAGCCATTTAAATAATTGAAATTTGCAATTTAAACTGCCCGTGATCTTCGAAGAGATGTACAAATAGTCCATTATTCCCTGAAGGCATCACAGTATAGGGAGCTGGATATCCTTTAGGAATTTTCGTTTCTTGAATTCGGAATGAAGTTTTTTTTTCTTTGTTTTTCTACGTATTATTTACAAAAAAATATAAGTTTTTTTCACTTCACTGTGAGTTGTAGTAAGTACAGAATTTTCGAGTGAAAGTTATTTAATTTTCATATAGTTTTTTTAATTGCGTAGGATTATAAAAGAGAATGTTTACATGCGTAGGTATTAATCTTTTAACATATTTACTGTACAATTTAAAGTATTGCAAATAACGTATGTTGATTTACCTAATACAAATATTCTGTCGATACGGAATTACAAAAAAATTATTATTTTCTTTTAAAGAATTTTTTTTATGAAAACCAACTCATCAAAAAGTTGCAATTGGCAATTTACGTATGTGTAACTTTTTTTTCCTAATTTAAATGCGAATCTCTTTGGATTTCGGGTACTTTCATTAATAACAATCCTGATGGATGCTAATTCGATGGATTCTGTCCCCTGCAATAAATTAAACCGAAAAATACACAAACACGCCCAAAAAAATTCATCAAATTTATCCAGCTTCTCGCATTTTTTCAGTTCGCAGATTTTCTATATCTGTGGATTTTCAGGCTGTTCCAGAATGATTTCTTACTCTTTTGTAAGTGAAAAAGTGCACCGAGATAAAGTAATATAGGTGCTCATGAAGTTTCGATAAATTTTAAAATTCAATTAATTATCTCTCTCGTTACAAGTAAGCATTAGAACAGACTGTGGAAAAGTTTATTATGTACTTGGAAATTAATTACAGTCGATAAGTAATTTCCGCAATTAGCGCACCGTTATCCATTCATCTTGCGTTTTGCCGGTGAAAAACGGGCGAATTTAAGCAGCTCTGGAAAACAGTCGGTCAGCCCGCTTCCGTGAATTTCCATTACAAAATGGTATATTTATTTCCGCGATGGCGGGAATAAATATTTTAGCAGCGCTGCGCTAACAATTCGAGGTATTTACGTTACCTGGAGGTGTGCGAGGTTATTTTCGTGTTTATCCGGCAATTCGGCGGGGTCGAAGGAAATGTTCGATTCGGTCGATTTTATTTTCTGAACGGTCGTAAACAATCCACTCGAAACGAAACGGTTCTGTTTCTAATTAATGTTAATTTGACTGTTTATTTAGCGGTTGGATTTTTCTCTCAAATGAGTTGTTAAGTCGGGAAAATATTGGTACTTGAACATTTTTTGTATACACACTGCTCGACAGTATTATTGACCAATTTTCTTTCAAATAATCGAGCAGTGTATACAAATATGTTACATCATAAGAAACAATTTAATCTAGAACATGGATGTTTAGACAAACTTAAAATATGCAGGATCTAATATCCTTGGCAAATGCATTTATATCTCTGTTATAAACTACTTATAAGAGCTCAATTGGTTACTTTAAATATTTAAATTACTATTTCCTTATCACCAATTCCTGATGTAGAACTATTACTTTGTAAAAACTCTATTAGTA